GACTTATTTAATTTCTCACTAAATGTCATCTCACTCAAGTCTGACATACACGCTTCCAAGTAAAACTGAAGAGGTTTTAGTAACAATAATAGCAACAACAACAGCAATAATAATAATAACAACAATAATAATAAGGAAGAGGGCGATCGAGAACAACATGGGATCAAGTAATTGGAGAAATATTAAAGAAAAGAGGAAAGAAATGGACAGAAGCAAAGGAATTGGCAAGAAACAGGCAGGAATGGAGGAAATTTGTGTATAGTTAACTGAAATTACTACCTACACCACAATGTGGTAAAAGGGTATTCCGATTATATATATATAATTTTTTATTTCTATTTTGGATAATTATTAATTAATATTGACCTTCCCAAAAAAAAAAAATATGTAGGCCTACCTTTTTAATTTGTTTTCATTTTTTTTTAAATGTATACTACCTTGTTAGGTAAATAATACCATGGAATATCAATATAATTTCCAACACAACTATTAACATAATTGTAACTTTAAGCACGAAATAAATATAATTTAATACACCTCAAAAAAACGTTTAATTTTTACTAATTAAAAATAAAGTTAAGAGCAGCGAAGACTCCATCATTAGAAATGCCTTGCTCCTTTTTTTAACACTGTCCTTTAAATTCATCAAAATTTTCCAACTATTGGAGAGTGCCAACCTAGGATTTTTTCCTAATTCTGTGAAATGTTAAAAACCCGAGTTTCCATCGAAATGCAAGCTGACTATTTTAAACGGCTACTTACCTGTCAAGTAAGTCGCCTTCAACGAAGCGTTGCTGTCAATCCAGGAAAGGGCCCCCAGAACCGTCAAGACGATCGACTGACACGTCTTCTCGCTCCTCAACAGAATAAGACCTAAATCAGAAATAACTTCGGTTGTCATATTTGAACGAGTATGAGAGGGAGGGGGCGAGTCCATACTGTGGTCTTCGGTCTCCATGGTTTCCGAATTCGATTCGGGAGTCAAACTGCCGCCGACCAGCGCCACCTTGAGTAAATCCAAGTATTCCCTGGTCAGCACCCGCGTCAATATGTCTTCGAGCACCTCCTGAGTATCGCCGTTGTCTTCTTGTGCCTCTCTGTTACGAAATTCGATGACCTGCTGCCATTTTGTGTGCAGTCTGGACAAAACTAGAACAAACGTTCATTATTTTTCGAACGAACTCTACAAAGGCCAGCCAGAAACGTGTATGAATGTAATTAAAATAAAATTAATTAAAAAAAAACAAAAACATAGCTTAATTAAGCAAAAAAACTTACTTATTGGAGTGATATGAGCTAATATAGGAAGCAGAACCATTTCGTAGTATGGAGCTGGGCAAGAGTATATAAATGGTTTCAGGAAGACCCGTATTATGGGTCTAATTCGATAGTCTGGTATGTACTGCAAAAAGAAATGGAAATCAAATATAATAAAAGTACAGGGTGATTCACTATATTTTGACCCTACCAGTAACTTTTTTGTTTGACAGGGAACATTTTATCCAAATATATAAAAATATACAGGGTGTTCCATTTAAATTAACAAAGTTAACATCTGCGGCCATTTTGTTTGGACTTCATTTCTTTTTCTACTATCATTTTCGAAAAAAAATCATGTAACTTTTGTATTTCAAATTTTTTTATAACTCTTAAAACAAACAGGCTGTCTATAATGACTGGGCTAGAAGTATCAAAATGATTCCTTAACAAGTTAAAAGGCTTGTAATTTCTTTTTCTAGTTTAAGTGAACTACATTAGTCACTTTACATGTTCCATTAAAGTAAACAATTACACGTAGACGCGACGTGACAACCGATACAAATAAGTTTGTGTTCGAGACAGTTATGCCTACAAATGGGCACTGAACAAAGCTCCAGGTGGCCTATATCCCAAATTGCTGCACCTAGCTTCCTAGCCGAATATGTTCTTTCTCAATCTCGCGCAGCTCTGCCTAAATGCAAACTTATTTGTGTTGGTCCATACACATTTAGAAAAGTTTTAACTAGTACAAGAAAAATTATAAAATATAAACAAGGTACAGTACATCTTTACTCTTTTTTCTTACTCAGCCACTTCATCAGCAGACTCGGCGCTAAACAACTTAATTTTAATCCAAAACAATATTAAATAGAAACAAAATTAGGACACGAAAATTAGGCCATGAATGATACTTACAAAATTAAAAATTATACAACGTAGAATCCAGTTTTGTACGAAATTAAATTGAGGGGGATGTAACGGTCCAAATTTGACATTCTATGTAGCGGGAAGAAAAACATTCGATACCTTTATTTGTAATAAGAAAGTCCTAGTAGCACCATCTTGTGACCGGAGTAGTGCGCGGACGAGACAAGTACACGAATTCTACTTTGGCCGAGAAAGGTTGCGCGAAAGGCTTACAGGAGTACACGGCGTGGAATAAGAAATAGAAGGAAGCGGACGAGATGGGAAGAACAAGAGGTCTGGTCCGACTTGTAAATCTGAACATGGAGTAAAATTATGACCTGACGAAATTAACAGTTCAGTGAAAGTATCACTGCTATTCTTTTATATGTGAGACCTACGTTCTTCAAGTTTAAATGTTTGTGAGTGAAGAAATTTACTAAGAATTAAGATGGCTTGGGCGTTGAAAGCCACCATTGTTGTTCCCGATTTCGTATGTTAAGAACCATACCTTATTTTTGATGATTGAGCTAGCGAAAAAAGTGCTACGAGTGTTTTAGAGATCTCTCGCATGTGAACTAATTTGCGGCTGTATATTTCTTACATATTTGTTAATTTGCTGAATAAAGCCTTATTAAATGTCCTACTAAATTTTCTGATTTTCCTTAGTAGTGAACATTAGACTTTGCATGTTTTAACATAATATAAAAAATCAGTGGCGCCCGTTTAGCACAATTACTACGAAGAGAGCTTCCCAAATAGTCCCACAGCCTATGCCTTGAGTGTAAAAGAGTAAATGCTATTAGCCGGCATTAAGTAAGTTTGATATTATAAATTTGGGATCTTACAGGGGTTGCCGACAGTTTCGCAGTGACAAGTGCTTAATCATTGTTTACACGATTGGAATATATAAGTTGACTATACACCTGATGTCCATGTGATCAGTTTACTGGTGTATGTAATATGGCAGGAATATCGCAACTTTCTGCGATATAAAAAACGTTTGAAAAATAGGTTTCACAACGGAATGTAAGAAAATAAACTTATGAAAAAAAAAGGTTTAAAAAATCTCTTTCCATGACGGAATTTGAGAATATAAACTTATGCTTTTCTGAAGATCAAAGGTATTTTAATACACCACAAATAAAATCTCATACAAGTAAAAGATTCATATTACAACACTGATCGAGACTTCTCTAACCAAGGACATCAAAAGCGGCTGAAAAAAGAACAAAAGCCGACAAGTGAATTTACTGGTTTACATATCGTCGTTGCGCCTTCAAAATGTGACATGAGTATTTTATCAAATTGTTTAATGGAGTTAACAAACTGCTTCTCGGCCTTTTGTTTTTAATTTTACCGCAGACAATCACAATCCTGTAGAAATTTGAAAAACATCACTGAATTGGAAATAGCTAGGACAAAAAATAAAAAAAATAATAATTTTGAGGTTATGAAGCTAATATTTGAGGTTAATATTGAGTTTTCGAAAAACAATTTTTTCCTCATAATTTCCAGACACCCTGTACACATGGCTTTTTTTTTTTCATTGCATCAGTTACTTCCCAATTTCGTTTTACTTAAAAAATAAATTTTAATTTATCTATAAGGTTTTTTAAAAAAATTGAATTCTAGGCTAGAACTTACCTGTAAACATGACAACACGCTGTTAATTACCGCTAATCCTAAATCTGGGATATTATACAAATCCCTCCCTAAGGAGGGTCCTAACGACCCAACCAGGTGATAACAGCTCTCGTGCAATCCAGTCAAAAATCTCTGCATTCTTTCGAGGGGGCTCTGGACGACCTGCGTATTCCCGCTGTCAGACACGGCGTGGCCGATGAGTCCCAGCAAATTAGACTTCTCCGTTTCCTGCATGGCCAAACACCCCTTGTAGCTTTCGTGTATGGAATTTTGCGCTTCCGGAGTGAACAGTTCGTTGAAAATTTTAATTAATGACATCAGGTGAGGCAGGAGGGGTACAACGTGAGGAGCAGCAGGATTTCGACAAACAGGATTGCCCGATTCTGTTAGGGAGACGACGAAACCACCCCTGGTTGCCCTTTCCGGGTCGTCGGGCCAGGAACACCGTTTGATCGCACCCAGAATTAAGTTCACGCAGAACACGATGTTGCTGCGATTCTGCCCGCAGATGTCTTCAGTGTTGCTGGGCACTGGCGGTTTGTCCAGACCGACAAATGCTATGAATTCAGTAGCACCTCTAAAAGCACCTATAAAAAGCAAAGATAAATAGAATTCGTAGTGATATTTACTTATTATTTAGGGTGTAGCGCGATTCATTAGAACTTAACAATATTTTAAAATCAACCATGGAAACGGCCTGTGACGTATAGTCTTCCGAACTAAATTGAAGACCAAAGAGCTAAGCAGTATGTACCAGGTTCGATCGGTACGCAGCACTTCGGCATTGAAATATTTGAAAAACTTGTTTCCACATTTATTTAGCCATACCCATATACAGGTCTGGTCGAACTAAATGGAGGTGGTAGAAATGTATACACCCCGTTGTAGAATGCGCGCGCAGGCAGACGGCGCACAAACACAGCTGCACTGGGTGACCGGCCATAAATTTAAGTTGTATCACAGTTAAGCGTGACACTCTTCTGTGGGGACATACCTACATGTTATTTTTGTCACATTTAAATTTAAAATATTACATCATTTTAATGTACCTATAGTAAAATCCGCACAAGATCTCAAACGTTATCGAAAACGTAAAAAAGGCGATTTTTTCATTTTTTTCACACACTGAAACGAAAGTTTATACAAACTCTCTTAATATTATAGACTTTCAACGTTTCTTTAAAATACTTCATTTTCCTCCCAAAATCCTCTACATATTTTTCAAATTCCATGTTTTTCCACATACCTGCATTGGCGATTTCCAAAAACTGACTATTTGCTTCCCGCAACATCTCGCCGACAAAATTGCTCTGCCTGTCGTAGTCCCCGAAATGGTTAGAGATAAGCAACAAAGCCTCTTGTAGGGTAACCTTCTCCATGCTGCTCAAGTGAGCGGGCCCATCGGGCCTAGAGAGATTTTCAACCGTCGCCCTGATCTGATCAAATACAGGTAAAAGCAGTAAGGGGTATTTAAAACCGATCTTAACCATCAGAGAGGCGGCGTGCCGCCTGACGTTTTTGACGGCGCGGGATCTGTTGCTTATGGATTGACCTTCAGGGGTGTAAATTAGGGTTGCAAATATCTTTTCCAGGACCTGAGGTAAGAGAGCTGCTCCGGACGCTGCAACCGAACTTGCTGAAAAGGCAAAGTCAAATATATATGGAAGCCCTTTTTCCCGCACGTCGGTATATAATATATAACAAAAGGAAATGAACTACCTGTGGGTGCCATCTGTCCAGTTGACATGCTAAGAAAGACGAAAAGAGCAGAGATGCAAGTCAGCAAAGTGGAGAGGATCAAAGGATCGGTCGGTTGATACGAAAGACACAGCTGGAGTAATCTTAGTCCAGATGCAATAGATGGCCTTTCCGTAGCTTGCAAGACTCTGCTCAATATACTTTCGAGAAAATTTGATAAAGCCTCCCACTCCTGATAAATTGGATCTGATGTAGTCATTCCGGTCGTTAAGTTGGGGACTTGTAAACATTTGATTAACCACTGCTCGACGTAGTTGAATGTAACCAAAGGTGCAACCACTGTAGCTTGCCTGAAATTCACACTGAATTTTCAAAGAGCAATACAATAAAAAAAAAATTATAAAATGAACAGGTTGTTGCGATATAGGAAATTCTCTGAAACAAAATAACAAAAAAAGTTTATATGATTCACATTCTGTTTCTGGGTAATTAAATTTTAATGGTTAAGTCATCGTTTAATTATTAAAAAAAATTATGAACTTCATCCACCTGTTATTTCACAATCATGGTGTTTATGGAACTACATACATTCAATTATATCAGTGAAATATGGTAGCACCCTATACAACAGTAAAAAAATATGGTTTAGATAAAAAGAACAATTCAAATAAAAACATTTTCAAAAAATATATAGGTGACATAAAAAAAGTGCAATGCATAGCACCAAATGATAGAGGACCGCAAAACATATAAAATGTTCCTATACACTCATGTCTAAATTTATTTTGTTTTCAAGATACAGTGTTAAAAAATTTTTGGAAAATATTGATTTTTTTTATTACTTCGGATTAAATGAAGGGAATGTACTGACAATTGGTACATAATATCCTCTACAGATTGCCAACCAGTGTCGGAGTTAGAGGGTTCACTATGCTTAAATCAAATTAATAAATTAATATGGCCCTTTAAAAATTACTATTAAATAACATTTTGCGATAGGTAATATAATTCCTATTAAAAGTTCCTCTAATTTTCGTATTTTGCAAGGTTTCTCTAAAAAATTTTTACAGGGACATATTAATTTATTAATTTGATTTAAGCATAGTGGATGCTCTAACTGCGACACTGGTTGGCAACCTGTGGATATTATGTACCAATTGTCACATTCCCTCCACTTAATGGGAAGCAACAAAAATAAAAATCAATATTTTCCAAAATTATTATTATTATTATACGACTTATTGGATATAATAACTGAATTTGGAAGTCCCAATTACATCCTATAGAAATACGATATTAAAAATATCGTTTACTACGACACCTCGGATTCTCGGAATCTATTGGTTATAACAACCAATGGTGATATACGGCCTGAATACCAACCCGCCCCACTAGCATCTACGCTTCTCACACCAGTTAGTATGTTTGAGACAAATTATGACTTATCTACGCATATAGTTATATTATATATATTATACCACTTTCTATCACGATGTCGAAGAGAACAATGTTTAATAAAGAAAAAAAATTACATCTACTATGGAGAGTAGAAAACGTAGAAACCAATGCAATAGCAAAAAAAATGTGACGTGTCACACTAGGATTTCAATAATTTGGAAGGATAGAAGTAAAACAACGAAAACAATTCACTGAAAATGAAGCATGCGAAATCTTCTGAACACAAAGCAATACATATACATACTTAAAGACTTGTATTGTAATATTCTCATTTTTTCAATAAAAATTTTAAATAAAATATATGTAATTGCTTATTACGTCTATCGGTTATAACAACCATAAACAAACGGCCCCTTGAAGGTCGTTATAACTAGAGAGCGGACAATGTGTGCTTTAACCCGAAGAATAGCTCAAATTTTGGTAGAGATGTGTACGCGTTCAAAAATGTATTGTGTATAAACTATGCAAAATATAATTATTATGTATAGCAAATATATCGTATTATCCTCGCGAAGATTTGTACCCTTTATTTAAAATCCATAAATCATGTGAACAGGTTAAATAACGAGAAAATAATTAAGTTAATTTAGTTCTAAAAAAATGAAATGACACTCACGCCCATCTCTAGTCTATCCGTCGACATCGGTTGCGTTTATCGAATTCCTATTGGTCAGAATTCAAACTGCAGCCCTGTTATGAATGGAGCGTGAGTTGGACTATTCTATCATGTGCGTCGCCTGAGGATATTTGTTACATTGACTCTTAATTTCCAATTAAAAGAATGACACTATTTTTAACCGAACTTCATTTAATAAATATGTACTATACAATTTCTGATTTTCTAAATATTTTATAACGCCTAAAAATGTATGTACCGTGGAATTTTCGTGAATTATCACGTAAATTTCCGATGCATATCCGACACGCCACTGCGTCATGGATAATGTATCTAGGTTTATGAATGACATATCTATGTTCAAGGTTAAAGACACAAATTGTCCGCTCTCTGGTTATAACAGATTTTCACAGTGTTTCACTTTTTTTTCAATATGTCCCATATAAACAGTGACAACCAAAAAAAAATGTTTGAACCAAATGAAAGAATTCAGTTCTTATTTTAGGAAAAAACTGTTTCTTCTAATAACACAGATCGACAAAATTTTAAACTAGAAACTTTGTGTAATATTCAATAATTTTTTTCTCTTTCATTTCTAAGTTTCAATATTTATTTTATTCCATCTGCCATATTGTGTCTGAATTTAGACATTTTAAAAAAAATATTTTTTTTTTGACAGTTGATTCAGTAACAGTTGCTGTTCTGTCTAAAAAAGAGCAATGGCACCTTATAAATAAAGACAGATCACAAGTGGAATTTGAAAAAATTCCATGAAGATTACAGAAGTATTTCCAGTTCAATAAAATTCCCTTCCAAGTATTGTGTTTAACGTGTATAACTATTTTCATATTCTGAAAATAACGTGGAAAATGAAAATAATGTGGAAAATCTCAAGGTACGCTCCTGCCCCGATAAATTGTTACAGTAATTTCGATAAGAGAACTTTATTGGCTTATTATTTTCTTTGAATTCTATATCAACATATATTGTACAGGCTGTATACACCCTAACCTTATAATAGGTAAAACAGATTTTACATTCAATTGTTAACCACTCACCTAAAAGACTCCAAAAAATCAGACCTACATCTGTAAAACAATGCCGAAAACTCTTCCTCGCTGTCAAAATCAACCTTGGCATAAGCCCCGCTTTCGGTAACCTCCTCAGCTGTTGGGCTCTTCCCCACGGGGTAATTGAATTTAATGATCTTCGGAGCCGTACACTGTACCCACTGGGGTATGTAAGACAGGAAGACGGGATCCCGAGATACGTGTTCGTTTTTGAACATACTATTCCAGATCGGGTTGGCAGAATGCGCTAAGCACAGACTTTTGTGGCTACTGTAGGCCAAGATGGCTTCTAGAAATACTGAGAAGTTATTAGGCCTCGAGAGCCCATCTTTGCCCCACAGGGTGCAGACTTGGGTTGCCAGTCCACCTAAAACCTGCATAAATATTTTGTTGAAAACGAACCCTCTTCTTTAAGATATCAATTATATTATTATATGTAGTATTTTATTTGGTCCTGTGAGGTTCAGATAATTGAGGTTCTACCGAACTATGTATGTTGGAATATTTTACCAAAAAAATTGTACAGCTGTTTTCAAGGTGTTACAGTTTTTCGAAAATATTACATTTATGCAAATACAGGATGTCCCGAAATTCATGCAACAAAATTTGCTCACAGATTCTTAAGACAAATTTAGGGGACCCGTATTTTTTATTTTTGCCAACTGGCCCCCTCTTTGGGAGTTACAGCCCCCTGAAGTCCGCCCCTAAGAAAAATCTTTTTTTTTATATCTCAGAATCCTGTTCTACGAGAATCATTAATTTTGGTGTACATGGGGGTTTTATGACATGTGGAATCTGATGGTGCTACGTTTTTTGGCGGAGAACCCCCTTAAGACAATTTTTCGTGGGCCCCCTTGTCTCTGGAGCCAAAAAAATTTGGTCACATATTTAAATTTCTTAAAAATTATCGGTCCACTAGAAAGCCATTCAATTTAGAAACTTTTTGTCCCTATACACTTTTTTCGTAAAACGCAATGTTTTCGAGAAAAATGTCAAAGTGTGATCAAATGCATATCATGATTCGCCATTTTCCTCAAAAACATTGCGTTTTACGAAACAAATATCAGGAGACAAAAAGTTTCTAAATTCAATGGCTTTCTAGATAACTAATAATTAAAAAAAAAATCAAATTTGCGACAAGACAAGGGGGCCCACAAAAAAGTGTCTTAAGGGGGTTTCTCGCCAAAAAGCGTAGCACTGTGAGATTCCACATGTCATAAAACCCCTGTGTACCAAATTCAGTGATTCTCGTACAACATGGTTACGAGATATAAAAAAGACTTGTTAGGGGCAGATTTCTGGGGGCTGTAACTCCGAAAGAAGGGGCCAGTTGGCAAAAAGAAAAGATTCCTTGTCCCCTAAATTTGGCTTAAGAATCTATGACAAAATTTTGTTGCATGAATTTCGGGACACCCTGTATATCTGAAGATGTTTGATGTAAATTAACAAACCTTAGGTTAGTGCCTTATTTAAGTAATTGAAAAATTCACTGAATTTCTATACAATTATGTTAACCAGTGTCGAAGATATTAGGAAATGCTGCCATCTCCCAAAATTTCGACAGTACTAAGTATTTTGGAAATTCAATGAGAGCATTTGATTTGTTGCGTTTTTCAAAAACTTTAACACATCTTTTGCAAATTGTAGTTAAAATTGCCAATTTCCAAGTTGTTAATTTTTTTGAGTGCATATTGTAAAAAGAATTTGATATGGTGTTAAAACTACTAAGTAAACTTCATTAAAAATATTCATTCCTATTATCTTCTTATTTTAATCATAACGGTATTTCATCTGTACAAGAAATTAAACTTTTTGAAGAAAATACAGCAAACTGTTCAAAAGTACCAGTCACAACTTTGAAATTATTTATTGAAATAATTATGAATATTTGTACCAAGTTTGTCTCGATTTTAAAAAATGTGAAATATTCTCATTGTTCTAAAACACTCTAAACACTAAACAGTCCGGTTATTAAGCAAAGACTGATTTTGTTCTGGAGAAATGTACGTACGGTCAATGGAACTACATAGTGGGAAGCCTTCCGAGCGACCGGAGAAAATTTCCTCAATATACATACGTGTATCTACCATGAAGTTATAGGGTTTTGCGTGAAGCAATCAAGTTCTGTTTTAAATCCGGTAAAACAGCCACATATGCTTTTCAACTGTTACAAACGGCGTAGGAGTATATTATGGCCAAATGTGTTCCTGTGGTTTGGAAGGTTTCATCATTGCCAAGACAGCGTGCACAATAACGAGAGGACAAAGCATCTCCGAACGAACAAAAACATCGAAACTATGCGCTCCGCGCCGACATCTAATTGTAGATCAACCATCGGAACGTTGGCAAACCATATACGATTGATCGAAGATCAAACTTCAGCGCAGAGCACACAATTATGATGTTTTCGTTCATTTGGCTTCTGCAGGGACGCCTGTGTCCTCTCGTCGTAATGCATGCTGTCTCGACCATCATGATACCTCCCGAACCACAGGAACATAGTCGGATATGATGAACACTCCTCGCCAATTGTAACAGTTGATACGTTTCCGTAGTTGTTTTACCGAATGTAAAACAGACTTGATTGCTGTAAGCTGTTCAATGTGCGTTTCCATTACAACTATCGAAAATTTGTTTCATGAAAAACATTATAACTTCATGGTAGATACACACTGATGAAATTTTGTTCGTTCGCTCGGAAGGCTTACCACTACGTAGTCCCATTGACCGCACATAGATGGCACCACACACTTTGTCACAAGAAAATCAGTCTTAAAACTTAATAGCCTGACTCCGTACATCTGGAAATGCCTAGTATTTTAGCAGTATAATACTGCAATTTATTCATTTTCCAAGTTATTTGCTCTTGCTCGATCAGTTTTAAGCTTATAATTGTTTCAGAAACGATATCTGACATTTTCAAAACTGAAATATAAACTTGCTATGAATAGTCACAATAAACAATTTCAAAATAATGATTGGCGGTTTGAATCAAGCATTGCAAAATTTTCTTTAAAAAATTGAATATCTTCGATGAATAATGATAAGAAGATGATTAAAACAAAAATATAGTAATTGTAAGAGTCTTTTTAAAGAAACTTAGTTAATAAAGCTAACGCTACAGAATCATTCAATATTTTTTAAAGTTAAGTTAAAATAAGAACATTTTGACTTAAAGTCTCTAGACCGGGAGCAGAAATTTACAAATTACTACTAACATAATTATTATAACATTATTTTACGATCTTTACTAACAAATCTCTTAATAGTGGAATAACCTTGATAAAGACTAAATATACAGGGTATAGCAAAAGTACCGGAACAGCAGAATAACTCGGTGGGAGAGCATTTTAGAGAAAAATGTTAAATACAAAAGTTTCAGGATTTCTCCCTGGCTATCCGATCGAGACCTTGACATTGACCTTGGAGATCATTTCAAGGTCAAATGTGATTTTTCAAATGGGACCCTATACTTTTGACCGGAGAAATGAAGTGCGGAAAATTTTACATTCAGATATGACCTTGAGTGACCCCCTTGGGGCCCCCACAAGATCAAACTAATAAAAGTACAGGAACAGCAGAATAACTCAGCGGGAGAGCATTTTAGAGAAAATTGTTAAATACAAAAGTTTCAGGATTTCTCCCTGGCTATCCCATTTGAAAAATCACATTTGACCTTGAAATGATCTTCTAGGTCAAAGTCAATGTCAAGGTCACCATCGGATAGCCAGGGAGAAATCCTGAATCTTTTGTATTTAACATTTTTCTCTAAAATGCTCTCTATTCCGCTGTTCTTGTACTTTTGTTAGTTTGACCTTGTCGGGGACCGAAGGTCAAAAGGGAGGGGTAACTCAAGGTCATATCTGAACGTAAAATTTCCGCTCTTTTCATTTCTAGAATCAAAAGTATAGGGTCCCATTTGAAAATTCACATTTGACCTTGAAATGATCTTCAACGTCTAGGTCAAGGTCACCATTCGATAGCCAGGGAGAAATCCTTCTAAAATGCTCTCCTGCCAAGTTATTCTGCCATTCCAGTACTTTTTCTATACCCTGTATATTCAAATATTAGCAAATTTCGCAAGTTTTTATTAAAAACATCACAATTGGGAGACACAATCAATACGATGTCAAGTATTATTCTATGCAAAAGTGAAAAACAGTTTGTGGCATTTATGAAATTTAACATTTACACTTAACTGTAACATTTCAAAGAATTTTTTTCTTAAACAAAGCTATTAAAAAATATGAAAACCGCTTATATTGAATTTGTACTCTTATTACATTTTAATTTAAAGCTATTTTTTAAATAAATATTTTTGTAACTTTGTAACTTGGGAGTTTGAATTATCATATGTTTAATATTAGCCATACTTTTACCTGAATTAATTTTTTTTTAAACAAATAATGCTGCTCGTCCAAAACACTCCCTGGGTTTTTAGCAGCAGTCAATAAACACTGCATCGGTTCTGAATCAAATAATATCAATAATGGTTTTCTTTCATCTATCTTTCCCTTACGATTTACAATCTACAAAAAAACAAAAGTAATTTTTAACCTCTTTCAGTAGAAATTTATTATTACCTGTGAAAGACATTCAGCAGCAGAATATTGAAATGCAGAGTCATTTAATAGTAAACAAAGAATCTGTAATAATCTCCCATTCTGAGCCATTATATGGGTTACGGAAACCCATTCCACAAATCCAGTTAACGTCAGCAAGACTACTTGAACTACTCGCCCGTGGCCGTTTGCTTTAGAAGCATCTGTTTCGCTAAATAATTTAAACTGGCCAACATGTAGTTCTATTAGTCTCAAGAAAAAATCAAATATCACGGCCATATTCGCTGTTAATGCATGATAAATGTCTTTTCGCCGCTGATTCGATTCCAAAGTCTAAAATTAAATATTTTATACGTAATACTTTCATGGTGGCGGTAAGTTACCTGAAGTAAAGCTACATCCTCAACAAGACGTAAAAAAACAAGAAGGACTAATTCCGTTTGTATTTCACCACAAGCGCAAGCATCGGATAATTCAGACAACAGACCAGGCCACTGTTGAGGCCACTCTCTCTTTACCATTTCTACAATCACCCGACTTAGTGCATCTTTCATATGAGATTCGTCACTTATACCACCCGCAGCCAATAATTTCATAGCATTTTCCTAAAATTACGTCATTTTATAAAATATATAATATCTAATTGACTCACTTTAAAATTTATTAACCATTATTTCAAAATTAATATTTTTTTGATAACAAGTATACACTGCTCCAAGAAGTACAACTTAACAACTTACAAATTAAATTTATAAGAAAATAAACAATAATTCCAATTAATTTAATATCGAGTGTTTTCACCCGTTTTGGATCAGATCCTCGTATCAATGGTTCTTGCATTTTTATTTAGTTCATTTCGTATTTCAAGATGTCTCTGTCTTCCCTGTTATTAGACCAATTCAAATGACACGTTAATTGTCTGGCAAGCATTATATTCCAGAATGAAAACTTTTATATTCATTCTAGAAGCGATACGTACATTTCTCGGAGCAGCGTATTACTATTTTTAAATGTACAATAATAAATTAAAGAATAAAATTCATGAATTTTATTCTGTAGAATGATGTAAGAAAAATTATTGTTATATTATAGGAATTGATGACACTAATGTGCATGAGTTTCAGTTTCATTAGCTTAGCTCCTCAGCTCTTTAAAAGAAATGTAAAGGTGTAGATAAAAAAATATAAAAGCAACCATATGAAACCTGAAGCAGTTAAAAACTAATGAAGTTATTTATCGTTGTAAATTTTTTTAATTTACTGAGAACATTCAAAAAAAGAGGCATGTTAAATATTAGAGCAAAGGATTTTTGTTTCTAAATGAAGCAGATAGGTACAAAATACTCAGAATGATAAATATCGACATTTAATTCTTACAATGAAAATGTATCCAATACCTTTATAAAAATTTTCTCTTGTTGGGAAATTTGTGTCCATCTATATTTCACGGTATGCTCCATGAGCTGGAGTCCAAAATGCCTAGATATCAAGGAATGCTGTGTTCCTGCAGCCAAATAAAGACCAGCTTCTGCACAAAGAGGAGACGTTTCTTTAAAACTTTCGCAAGCTTGGTATGCCCTTAATCGGTCCGACTGTGAGGCACTAGCACTCATGGTTAATTCAACAGCTCGTGCTAGATCCGCTGCTAAAGCAGCTACGTCTGGTCCTGCCATCCTTTTACAAGTTAAATAGCTGAAAATTAATAGTTTAGCACATGTTGAAAAAGCAGCATGGTCTTACATGTTTTTAAATTATCTGTTTTTACTAAACAATAAAAATTTCTTCCACTTTTCTAAAACAAATTGTATCTTGCGTTTAATTGACTTACTTTAAATTTTCTATTTATTTACAACATATGATTAAATATTTATTAAAATGTGCAACAAATCCAACTTGACGGTTGCCGGCTACAACAACGATTCCTAGCGGTAGATGTATAAATTAAACAGATAAACATAGAAATTCTTAGTCCATGGTTCTAAGGGTCTATACACATGCGGAAAACAAAATCCAAGTAAACATTTCTTTATAACATGACAAATTATAGAAACCTAATCCATGCCACTCAGACCGTAGAGTGCAAAAATTCCCAGTGATTTTTTTTTCAGTTTCTGGTGGCTAGTTCTCTCAGACACTATTATTCTAGTTCTTTCATTTCATATCCACATTTTGTACAGCTGTAGGTCACTGCATGCATGTAGGCAATGTACTGTATTATACACATATTTTATGCTACGTACGATCTGACAACATTTATTTTGCTATGACAACAGAGTCTATGGCGATAAGCTAGGTATACGTATATAACTATCATTTTCGAAAAATTCATAAAAAATCGTGTATTTCGCATTTTTTTATAACTATTAAAATAAGAAAGTTAGAGGGGGTCAATATATAGTAAATCAACCTGTACACTGAAAATTCTTTCTCTTTTGTATGTACTGGAGTGAATGAAACAGAGAGAAAGAGAAACAAAAGACAACACCCCTAGCCCTAGCCGGTCTTCCTCCATTGACACTGACACAACAAAAAAAATGTTAGGGGATTTATATAAAAATATATATGTCTATTAAATTCTATATCTACCGAAACACTTGGCAAAAAAAATTGAACCGAAGGCCTCCCTTTACGCCTTTAATTATTATCATAATTGCATCCATAAAGCCGTCATTGTAACCACAGAATTAATGATTTATGATTTATACATATACATATATGTATATATGGTTGTAAGCTGACAGTATTATAAATTATGCTTTGCTTGTAATATATTTACCTACTTCTCTATGGCCCATATTATAATAAAAAATATTAAACATAAACCAAGTAAAATAGTATTTTATAAAGGACAGCCAAGCATAAATTTGATTGATATCTCAATCAGGAAGAAGTTACCTATACTTGTTACCTGCCCTGTAATCTGTAATTTAAAAGGCTACGATAAAAATACTTCTACCTTTGAAGAAGAGATGGCGCCACGCCTTTCAAACAGTCCTGTATATGTAATTGTTTTTAAGTATAATTTTTATCTGCAAATAAATGATAATTATATATAGGTATTAGTAGTTAATTTATGAATATAAATGAGGAATATAGTGAATATTCCTGTCACTATCTAAAGTTGTACCCATCTACAGGTAACCTTACTATCTATACATCTACATACATACATGGTAAAGACTTTTTACTAAGATATGTAGGTGTCACGTGAAAATCACAAAAAAAATGTAGAGAAATGATTAACACAATTTGAAAATGTTAGGGGTTGAAGATTCCATTAGCAAACTTTTTATAACAGAGGAAACCTGTCCCTTCCCATCAGACAATAAGTTACCTGATTATTATTAACCTTATTATTATTTATTAACCAGAAACCAGATTTTTCACAATAATAGGCATTTATATAATGCCATACCAATGTCAGGTTTCTATATACTTAAGTACTAAATTAATATACCTATAATTCATATTATTTAAAACCTGTAGATACTTCTATAATTTCTTTAAAATATTGTTTTTCTTTTGCAAATAGATTCTATAAATTTATTTTATATTAGTACATAAATAGAAGTATAATTTCTTTCTAATGTTAACTACTTTCAACCTTATCCATTTAATATATAAATATTCCCAGGGGCGTAAACAATAGGGAGCCATAGGGGTCAAAGCCGCCCTCCCACACGACAGTGTTTTCCTTAACAGTCTTCCAATAGGTGTAAAATTTAATATAGTTATATATAAAAACTAATATTTCAGTCTGTTAAGAGGCTCTCACATTTTTTGAGCTTTGCATACGCCGCTGAAATGTATAACTGTTTAATGCCTACCTACCCTGTAGGTTTGACGTTATTAACCTATTTAAGTTTTACAGTTATTACCTACCTATGTTAAAAATTCTTCAAATTTTCATCAATATTTGCGATTAAAAATATGTTTTATTTTCTTTGTGGGCACATTAGTTAATAGTTTTATCCAAGAAAAAAATAATTAAAATAAATATTATGAGTTCCCGCCTTATTTAATCTGACACATACTAAAACGGATTCTCCTTTATTGTGCAACAACGAATTTTATTGGCTCTTGAAAAGAAATCTAACGAGGCACCAGTGATATTGTATAAAGTAGTAACCATTGGTTCATTTTCTGCGCGAAATTCAAATTTAACCAATAAGCAATACTAGTAAACAGTGCTCTCTGTTCACCGCATAAGTGGCGTGGGGTTCTAAATACGAAGCCGTGTTTTAGTAGTTTCGAAGCTCCGAAAGGTAAGAAATATTTATATTTTTGCATGTACACTTTAAGAGTGTTTCATATTTATTACTGATGTAGTTTTTTATATTTTGAATCGATTTGTATAAGCGATATGTACCATAAGTTATTTGTATTTGCTGAAACTTAAAAACCGAATTGCCTTATACTGTACATATAACTGCTAGCAAATGGCTGCCATAAGGATTGCATTGGTTTAGTACGTAGGCAGAATATTATTTTTTTTGGAAGTTCCGTTAATAGCAGAGGGTTCGCAATTTTTTTTTGAACTCATCAATTTATTTCAAATTTTTTGGTAAATTTTCTAGTCCTTATTTAGGCGGGAAGGTTGTGAAATCATATTTTATAAAGTCCGGCTTTGTTCATATGGTAAACCTATACAGCGTATACGACTCCATTTCTACTGTGTATTTCCCTATGCTGTGCTAAGCTTATGGCTTATAATACGTTGTGTATATAGGGTACATTGGCTAAGATGTATGTATTTTTTTCACTATTCTTTATATTTTTTCTCAATTTTGCGTATTACTGGCTTGAATTAAAAATATTTAATTATCACTTTTAGTGATGACGTAGCTCCTAATGACGCCTTTGTTAATTTTTTGGTATTTCATCTTGTGAACTTTAAGAACGTAATTTTGCCGCCAATTTGACAAAATATATTTAGGGTTTATTAATTTTTGTTATACATAAAGCAATTAATGTTGGGACTATTTGAAGGTTATTAAAGGTCAAATTACTTAAAAATTTGTTAAAAATAAAATCTTGTACGTATTATATATCTAGACCACATAATTTTTTTATACTCGGATATTTTCACATAATAATTATTGTTATAAGCTGATTATACAAGAGGAATACAGAAATATGTTGGATTTTTATTTATTGAAATAAAGTAGCTACGTAGGTTGGTGATTTGTAATATAATATTTTACAAGATGTGGAATATGATGGCGTCGTTCCTTGCTATGTAGCGTGCATTAGATAACGGTTTTTAGAGAGGCCTCACATTTTTTAAAGGGATGTTTACACCCAGTTATGCGTTCTTATAATTTATCAGTAATTAATTTTTAATTAAATACGACTTAAAATATGGCTGCTTACTTTTTGCAGCTTCTTTTAAAATTATTTACCGTTAAACTGAATTATGCATATTAATTTTATTTTGAACTTTGGTGAAAAATCATAACAATAAAACAAAAATACTAGCAATAGGCATAAATAATTAATTATTTTTGGTATGTCTTATGTTTATATACTTAAATAGGTATCACCAGAAATCCGTTAATGTTATCACTTGTTATTTATCTTTTCTCTTGAATAGATAATATTGGAAAACACGCAGAATTTTATAGGAAAATGACCATAACTAAACTTTATTTAAAATAAAATTAAAAACGAGATTTTTTTTATAATCCCACTAGTCAAATTAAACTTAGAATCAGCTAGACGTATGATTATGTTTTGCTTATCAGGAATGTTATCTAACACCAGTCTTTCCGCAAACATATGTAAAATAGCCTACATACACACATTATCACTTAACGTTTAAATACTACCTATTTATTGAAAATATTTTTGCCATTTTGAGCTAATAAATTTTTCAAAACAGATAAAGTGAAAAAATTTTATAGTGAAAGTTTTGTTGACACCAATTTTTCAAAATAAAAAAAGGATAAAAAAATAAGTTTTATGTTCCTCAAATATTTGATTAATATGCCTTGAACTAAGAAATACATATTTTTCAGTTAAATTTTTGTATAACAAAAATAACATTAATAAACCTGAAAGAAGGTATTGTTCAAAATATCTTTGATGTTAATGCTATGCCTATTTCCAATTTTCATAATTGCAGTTTTAAGTAATTAATAAATTAATAAATATTTTTAATTTTGTCATAGTTGTTCTTCAAATAAAATGCTATTTGCATTTTATTTATCATTTATAATTATATTTAATTTTTCGGCCGTGAATTGGTGAAAATGCATTTTCGATATTATTTTATAAAATATTGAAATGAGTCCAAAATTAATGAAAATTAAAAGTATTTTCTAGCATTTGGTTCTACTTAATTCTCAGCATCTGAAAATTAAGGACTTTTCTAAATAATTAACAACGCTTAAACAAATGCCGAATATGACAAATATGCAAGGGGTATTACATTAAAACTTTTTGAAAACCTTTAATGGATTGTCAACATAAAGTTGATTTTCTTGATATTAATTTTTTCAATTATGGTAAAAGGTACACCGTACCTAGTATATGTATACAGGGTGTTTCCATATTAACATGCATCTTTTATGGGAGCTTCATAGGCACATTTTATGGAGAAGCATTTTAAAAAGCCTTAAAGAAGAAATAATACGCTTCGTATTCAACTAAATAACTTTTAGAACTTATTTAATTTTATCTGAATTTATTCGAAGATCTTCATCCTATTTTTTTATTGCGCAAATTTTAAGATTAAATTAATTTGTTTAAAAATTGGCTCATTCTGCAATGTGTCATCTTTGTAACATGTTAATATAATTCCCACGTAATTATCTTTTTATTATCTTTGTTTTTATGGCTTTCTACTCAATGATTCGTCATCTTTAAAACTCACGGAAAAAAATACGTTTTAAGGGGAACGGTATTTATCGATAGTTCAGTTCGAAATTGGCAGTAAATCTTCATAACCGCGCCAATCGAACGCACTTTCATTTGAAAGAATTGTTAGACTTTGGACGTACATATTGCGGCAACGACACACAGGGGATCCAACAATGTATGGAGGGACTCCCCCATTTACATTGCAAATATATTGCTCCGGAATTATTACTGTAGACGATTTATAACGATGAAGTAGTGTTCCCATTTATTATTTTTTTGGCGGAGGCGCCGGGTACAGCTGTATAAAGCAGACGAATTCTAATTAGGTGTTTCTTATTGCATGTGATAGTACAAGGAATCGATTGGTACTATAATTTTTTAAAGAAAACCGCATATTTTTGGTCGAACTGGATTCAGTTTTATATTCTTTTGATATCTATTTATGTATGTGAGTGTGATGTTTAGGCGCCCATCATTCACTATTTTTTGTTTTTATTCCACTGTATGCGGATTGCACATTTGTAGCAATTTTATATCGATGGGTTCTAAGTGTAGCTTACAAAAGGGGTCCTCCTCTAGAATTAAAAAACAATTTGTTGTATCGAAATCATTGTGTATTGGACGAAAGTTCTTTCGTTTCATTAATCAAAATGTAAATCGATGGTTGTTTCAATTTCAACTGTTTTGATGTTACATGTTTGGGTCTGTTCCAGTAGACGCAACATTTTAACTTGCTTAGATTTTTAGTACGATTTAGATTCTCTCTAAACACAGTATTTAATAGCGGAAGATATCTTAAAAAAACGTAGAAATTTCGGATGTAAAATGATCCTGGTGATTTTCAGTATGTTACCTCTTAATTTTTATGGCGCCCTTTTCAAAATCCGACTGGGTGTAATAAAATGAATATCCCAGAATTACTAATGAAGCAAGTTTTAATTAGCGAGAGCTCAGCTGCCAGCGCTACTCCACAGGCTGGGCCTGGCCTGGGATGCTTTCAGTCGTCTTATTGACCGCTGTAGCTTTAGGGGTGGGGAAGGGTGAGAGGTAGACCTTGATTCGAACCGGCTCCGCTGCGTGTGAGGGCGCTGTCGTCGTGTACATGTATTGGCGTCCCCTCGTTCAGTCTCCGAACCGTGTTGCCAGATTTTAGCAAGCAGTTGCCGCGCAAAGAGACGAGACCATAGTTGTGAGTTCGTGCCACTTGGTGTTTTTGAATCGCGCATTCGTTATATTTGAATTATTGTTATACGGCCGGAGTGATGTCTGGGAATAGTTACTGTAACTAGAGGTGTGCATGTGTCATTCAGTGTTGTCGCGTACCATTCCATGGGATTAATGTTTTTTCTTGTTGTGAGGGGTAGTGCGCGAGCAACTTAGTCAGAGGAGCAGCGCCCCTCCTAGTAGAATAATCCTGTTAGCAATGTCCGAGCACCATCGGGGGGCTTGGGGCGCGCGAGACGAAGCGATGTGGTGGCCCGGTGCTATCGCCGCCGACCAGCAGACACTTCAGCATCATCAGCATCTTCTGCATCAGCAGCAGCTCGCTGTTCAGCAGCAGGCGCAGATCGATGCGGCCAACAGTTCGGCTTCGGCCACCCAGCAGCTGTTCAGTTATAAAATGGCCAGCAGTTTTCAGAATCCCACGACGACGGTTTCTAACGCCACTTCCACGTCTCCTGTCGGGGCGGCCGGTATCCGCGGCTACGATTACGGGATGACAGGTGGGAATCCGACGATGTCCGCACCTGCCCCCGCCGCCCAGTGGTGGTACCCTCCCGGAAACGTGGACAATATGCATAACACCCTCCTCAATGCACAGAATTTGCAGAATAATATGCAACACATGCAGCAGCAACAGCAATCGCAACAGCAACATCAGCAACAACAACCTCAACAAAATATGCCACCTGTACAGACTCCCCCACCTCCGGTAAGCTGGACCAGTATTTTTTAATCCATCTACCTGATTTTAATCCCTTAACGCCGGGAAGCCGTTTGACCAAAAATCCTTAGACGTCTTCATGCCCAGGTTTGGACATAAAGGAAGTCTGTCTGGGCTAATAAAATAAACCTGAAAAAATAATGAAAAGTATAAATCACACATTATAAAGCAAAAGTGAATTTATAACAAGTAGGTATCTAGTTATGAATCCAAGTTACTCTTCGATTGTGGATGAATTGTAAGCTTCTCAAGTATACATTATCTTATTTTTTTTTTTAATTATTAACTGAAACGGTAATAAATATAACAAATTTAAAAAACGAGCAGATTGAGGAATAGTAGTTAGATATCTACTCTGATAAAATATCTTGAAATCTAAATACACAATCGAGAGGTTACTAACTTCTATTTTGCATGTATTAATTGCGCAATACGTTGAAACTACTGAAACTGGTATCAAATCGCTATAAACGAAGTGTTTAAATTTCATAGTACTGTTGCTTTAATTAGTACAATGTCTTAATTTATCTTTCTATCCTCTATCTGAAAGAATATATCAATGGATATACGTTTTAATTTAAAAAAATCCTTTCAGAAACTGCATCTGTACCTAATTGAAGACTACTAGCAGAGGGGTAGAACTACTTGGCTGTTTTTGTTACGTCTTCGTTAATGTGAAATTTGGTATATCCCATACACTACAATACAAAAGACAAAATAACACTTCATTACAACTCCGTATTTCTTAAAGACCCAAAAGCAAAAATAACTTCTGCGTTCATGAAATCGGAAATTTTGAAACAAAGTTGCACTACATAAGGTCTCATTGTGTCTTTACCAACAAAGGTGCCCTGAATTTTCTTGGAATTTTTCAGGCAATACTATTAAGGACTGTTAATTGTGCAGCTTGTACTTAACAATAAATCACTGTTCATAAAAGGGACGTGGGACAAAGGATTTACACTTTACCTGACCCACCAACTACCTAGAATATTGCAACCAGGACAGTTTTGAAGACGCACATTTTTCATATACCCTTCAGTAAAATGAATAATTATTTATTAAACAATTTTTTTGTATCCAATGGGACTTGAGAAGAGAGATGAAGTAATTAAAAATAAACTTTAGAATTTAAGTTTAAGAGGAAAAGCAAATTTTTTACATAGACGTATTTTTTTCTAAAACTGATTGTAAGTAGGAATGACAACCTTTTTTTTCGTTTTCGTTAAGGTTTTATCTAGAAGGGAATAGATGTATATTTTAAAGAAAATATGCGGGGAATAAGAGATATAGAAAAATACCAAGGAATAGGACATATGAGGCTATAGGAGGAAAAACGAGCAAAAAATAGAATACCTTTGACTATTATTCATTTTTTTACAAAGATCAAATAATAAAATATTCTCTAAGAGGGCATAGTTATACATTTTTTCTGAATGAACCTACAGTTTATTTTGAACTCTTAAGTAAAATGAGGAAGATCAGTCGTGTATTTTTAAATAAATATACCATGTACTTAAAAAACCTGCTAACGTTGAGCTTTAAATATCATTTCTCATTCGAGAAATCACTAGATCATCGAAATATTTGTCAATTCATTGATAGTGGCTTGTTTATCGTATGGAAAGTTGCAAGTCATTATTATTTTTGTACAAGAAGTATCGTGTTGTTTTTCAGTTAAAAAACCGACTGCAAATAAGCTGATGCTTTATAATCTACTATTGTATAGACAACGTTCAAAAGCAAAAACTATCATAGATTTTTGTATAAAATTGAGAGATTTTTGTCAAATCTGAAACCTCAGTGAATTTCATCGATCTGAAAATGTTAAGGAAATGCCTATCAGGGAATTTGCAACGTTTCATGGAAATATTGAAAATTCCAATTATAAACGGTCTTTACTTACGTGATGCTACTACCGGAGTCTCGACCGGAGTTACATTGTTGAAAAGTAAATTTGTTACTAAACCACTTAGATTCTGCAGCACATATCTATATTGCCTGCGTTGTATGTTTGTTGGTTAATTGTCATTACATTAGTTTAAATTCAGGTTTATAAAGTCGGGAATTTGGGAAATCGGGTATTGTTGTGATACATTACATAAAAAAATATAAACTTTGAAGTGAAATATAGTCAATATTAGGGAAAAAATCGAACATATATCAGTTTCTGTTTCCGAAATCTCGCTGCGTTTTGAGATACAAAATGTTAGTTTAAAAAAAATGATGTTGATATTTATAGAAAAGCAATTGTGCGCACATAATGAATAAAATTACATTCAAAATGACATAATCAAGTCTTAATTCAATTCAGTAGCTTAGATATGATACGTATTGTCTCAAAAATTATAACGCGCCTCTGGAAAAATTTGTAATTTTTATTTTTAACGGCAATGATTTGATTATTTTGTATAATTTTTCCCGATATGGTAAAAATCAGTAACTGGTAATGATGCGTTTAGATAAAATTAAAATTATGCAACGTATTAGATAATGTCTCGGATAATGTCAAAAATGAAGAAACATTTTCCTCTTGCTAAAGTTTAAAAAAGTAGAGAATCAATAAATTCTTCATAATACCGGAATCTGTTAAAGAGTAAGAAGGTTTCCATATCTTCATTTGTTTAGAAGATATTTAAAGATTACATTCTTCTGAGATGACACTAAAAAACGACAGGGTTTCTAAAACAAGTTTATATATTAGTTATTATTTTCACTTTAGGAGAACATTCGAGAAATTCTGTAAATGGAGTTCATGTTTGTTCTAGTAATACCTAAAATTCTTAATAATTTGAACAGATCAATAATACCTTCTATCCTATTAGAATTTACTCCAATATCCACATATTTTCAAAACATTGATTTTTAAATTTTCTCATAATGTAATTTTTTCCTAGACAAAAAATCCTGTAATATATCCAGATTATCATTATTTGGTAATCAGAAGATACCAGAATTTGTTTCTAAATTCATAATTAAAAATGTTTCGCATTCGGTGTCAAAAAAATTAGTAATTAGGAAATAATGATAATTGAAAAATAGAAATTAATATAGAATTTATCTCAATTCAACTTGGAAAATATGTACATCCCGCTGGGTATATTTTTATTTTAGGATCATCATTTTAAGTAGTATATATTTGACAAACGCAGCAGACAAACGCTTGTTATTCAATCGGTTTGTAACGAAAAAAAAATTATTTCCAACTGAAACATTACTCACTAGACAATTAAACATGGTGAACACTTGTTCTTAGTTATTCAAAGATCTAGTGGAACAAACTTTATTTAATTAAGTAAGCAAGTACATCGCATTCATTTTGTCAAGATCTTTCATCGTTAATTCATGAATATTTATTACATTAATTTTCATGAAATATAAATGTAAAGCTTATATCGGTAATTTCCTGTTTTAAAGTTAAACAAAGCTTTTGTACTTCGTGAGGACTGTTTATTTATTTCTTTTTATTTTTGTAATACATAGTAAAAAGGTAGGTATCTTAAATATTTTGAGAAAGCAAACCATTTGCGTGACGCTATTTCTATTTTAGAAAAAAATACTGATTTATGATAGCTCTTGCTGTCATAAGTTTCACTGTCCATTCTGATCGAGAATAAGCAGAAAATTAAGAGAAAACGGGAGAAAGCAGGAATTCGTGATCGTTAATTTATTATTTTAAATCGAACCTGAAGCATATGAGTTTTAGGATTTATAGTTCCAGTCATTCTATACCGGATGTAAAGCTCGGTTTTATAATTTGCAACAGTAAACAGAACAGTATTAGAAAGTATATCCCTTCCTGTTCTTAGTTATGCATAATTATATTTTTAATATCGATAGGAAGGTGGAGAAAAAAAAAAATAAAATAGCAAGAATAACGTTCGTTTGCCGTAAAGCAAAACAAGTTATTGTATGCTATTAATATTCCTATTGTTGTCGGTTAAAAGAAGGAAAGTTGTAAGCAAATTTTTTGTTCTGGAAATATTAATTAAGCGTTTTATTTAGAACAACGTTTATTTTTAAATGTAACTCCAAACAAATCTGTGCTTTCTTAAATGTTTCTCGTGTAATGTCTTCTAGGAGACGAATATATCAGAAATAAAGAAAATATTACAAAAAAAATCTGTAATACGGTTGAACTTGGCTACAGTTATTATAAAATCGTCGTTTCCCATTTTTCTTATAGTTTTTATCAATAAATTTTTATAGTTTTGTGCAAAAAAAGGAGTTTATGCTTTAGAACAATTTTCTAAAAGAGCTGTGAAGATAAAACCGCAATGATTCTAACATTCCGAAAAACAAACAATTTCAATAGAGATACATATATTTGCGTGGCGTTTCCACTACTGTTGGTTGTTATTGGTGCTGACACTGACATTTTAACAGTATACTAAGATATGACAGAATTGTCAATGTAAAAATGAATGTACCCAATTTTGAATCTCAATAAAAATCTCATCAATCCCCAGCTTATTATTTTTTTAAATAATCCCAATAAATCCCAAAAAATAATTATGTTTATATTTATAAATAAATTTTCACTTATGGACTTTCAATTCATTCTCGTACCTCAAAAAAAAAAAAATCTACGATTTATTCTGCAACAAAAGATGAAATGTAAGAATATTACATTTATAAAACGTTAAAAATCGATGTAATGGCATATGTCTAAGAGGGTAAACATTTTTGTAAATAGTTTTTCTTTTCACATTAAATCCTTTCACAAAGGTATTTTTAAGGTATCTGTTCTATGGGTAATACGCCTTTGTATATAATTTTCGCGAAAGTATAAAAGCATCTTTGAAACATTCGTCTTCAATATCCTTCCTAATGATTTTTTAATTTCTTCATGTTTTATTTAGATGGGCACAATAAAAATTAAGTGGGAAATGATACTGTAAAATTTAGTTTCATGATTTCGATAATTCAGTGTGATCAATTATGGTTACGAAATGGGTATATCTCGAAATCCATTCATGCTGCAATTTTGAGGTCTTATAATATCTGTTCAATCACAAATTTTAATTTTCATTATTTTTTTTCTAATTATTGCCACGGCAGGGTGGAAGACTTATTGAATTTTTCTAAATGCAATGACTTGAGTGTGCCTTGTCCGAAATTAATAAACTGTGACTCGATTCTCTTTAATCTCTTTAAATTTTGTAGGGTTTTAAGTTTTAATATACATTATTATTATTATATTTTTGCAGATGCGCCCTATAGCTTAACTTAAAAACTTTTTTGGCCATATTTGTCGGTAGATTTTTTACTTCGTAGCTCTAACTGTACATAAGAAAAATTAATACGTATGTATTAAAATATTTTTAAAATTATACATCAAATTATTTCTATAATATATTTTTTTCCACAGAATCCGCATTTACGATATATAATTGTGTTTTAAGACTATACCTATTACATTTTTTTAAAAATAATGTTTACACTTTCAGATCTGGAATAGATCCAATAGATTATATGATTGAAATTAAGGTGGCTAGTACAAATAAATTTTTCGAAAAATGTCTTATTTCTAAGACTCGGATATTGAAATGGAAAAAACTTAATTCAGGCATATCTCGCAAACTCGTTAAGCATTTTTTTTTTATTTTGGTATGGAGAGTTCTATTGCGGATCTCCATCATCCATCTCCATCAAGTACTTACATTTTCATGTATGTCCTACAAAAAGACATGCAAATTTCATGTTCGGTGTATCTATAAAAAAAAATGTGTAAAAGATAGTGATATTTTTTAATTTTTTATCACAGACTGATAGGGTATGCGGAGTTAACGATTTTTTAGGTAGGATTATATAAATCCAATGATTTCTTGTCCCTTGCTAGAGGTCGCTACGGTCTCTTTGATATTTGAAGAAAATGGCTCACTGCCATTGAGCGATTTGTCACAAATTAGACGATTTTTCGTTTGCAAAACATACTTATGAAAGTAATTTATACACCTAAAATACCAATTAAAATTATATTGAAAATTTTGGTAACTAGAAAGTTAATTAACAGTTTATGAGTCTGACGATATCTGCCAAAATAACTTTTCTAATTTATAAACCATTAATTACATATTAATATCTGAAATTTCTAATCATGACTGTTTTATTTTTAATTTGAAAACCGATATTATTTTATTACAACAGATTTTAGCTTTTAGCCTTCTTTATGTCTGTCAGTTTAGTGAATGAATATGTCGGTACTGAAGAAATTGTTCCTAAAAATTCGAATAGTGATACAGGACAAGAGGGGTCCGTCTAATTGTTGACATCGTCCACAGTTTTAAGGCAAGTTAGGCCTTCTGCCGCTAGAGGGCAATGCAGTCAATATCGTCAGAACTAACAAAGCGTGCCTCAAAAAGAGGCAATTTATTGCTTAAACTATTATAATACGGTAATAAATACTAATGATAAATGCTTAATTTGTCAGATGTGGGGGTGTCGATCGCAATGTCCCTTGGACTCTGACGCCCTACAAACGCCAAAATTTGTGGGCAAGCATCAGCCCTTATTGGTTTTATAAGTTACGCTATCATGCTAACCGCACAGTTTGTTCTTAATAAATTAACCTCGAGATTAACGTCCAAAAATTATTACCTACATTTGGAATTTTGTGACGTCACAACGCATATTGCGTATGGGATCAAAATGAAAAAAGGAACAAAACGCATCTCATTTTTTTAAATCCATTTCCATTTTGTGATGTAGTTAGAAAGTTTTATTAGCTTTTACTAAATAATTATTACACTTTAGAATTTTTATTAGTGTATTTCATTTTTCCAGAAGATCCATATTCATTCTACATGTTTAATTTGTGAAGACATAATCCAGATGTGCTTCTTTGTCGTTTCTTCTATTTGGTGACATTTTTTAAGTACTCTTTCAGTCGTACTGGGGAATAATTTCGTTTGTACTGCCTATCATAATTCTTCAGAAAAGCTTTTTATAACGATAGCATTCTGAAGTTATTCAGTTGAGGTCTAACCGAGTCTAACAGTGCTTATTAGGGCCTGCCATAAATACAGATTTATGCTGCAACATCAGTCTCCCTCTCGTGTTACCTTTGGGGTCATTATAGGCATGACTAGAAATTACCCGGAGGTCACGACAGGTGCTCTCTTCGTATGGGTGTGTCGGAATCTTAACAGAATGGTTGCTGTAAATCAATCCTGGATTATGCCGGCAACGTGAACATCGAAGACGATATTTCATACGATATTAGTCTGCTGCAATTTTGCCATAATTGTCCAACTTGCACCTTTTAGAATTGGAATAATGTACCCTGTTCCTTTAATTTTCACTGTTACTTCTCTAATGAACGTTCGAAGGCTGTGTTGTATTTCATCTTTTAGAAAAACATCTAGTGCAAAGGCAAACGTCGTTATTGTAACTTGACGTTAAGTGTTAAGTTGATAAAAATGTACCGATGATGACATTAACCTCGACATTGACTGTACTATAATTGTACTAGTGTAAATTGTTTTGATTAAATCAACACATTAATTTTATATCTGAATACTGAATTTGATATTAAGGAAAACCAAGTGTGTTTAAAAGTCTACCCACCAAAGGGCACTTTTAAAATGTAGTACAACTTAAAAAATAAATAAATAAACCAAGGCAACATTTTAATAATTAATTAAGATATTAAATACTCACAATTTAATGTTGAATGTATTCGATTTAGAAGTCACTTCACACCAAAATTGTCGAGAATGCAAATTTTCTTGAGCTGAGCACATCACTAAAATTAATATACTTTTTCGATTTAACACACTCGGAGTATTTCAGGCAAAATAAAAATTTGATATAACCCTTGTTGAACTTTCGTCATTTCAGTGCCCACTCCATGATAATAATGCACATAAATCAAAACGTCATAACATTTATTGCAAATCTATCCAAATATATCACTGAAACAAAGTAATATCACCCTGTATACGCTGTTAATGTATCTAATGTATTTAAATTTCTTCAAGACGTATTTTAAATTTTTATCTTTGGTAAAAAGATACCCGAGAGTTAAGAAGATAATTGGGACAACGGCTTTCTTTCGTAGTAATTTATTCTCCACTTAAGTCTACTTTTTGCGGTTCTTTGGAGTAACTTCGTTAACATTTCAAATTAGCATTCAAACTTATTTTCAAGTGTAATATGCTAAAAAAAAACGTTAATTATCGTTATTAAATTCGTGTATCTACGGAACAAATCTCGCGTATTTTTTACGTTTCGATTATAATTCATGGCGAAAACAAAATTTGATTAAAGAACCTTATATTTTTATACACTACAATATTTTTTAGCACCACCGAGTTTTAATTTGATAATAACATAATAACTTGGGGTAATTAAAAGAAAACAATCGGTTTCCTAATTTAGATTATTATTTGTGAGTCGTTTAAACCAATATCCTTGCCTATACTAGATATTTTTCAAAATATATGATAATTAAATCACAATTATTAGTAGTCTCAACTACTACTTGTAATATTCTAAAATATATTTATAAAATTCTAATCAAGGTACTATTCTGTGAAATATTGGTTATCAACCATTCGGTAATATTAACAGATTTAAATTTAAGTTTTTGCCTAAATTTCTATTATTTTTACATTTTTTACTTCTTTTCTGTTTCTTATCGTTATGATAATGAACTGATCTAAACAACCTGTATCATTTTGATTAACTATTGGTGGGTGTTATCTTCAACTAAATATACAACATAATAATTACTTAATAAAAAACTAATAAAAAAATAAAAAGAAAACATTTTTTTTCTAGCAAAGCGAATCTCAGAACCGTCAGGAAGAAGCTCAACGGCAACAAGAAGCTGTTAATAGACAACATCAGGAGGCCGTTCAGAGACAGCAGGAGGCTCATAGGCAGCACCAGGAAGCGCAGCGGCAACACCAGGAGGTCCAAAGGCAGCACCAAGAGGCGCAGCGACAGCACCAGGAGCGGCAACAGGAAGTTCAAAGACAACACGAAGCTCAGAGGCAGCAGCAGGAAGCGCACAGGCAACACCAGGAGGCCATCCAGCAGCACCACCAGGCTATAGTCGAGGCCCAGGCTAGACAGCAGCAACTGCAGCAACAGTTGCAGCACAGTCAGCTGCAGAATAACCAACTGCAGAACAACCACCAACAGCACCAACAGGTTTGTAAATATTTTATTACTTTCACTATCTCATCCATCGACATTTTATAAGACTCAGTCAATTTAAATAATCTCTATTGTATTAATAATTCATCGGCATTTGTCATTCACAAGTCGATACTTCAATTTTCGGAACTAAAATTAGTCGCTTGTTCTGATTCCTACTTTAGCCAGTCCTAGAACAGTCTTAAATAGTAACTCGGCTATTTTCTTATTAATGGTATGATCAGTTTTTGGATGGTTCTAGAACCGTTTACTATTGGGCAGAAAATAAGCCTTTTAGTAGAAATAAATCTTATCAAATTGATTGTGAGCAAAACCCCAGGAGGTGGTATTGTTTTTGTTTTTTACAGGGTTTGTACCGCTAATATCTTTTGCTGTGCCATTAAAGATTCACCGTTGCTGTTAAACTTTCCTGGTATCGGCATGATTAATCGATAATCATACCTGAAACAGAATGATTGTCGTATTTAAAAACAATTAACAAAAGCTGAACAAAATGGGGTCGACTTTGCTTACTCCGGATGAAGTTGTAGAGGAAGAACATATTATGTTGGAATATCGAAAAATAATGCGAATGTATGTTTAATCGATGACTATATTTTTGAAAATCTTAATTCATTTCTTTGTTATTACTTATTTTTCGAACAATTACTAAGGACGACTTTAACCGATTTTGCTTTAAGATGTAATGACTTGTTTCGACCTACCGCTCAGGGCATTATTATATGTGCATTTAACCTATTGGAGCTATTCACTGTAGACGCATCATACATTTACTCTTACATTTCGTACCAATCCGTACGACTTCGTACGAAAAGAAAAGAACTCGCATCCAGTGTAACCGCAGCCTTAGTCTTTCACACATACGAATCGTAAAACAATTGGCATACTTTCCAGTAATTATAGTTTTTTCTTAATCTATTTTTTACGCATTTTCAAATTGACTGATGGATTGAACTATCTGAAATATAATCGAAATAGAACATTACCACGTTTCCAAAACTCAAATGCCTGGGCCTTCGCCAATACTGTCGGATAATATGCAAATTATGTAATTATGCAAATAAGGTTATAGATTATGTTTATAACAATTATTGTAGACACAGTTCTAGAAAAATAGAAGTGTGAGTTAACGATGTGAAAAATTAATAACTTACCAATTTAAAACTTACTTAAAAGTGCATTATGAATTTTTTTTTCGAAAAGTCGGTTAATTTTGGATAATTTTCAAAATAAAATGTTGCAATTTCATGGTCACGTAGTATACAGGGTGTCCCGTTTAAAACTCCCCAGCTGGATATCTCGAAAACGGAAAAAGATAAATGATTTCTGAAAAATCCACTGTATAGTTTCAATAAATGACTTTACTTGTGAGTACAAATCCCGTTGCCCTCAGTGCAGGTATAAATGTCGCTGCAATCCGAAAACAGATTTTGTTGACAGCAGTTCTGAAAAGTGGCGCGCATGAAAGATCTGTAAATTATAAGCAACTTTTGTTGTATAAACAATTTTCGAAAAGCCACTAGTTTCCGAGATACTTGGATTTGAGGGAATTTTTTTCCAGGAGGAACATTAGCATAACTACTGCAGATTTTCGTTGTATTAGATTGCTTTGAATAAAACAGTGATGAATTAATTTTATTTAACTAATAAATATCACAGTAAATTACTTCATTTAATCTTGTTTACGCAAATCATACTCTTTTCGATCAAGATAAAGTAATATTTATTTAACAAAAACTGATGCAAAATTAACAATGGGGAGTTTTAAAGGGGACACCCTGTATACTACGTGACCATGAAATTGCAACATTTTATTTTGAAAATTATCCGAATTTAACCGATTTTTCGAAAAAAAAAAAATTGTTGGTTGGTCCGAAATAAAGCAGTGATTCTTTTTAAACCATTATCATCTGTTAGTCTAATTATGTATGGAGTATTAAAATTTTTATAAATTATATTTAGGCATATATGCATATCGAAAGAAGTTTGAGTAGATTATTAAAACTTGAATTGGTGATTCAACTAAATAAAATTAAAAATCGACTGAATTCATATAGTATAATTATATCAACCAGTGGCGGAGGTACTGCGAGATGCCCTCATTGAGGAACCCAGATATTCGAGCTGAGTTTTTTAAAAATTTGATGTGATTGAAGTGATAATTGCGTTTAAAAAAAAAAAAGTTTTATTCGAAAAACAAACCATTATCAATTTGTTATTTTTTAAGTTAAAGTAAACTTGCCATACAATTGAATAAATCGAAATTAATTCAAAAACTGATAGTTTTACAAAAAAATAGCTGTTTATCTTTTATTGTTGCAAACATAATTACAAATTTTGAATTTTGCGAAAAACTACAAGAGGTGAATTCCATTTAATTTTGCGAGCAGTCATTTTATTTAAAATTGCATTACTTTAAAAATTCCTATAAAGTTTTGTGACATGAACAATTTTCGATTTATTTAACTATATCTGTAAGTTTACTGTAGGTAAAAAAAAAAACAGAAAATCATTAGCTTTATGAACGAAATAGAAGAGATTGAAATTGATATACAATTGCGAATTAAATAGACTGATCAAATTTGTAAAATACTCAGTGGCGTCGAAATTTTGGGAATGGCGCACGCCTCCCCCTGTCTCCGCCACTGATTAATATAATTAATTAATTATATACAAACACATTAATTATTTTTCGAGATATTTGCATATGATATTTATCAAAAACTTTATTAATCTGTATATAAGAACTGTTTCCATTAAAATTATCAAAAGAATCATTTTATTATCGGAACGCACTTAAATACCACTCTGTGTGAAGTAAGTACAATAGGTGTAAATATTTTTGGAATTTACCATTATTAAGAGTAGCGAGTTTCTTATTCATATGTTAAATTAACCGAGGAATGCGGCCTTCCAACGGAATAATGACTATTGTTATTTCGTTCTGTCCGCCCAGGTCTTGCAGCAGCACCAGCAGATAACTTCGCAAGCACCACTTCCCCCAAAAGGTAGAATGCCGCGTGCAAAAGCCGACGCCAGACCAAGGGGCCGTATGACCGCCTACGCGTTCTTCGTGCAGACGTGCAGGGAAGAGCACAAGAAGAAACACCCCGAGGAGAACGTCGTCTTCGCCGAGTTCTCCAAGAAATGCGCGGAGAGATGGAAGGTAAGTTCTATCCAATTTTTCCATATAAATATTCAACCCTATGATTATTTTAGGGTACATTGTCATCAGTCTTTTTAGTTTTTTTGCAACGATATCGCGAATTTTGTGAAAATACGCTGCTTGTCACAATTAAAACTTTACAAATGAAGTTCAGTTAATGGATTTTGAATAAAGTTGTTAATTTTTTTTTTGTCTAAATTAGTGCAAAATATAAATATTTTTTGACGTACCTATGCTTGCAGATTATCACCAATCATTAAATTTATTTGATTTAAATCATGGTTTAAATAAAAAAAATCAAGTGAAATAAACATTTTCATTGAAATTTTAGGTTTCCATATAATATACAGAGTGAACGAGTGGATACGATTGCTTTTACATTTGAAACCCTCTGTAGAGTACATCAGCTGACTGTGCTTTAATAAAAAAACGTTTCCACAAAAATTTTTTTTATTAATTCAGATATCAAATGCTTTGAAGAAATCTATGATAAAAAACAAAATTATTTTTGCAAATATCTAAGAAAAATGTAATTTCTAAATAACCTCGTGAGTATAATTTTTTTGTGAACCTGATCAGATCAAAATGACTTGTTGGCAACCCTAACCCTAAAAAATATTTAAATTTTTTTGTACAAAAACGTATCCTTTTTGACGGTCTGTATATGCTAAAAACTGAAATTTGAATAAAACTTTCTACCTCGGTGCCGCTACTGAAGAAAAAAACTATAAGCCATTCGCAAAAAAATCAACTTTGAAAATGATTCCCATTTCTAGTAGCACCTTAATTTTTATTAGTTTATACATAATAATTGTTTTATAAATTAAGACTAATAATGATGCCGATTTACATTTGCAAGCAATGTGGACCATGTTTTAATGTCACCCGGTCAGAGTTAGACAATACATAATCAATTATAATCATAATCACTTCAAATTATATTATAATTTTTAATTTCCATAAAAATATTTGTATTAAAACGTAACGAACATTCTACGTATTTAATTACATAGTTAAAACAAATACTGGACGCACCTTATTTCTGGAACCGCCTGCAGCCGTATTTTTTGTGCAATGTTGAAATACTTTAACGATCAGTAATGGTGCTGTTGACCCATTATTAAAAAAAAAACTAATTTTTGTTACAACCGGAAAGCGTTGTTTTAATTTCAGATATGCGCTCATGTATTAATTAATGGATCATGACGGCGTGGAATAGTTTTGATAAATTAGTAACTGGAAGATTAATATACCAGTCATAATTGGAATTCAGATTCTGATAACAGAATTTAATCTTGCTGTAATACGGAGGGCCCTTTAAATGTCGTGAACGATTGTGGAAAATGTGAAAAATTATTCTGCGTTTGATGGCGTTTTTCTAATCGGATATAAACAGATCTTCGCGAGTGTGCATTGTACATACCCGTTGTCAAAAGTTTCAACATGAAACACGTATATTTGTAATAAATCAGTTCTTTAGGAATAATGTTGTGTCTTAATTTTTTTTCTATATCAGAATCTCTTGAAAACAAATAGGTAAAAATACAGATCAAAGATTTATTATAAAACATTGATTTTAATCTCCCTTACATGAACATTTTTCATGTTGTATGGTAAAATTTTGGTATTTAAACAAAATATATTAACAAAGGATAGGCACTGTCATATAAGAGGCTACTCTTTTTATTTTTCGACAAATAATTCCATCGTACTAAATTTTGCGATTAGACGTTATGATAAATATTGCGTGCACGTACCCACATAAGTTTAATGTAATTAAAAATATCAGGTGATTTTGAAGAGCCGAAAAATGTATTAACACATTTATTGCGACTGACATGGTTAGGTTAAAACCAACATTGTTATGGTACCACATTAGTGGATTTCGCAGGAGTATTACAATTTAATTAGTAAATCATTTCGTTTTGGTGGGTTAACCGCGAGGAGATTCTGGTATTCGCGAATGGGGAATTCAAAAGGTAGCTCGGGGATTCCCAACTCGAGTAAATTTGGCAAAATTTGCACCTCAGTTTACCCTCCGGAAAATGTTGTGTTTGCAACCTTGAATGTAACTATTGCTTTCTCAGTTCGAAGTATTCGTATGATTGGTATAGCTTTAAAACAAAAAGTACTTAGGTTCACATTATTTTATTATTAGATTATAAAACAATCAAGGAGAAGGCAGCACGTCAGGCGATCAAAAAATAATTTAAAATTGAAATGTTTGTCAGGCATTTTGAAACTTTCAAGGTTTACGAATTTACATTTTTATTTAAAAAAACTATGATTAATATGTTCAATAAATGTATTCGAATATTATCCAAATACATCGATTAATTTTCAGTAAAAATAAGCAAAAAAAAAAAAACAAAGCTCCCTTTAAGTGTAGCGTACAAATAAATATTTTAACCCTCTAAACATTCATTACGAGGCGCCCTTGAACAACAGTTTTTATGAATTTTTTGCGATCCGATCCCCGTTATTGAAATTTAAAACATACCTTTTTTTACGATCCTTCTTCTGGCCAGACCAAAAGCCGGTCCGCTTGAACAAGAGCCGGTATCGTTGGGAAGTTTATATTACCATTTCGTTTCTTATAGACGAAAGACGAAGGTAAACGGGTTTTCTGGTACTGGTGGCCGCATGCTGGGCCGTGTCATGCCCCTGGCCATGGACATCCGCTCGAATTTTTCCAGGGGATAGCTAACTAGAATATAATAGATCGGCGTTATATAAAAGCTTTGCAATAGCCTGAATGTTTTAAAATTTTGACTTTAAATATAAAATATTTACATATTTTGAAATATGAAATTAATACGTTTTTTTTCTAATATGGCTAATAATGTCCGTTCTACATAATGATAAATCTACATAGGAAAGCTAAACCGAAAAAACATATTGCAAATATTCTGGGATATTGCTATCTTATTTGAAAAAAATATACAAAAGCAAATGTTATATTGAATAGAAAATATTTTCGTTCCTTAAATATTTATAATTCTTTTATAAATACATTTCTATAGTAAATGACTGTACGTTTAAAAAAAATACTTATGGGTTTAACCGATAGTAAATGACGAAAATAACGTCATAAATCGATAGCAGCTATACTAATTTTTGTAATTATTCCAAGATCATTGACTTTTTTGACAAATGATCAATTTTAATATAGTAGCGCCACCAAATTTCAACGCATCGAAGTGAAGAATATAACGGTTTGGCGAAAAATCTTAGTCTTTTATCTGAATTCCGACGCCTATGCTCGATAGCTATCAAAGAATCGAATCTCAAGGTTTGGTCAGCTCGGAAGAAGTAGTAGTTGCTTCGCCGGTTCTAAATATTGCCGATATTATATAAATCTAATAATATCGGCGTTTATCGTTTATCAGGGAGTTCTGCAAATTTCTGCCGTTGAATTATTACTGAACTTCATTCAGTTTCGCAATGACCAAACAAAATAACAAATAAATTCCAGTCTCGGTCTGAGCCAATATTATGAGAGTGTAAACTTAGCTATAATAAAAACGGATTTATGTCGCTGTAATTAATAATTATTTATATATTAACGCTTTTGACGCGTTTAAATGTTTTTGTTCATTATCCCGTTATTTTAAACTTTTTGGCATAGGATTTCAATTAAATTTAATCGGTTTTATTTTCGTTATATATTATTTTCGGTAGGATCGGATATGAATGTGATTATAAATCATGTACTGGAAGATTAATGAGATAAGGGAAGAAGTATGCCTGCGTGTGCGATAATATACGCAAGCGCCGGGTTATTGCAAGAGTCTGAAAATCAATTGTGCCTCTGTGTTATGAGAAAGGGTAAAATTCGAGGGTTTAAAAGCTCTCATCTCCCCCTTTCTGCGTCCTACGTTCTCTAATTTAGTATATTAATATTTTACGTTCGTTGTAATTAACGTTGTTCCTAAGCTTTTTGTTACTGTCTTCCTGGTTAATTACATTTTAATATTTCCAATAAATAAAAAAAAAATAGAAAATTTCCTGCCCTTCATCATATACAAGTTGTGTCAATATTCGTTGTACATGGAACTACCACATATTCTTGGAGTCAAAATACAAAATAAGACGATTTAACTAAATTTGCCTCTATCCAAAGTTTCTTCATTTAGATGTTAGCGGGCATCACAGCAAAAAATTAAGTTTTTCGAAAATAAAGTATTTCTGATTTTAATAAAATTTGATGTGCTCATACCTATGTGTAGATGTAATTTTTTGGCATAGTAAAAATACCCTACCCCTAAGCAAATATTTTCAGATTTCTCCTGTTGAAATTTTGTTTCACCAACACATTTTTGATAAAAAAATAATGGTACTGATTTAATCGTCATAAAAATTTGATTTATTATTATTATTATGATTTTGACTCGATAGTGAACTATTAGAAATGTTGGATCACTTAAAATAATTTTCCTGAAAGAACATTTAATTACAAGTTTACTGAACAGGGCATTATTTTGTTTTATTATAAAATGAATAAAATTTTTTGACAATTAATGCAATTTTGTATAAAAAATGCGTTGGTGTTGACTAATTAGCGAAGAACCGTTAGAAATACAAGAAAAAAACTTGAAAAAATCACTTATCTATATGATAAAAAAGGAACCAAAGTTGTAGTCACCTGCAAAAAAAATATGAGCATATTTGCTTACGGGGGTATTTTTCATATGTCTGTAAATGCAATTACTATGACAAAAAGTGACATGCAGAGATACTAGCACATCAAATTCTATTTAAATTAAAAAACGTTTTAAGGGTTATTTAGAAAATACAAAAATGTTTTGCCAAATTTGGTGCCTTGTAGCGACTAAATGAACCAATTTTCGATAGAGGGAATAGTCTTGTTCTGGACATAAGAATATGAGTAGATCCATATACTTGGAATATTGGGAAGACTATCTATTTCAGAGTAAAAAAATCCGTTGCAAATTTAAATTTATTCTCAAGAAAAATGTTGCTGTTTCACAAATACTTAAACCTGGTTAAAAAAATGTAATGCGGTGCAGTTTTAATTTTTTTGTAAATATATTTCTATATACTTTTTTTTGCTCGTCGATATGTGTAATAACCATAAATAAAATATCTAAATATCTTCTGAACAAACGAAAATATTGAAATGAAATATTACACAATACATACATAACATGGTGTTAACTTGAAAAAATTAACACCATTTTATTATTGCACACTTTTGCAACATTAATTAAATCTAAATTTTTCAGTTTTACAAATTGTCGATTTTTACCAAAATAGCAAAAGTTATGCAGAAACTCATTTTTCTTCAAAATAAAAAAAATACCAATGAAAATGTATTCAATATTGCTAATATTTACATATTTCTTTAAGTTGAGACTTAATTTTTACATTAAATGTCATTAACGACTATGCACACAAAATGTTTCAATATATCTAGTTTCTCGGAAGGTATTTAGAAAATTAAAAATTTTTTTTAATGGATACCTTGTATCTCTAAGAAAAAACAAGAGCTCTAAGAGCAATACAATACTTTTAAATTTTGATTAGGATATTGCACCTTCACTTAAAATATAATTAATTTTTAAAGAAAAGCTGTTTGATACAAGAATAACCGTCAAAAACGTATTCTTTAATTTTGTAAATATTCAAATGGGCTTTTTTTGTTGCTTCAGACAATGTTGGACAAGGAAAAGAAGCGTTTCCACGAAATGGCCGAGAATGATAAGAAGCGCTACGATACCGAGATGCAAAGCTACACTCCACCAAAGGGTGAGAAGCAAAGGGGCAAAAAGAGGAAGCAAGTGAAGGATCCTAATGCTCCAAAACGATCATTGTAAGTATTTGTTTTTATTCAAATTTTTTTCCATCACATTAAATGTTTTATATACTGTCATGAAATTATTATTCATTTTCTTTATAACACACATGGTACACATATTCTTTTCTAATCAAATCTAAAGTAAAGGTGTTTTTATCAGAATATTTATGTGTTGAAAATTAATTTTCCCAAATTGAAACAGACAACAACTTGGCACAGTTTGATCAATCAACATCTCCAAAATAGATGTCTGGTTATATGCCTGTGCTAAATAAAATTGGGAAAATGGAGAGAATTTGACCTGCTTCAATGGATCAACTATAGACATTTTTTCTCACACTTGCCCAAAACATTTAACAGTAAATAAATGCATGATATAAAAGTAGGTACAACATTAATAGAAATAACATAACAAGCGATTGCATACCATGCAAAAGAAAAAAAAAGCTGTTTGCATCACTCCTAAATGTTTATAAAACCGCTATGATACGCTTGTAAATAATGACCAACAATATGATAAGCAATTGTAAATACAACCAACAGTTTTAACATTTATATGTGATATCACACTTCACTCTAATCATTGTTGCAGATCTGCATTCTTTTGGTTCAGCAACGATGAGCGTGCCAAAGTAAAGGCCCAAAATCCGGAGTATGGGGTGGGCGACATTGCTAAAGAATTGGGTAGAAGATGGGCCGACGCTGATCCAGAGGCTAAAGGGAAATATGAGGCGCTGGCCGACAAAGACAAAGCTCGTTATGAAAAGGTAAGTGCAAATTGAGGATAACATGATACATTCCTTACTTACATAAATAAAAAAAAATTCAATTTATTCTAGTTAATTGTAGAAACTGCATTAAATAAACCCAAATATTGAATCTGACGATTACGTTTTCATAAATAAACTGTGGACATTCCTTAATAAAACTTAAAATTTAATTTTCAGTTTTTCTGAAAATGATCTTTTTCTTGATAACTTATTGTTTTGTTCTCCAAATGTCAGCGTCATCAGTATTGTTGTTTTGTTTACAATGAACAATGACAAACTGTTGCGTCTGCATTCGAGATGACACAATTGCTGATTCGTTGAATAAAATCTCGTGTAAAATTACACCAATCACTAGCTGCTGAAACAGAATGTTACATTTTAATGTAATCTTAATCTTACTGTTTTAATCATTTTTAATTTTACCGAAATTTAATTACCAATGTGAAAGAAATAAAATAACTGTTCCAAACAAAACAACTGGGCATGTGGCTTTTAATCATTTATGAACCCTCTGTATTATTGACCCCCATCCCGTAATTGGTCTTGTACTGTAAGGTGGCGTAACTAGATAAATAAATAAATAATTCAAGTCACAGTCAGAAACTTTAGAAAACCTAGTTACGCTAAAAACATTAAAAACTATGATAGGAATATGAATAATGAATATATTTGAAAAACTGTTCCTAACTATTTGGAACATACTGTAGATTAGAAAATTTGGTATATTTGTGATTATGTCACCCTGACGAACAACCTGTTGGAAGATTTTCCCTAGAAAATCCTTAATAGTATTTCTCTTATTTTTTCACCATAAAGGTGGTCATGGTTGGCCAACACCTGATCTATTAAATAAAATCTTAAAATTGAATAAATGAAAAAAAAACAGGGATGGTTGGTCCTCGAATAGGTTCTAAATTAAAAGTGACAATGCAGGAACACTTACACAAAATGAAAACAAAATACATACAAGGTGTCTAGGAAATGGTGAGCAATCTCTCATGTTAGGACTTGTAAAAATAAGGTCAAAAGTATACAGGGTGTTAATTAAGTATGTACGATAAATTCAACAGATGATTATTTGAGTGATTTTAAGACAAAAAGTCCATATATTGGTCCGCAGATGCTTCGTTTTCAATATACAGGGTGTTAAATTTTTGTAAAAAAATTGCTATTTCGTAAATATTTTAAATACCGTTTTACCCAATTTTGTTGTAATTTGGCAGTGTTACTTGTAGTGTTAAGGGGGCTAATTTAACCCTAACTTGATTAGATTTCGGGACACCCTGTCCCGAAATTCATGCAACAAAATTTGGTCACAGATTCTTAAGACAAATTTAGGGGACCCATATTTTTTATTTTTGCTAAGTGGTCCCCTCTTTCGGAGTTACAGCCCCCTGAAGTCCGCCCCTAAGAATAATCTTTTTTTTATATCTCAGAACCCTGTTGTATGAGAATCATTAAATTTGGTACATAGGGGTTTTATGACATGTGGAATCTGATGGTGCTACGTTTTTTGGCGGGGAACCCCCTTAAGACAATTTTTCATGAGCACTCTTGTCTTTGGAGCCAAAAAAATTTGGTCGCATATTTAAATTTCTTAAAAATTATGTCCACTAGAAAGCCATTAAATTTAGAAACATTTTGTCTCTTTATACTTTTTTCGTAAAAGCAATGTTTTCGAGAAATATGGCAAAAAGCGATCGAATGCGTTTTACGAAACAAATATCAAGAGACAAAAAAATTTCCAAATTCAATGGCTTTCCAGCTAATAATTTTTTAAAAAAATCTAATTGGCGACCAAATTTTTCTGGTTGCAAAGACAAGGGAGCCCACGAAAAAGTGTCTTACGGGGGTTTCTCGCCAAAAAGCGTAACACTGCGAGGTTACACATGTAATAAAACCCCTGTGTACCAAATTTAGTGATTCTCGTCCAACATGGTTTTGAGATATAAAAAAGACTTCTTAGGGGCAGATTTCAAGGGGTTGTAACTCCGAAAGGGGGGGCCAGTTGGCAAAAAGAAAAAATACGGGTATCCTAAATTTGTCTTAAGAATCTATGACCAAATTTTGTTGCATGAATTTCGGGACAGCCTGTATATATGTTTTTTTTAATTGGAATCATCCTTTAGAGTTCTTAGCTATTGAAGAGAAGAGTTAAAAATTGAATTTTTATATAATCTTTTTGTTTTTCATTGTGTTTATGTAAAAGGAAGTTATTTCTATTAATGTGTTCAATTTACTGATAGCTACTTTGAAGGTCCAGGAACAGAACATATTCAGCAGTCTTAGAATTCAAAAAGGTGTTCTTCTTTGGTATTGATATGAGTTCTTGTTTTCGGGTACTTAATACTATATGTACTTACATGTCAGAAATACAGGGTGTTCTCAAAGTTGAGTCATTTATTTTAATAGCTGGTAGAACTAAAAAAAGTCGATTTACCAAAAATCGTTTATATAAAAGTTGCAAAAGCAGAGTTATAAAAATCTTGTTCTACAAAAATTGTTCAAAATTGCTACTATTTGTTTACCTTTTTTTACAACGCAGTGGTCGAAAATGACAATAAATCAGGTTTGTATTATAAAGTTTTTAAATTTCAATTTTTTATAATATTGTTAATAATTACTTTATTTGGCAAGTTTTATATAAATGATTTTTGGTAAATCAACTTTTTTTTACGAGTTTTACCAGCTGTTAAAATAAATGACTCAACTTTGAGAACCCCCGGTATATTGGTATCTTAATCATTATTTTGAAAACTGTTCGTTATATCGATTACAAACGAGTAGATCTTTTTCACTAAAAGCAGTAATAGTCTTAAAACTAAAAAAAGATCTACAAATTTTTTTGGGGCCATAACTGTCGAGAAAGCTTCGCCACAGGGCTTCCAAAGTAGCTATCTGTAAATTGAATATAACACAAATAACAGCTTCTTTCCAAAAGTTGTCCAAAGGACCCTGCACGAAATACAGGGTGGCCCACCAGTTACGCCTCGGTCGCTAGGTACCAAACGGCAAATGTTACAAAAACCTGTTTAGGTGGGTATGTGTAGGTTGATTACGGCTACATATTAAAAATATTTTGAAATATACAGGGTGTCCAGGAAAAGCGTACCATATCAAAGTTATGTATTTTTAAATGGAACACCCTATATTTTACTGCATTTTTGAAAGCACAATAAAAAAATAGGTGAACTTTATTAAAGGTTCTGCATACCTAGGACTTACAGTTTGTCAGATATTTCAATTTTAGTGAAAATGCAGGCATAGCGTAGAAATTTAATATTAGTAATAAAAAAATTATTTTAAGGAAGCTGCTTTGGAGGGTCTATTTTAGATCCTTGAAGTTATAAATTGTTATATTTGTCGTCACTTAGTATTATACAGGGTGTTCAAAAAACTGCTGAATACTTCTCTCAACTTTAAACAGCAATAACTTGGTTATTTTAAATGGAACACCCAGTATATTTTTACTTTGGGAGTTGGGAAATTTAAAACTCTTTCAAACTGTGTATAGGTTCCCTATACCTATCTCTAACGGTATTGGAGATATTTGTGCCGTTTCGTTTTTTATCGATTTTTTTTGTAAGATGTATCCACGTGTCTCTATCGAGGTCTTTACTGAATTGGTTTGGGTTCTTCTTGATGACGTCTCTTTAAATATAAGGAGAAAAATGTGAATGCAAATAGATGGCACACCTGCACATTTTTCATATTCAGTGAGAAATTATATAAATCGATAATTAAGTAATAAATGAGTAGGTAAGAATGGTTCATGTCAGTGGCTACCACAGGTGTCCAAACCTCTCGTAATGGACTTCTTTGTTTCGGGCTGTATAAAAATATATCTTGTACACAGTGTTCCACCTACTACTTGCGATGATATGAAGGAAAGGATTAGATATGCATTTGCCACAATCACCCCAAATATTCTAAGGAATGTGAGAATATCATTTGAAGATAGAATAAGATGCTGTATTCAAGAGAATGGTTATCAATTCGAACATCTATTAAAATTTTTCTTTGTTTCTTCTAAAAGTAAAATTTTCTTTAATAAATATTTTTCATGTTCATACATAATTCAGTTACTTACTACAAACATATCTATACAAAATTAATAACTTTTTATAATTATTCTGCTTATAAAATAATATTTTTTATTAGAAAACTTTTTTGAATATTGTCATGATAATGATAAATGGAAATTATACAGCATTTTATTTTATCTTCAAATGATATTCTCACGCAAATGCATCTCTAATCCTTTCCTCCAATATCATCGCAAGTAGTAGGTGGAACATTGTGTACAAGATTTTTTATATAGCTCGCAACAAAGATGTCCATTATGGTGAGGTCTGGACACCTACGTGGTCACTGACATGCACCATTCCATCCATTTATTACTAAATTTTCGATTTAAATAATTGCTTACTGAATATGAAAAATTTTCAGGTGCGCCATCTAATTGCATCCTCATTTTTCTCAATATATTTAAAGAGACGTTATCAAGAAAAACCCAAACCAATTCAATAAAGACCTCGATAAAGACACATTGATACATCTTACAAAAAAAATCGATAAAAAACGAAACTGCACAAATATCTCCAATACCGTTAGAGATAGGTATAGGGAACCTATACACAGTTTGAAAGAGTTTTAAATTTCCTATCTCCCAAAGTAAAAATATACTGGGTGTCCCATTTAAAATAACCAAGTTATTGCTGTTTAAAATTGAGAGAAGTATTCGGCAGTTTTTTGAGCACCCTGTATAATACCAAGTGACGACAAATATAACAATTTATAACTTCAAAGATCTAAAATAGACCCTCCAAAGCTGCTTCCTTAAAATTATATTTTTCTACGCTATGCCTGCATTTTCACTAAAATTAAAATATCTGACAAACTGTAAGTCCTAGGTATGCAGGTGCTATCAAAAATGTAGTAAAATATAGGGTGCTCCATTTAAAAATACATAACTTAGATATGCTACGCTTTTCCTGGACACCCTGTATATTTCAAAATATTTTTAAAATGTAGCTGTAATCAACCTACACATACCCACCTAAACAGGTTACTGTAACATTTGCCGTTTGGTCACTAGCGACCGAGGCGTTACTGGTGGCCCACCCTGTGTATGGAAAATGGTCTTTCAGTAAATCTTGTTGAAATTTTGCAGAGAGGTAGGTTTCAGCTTGCTGAACAAAATTCTCAATGATCAAAAAACCTCACTCAAGGCCACTGTGCGACTTGAAATATACGATAAAAGGTATTTCTTTGAATCTTGCTAAACACAGGTCAACATTTGGTCCACAATGAAACACCCAAAGCGGTCTGGTCCTTACAGGGTTTTTGGGATCACTGATTACGATGAATAGATCAGTTAAGCTCCATCACATCAGTTTTAAGATCATTTGAAGGACAAGTAAAGAAATAACCGTCGAAAAAGTCTGGAAAAATTCATACATATGTTTCCGAGGTCCCTAATCACGAAACCGTAGTTCGTTTTACCCCGCAGCGACTCCTAGGGGTCATGCCAAGGTCATTTTGAAGGTCAAGTAGAGAACTGATCGTTGAAAAAATCTGGAAAAGTTCACAAATATGTTTCCGAGGTAGGGTTACCAGATCTATTTCATGACAAACCCGGAGACATGACCCGTTTGTATAATTGACGTCTAAAAAAAAACGTTCTGCAATTGCAGTCGGACAAATCGTTGTCTAAAATAAAAATTTCGAAAAAATGACCGTCGGCCATATCGTATCTGCCATCTTGGATTTGGAAACTATGAAAATTTAACTTCATATTCGCGATCAGCGACCCTGAAAACCCCAAAGTAAAAAAATTCAGACAAAAATATGCTGTAGAATCATGTATGACTCAAAGGGTTAACTGACCTACTAATCGTATTCAGCAACCCCAAAAACCCTATAAGGACCAGACCGCTTTGGGTGTTTCATTGTTGACCTTGTTTAGCAAGATTCAACAAAATACCTTTTTTTTGTATATTTCAAGCCGGGTAAGGTTTTTGATCTTGATGTCATTGAGACTTTTGTTCAGCAAGCTGAAACCTACCTCTCTGCAAAATTTCAGCAGGATTTACCGAAAGACCATTTTCCATATATGTATTTTGTGCGGGGTCCTTTAATAGGACACAAAAATCGGTTTTCAGCTTTCAACTTCAAGAGCTAATAAGTAACTCTACAGGCCGAGTCCAAATAAAAAAATATCTTGACAATTTGGTCTTATCAGTTTTGTTTTGAGCAGAAATGATTGTTTTTTTGAATTACAGGTCACATTACTGTGCCTTACTCTTAGCTTAATTTTGTGAAACTATTCCCAACATCTTGTCCTGTTTGTGAAGTGAATTAAAAATTCTTACAGAACTCTGTTTAGGATCTCTAGAATGGGAAATTAAAGTGTAGAAAATATTATTGCTATTGATTGAAATGTTTTATAATTTTTGTCTCGTCTTCTTGCAGGAGATGACTGCATATAAGAAGAAGAACAACCCAGCCATGCAACAAGCAGCTGCCCCAGTACCTGAAGCAGAAGAACCAGAGGAGGACGAGGAGGAGAACGAAGAAGATGAAGATGAGTAAGCTGTAATATACCTCATTCAGTCGCCTTCTCATTCCTCTATTGTAAATATACATATTAGCAGTGTATTTCGTTCTTTCACATATTTTTTTTTATCCAGATGTGTGTACTTACAAACTGACAGACAGTGTGTGAGTGATGTGCAAGAGCGCCTCATTTGTATCTCATCCTACATCCACCTCATTTATTTAATTTTCAGTTTAAACAAAAAAGTGTGTAGTGTATTTTTACTATTCGAATTTGATTCTTCCTCGCGCTGTCTCAAACTCAGGATGGTGCAACGGGTTTGGAAATTTCTAAGCAGCCACCAGAAACGATTTATGTATTTTTTGTACGATTTATTTTTTTAAATAGTTAAGACCGGTATTAACGATGTCACCAACAGATGTTTAAACGTTGCGACGTTGTTACTATTTCCTTTTTACGTATGTAATCTGTGGGTTGTAAATGGATCCTCTTCCATGAAGTTTTACCATTTTATCCGTTGATCCCTCTTAAATTCCTTTATTTTCTTACATTTTAAAGATTTTACACTTGCTTTTTATTCTTCCCGAGTGTCGATGCGGTTCATTTACAACCCCTTAGAAGTCTGCGAGCTGCCAGTTATTTATTTTTAAAGTAACAAATTTTTAAGTTGTAAGTATCACTTATAGCGTAATGTATCTGTTTACCCCTATAGTATAAGCAGAGCAGACTATTTTTATTGTCATTTAAATTGTTAATAGTTGATGGGTTAAACCAAAGTAGGGGGGCGCCGGTCCCTTCGCACCTGTATATTTAAATATGGACAATACTTTCAGATGGTGTTACTTAACCTGTTGAACAAAAACCGTTTAACGATCGCCACAGCCGATAGTTTCTTTTTTTATTTCAAAAGCATGCTTGGAAATACCGACATCAACGATACTGCAGGCAGTTTTCCAGTAAAAAAAAGAAGTGCTACTGTTCCAAATGTGTTACTTGATTTCTATATTTCCAGCCATGTTTACATCGTATCGCAGTTTTGAGTTTTATTGGGACGATTCATAAAATCGCGGATCTAGGAGATAAACAAATATTTTCTTATTTACTTCTATTAACTATTAGGCGTTTTTAATTTTTTACAAGTTTTTAGTTTAAACAATTACTTTTTACATACACATTATACCATACCAAAATGAAAAAGTTATCCAGTTAACCATCTATTTATTTATGAATCATGTTTTAAAGATATGAAATCAGAAGTGGGATGATGATAAGGTGAAAACTATTGAGTAAAATTTTAAAATATACGTATCTTTATTAAATATACTTAACGAATCAAAAGCGAGCGAGTTAAACGACTTTTGTTAACTCCCAACACCCGTATTCTTATTTTCGTGTGTGCATAATTTATCAGTAATTTAATCTGTTAATATTTGTAAATTCCCACTGTACCATAAACTTATAATGGGAATACGAAATGTGACGTGAAATGTTGACTTATTATTATAATTAATTAATGAGATAGTTATTTGCATATTATAATAATTTTTAGTACTGTTAATGTTAATGTATCCATTAAATGGACAAACATTTCACTTCTCATAACAAATTGCTCTGTGTTATTTTAGGGAGAAAAATAGAAAGCAATGTTTGTTTTTTATATCTAATAGGGATAACTAAAAAAAAATTAATAAAATTTTCAGTAAAACTACTTTTTTCTTTTCACCTGCACCCGTTTCCTTACAGTATCTGCGTTTATGTATCTGTTCATATACAGGATGTTCCAGTATATCTTGTACATTTAACTAATCATAGGTAAGTCGATTTAATGAAATTTATGCTGCTAGGGCGTCAAAGTTAATCACAAACATTTCCTCAGGATGTAAACTGAAAGCTACTAGTAGATATTTCAAAAAATAATATCCTTGTTGCCATGTGCTGCTAAAGATTTCTATATCATTCGTATGGCTTCATTTACAAAAACGAAGCCTTATGACGACTATAATGAAATCTAATGTACAAATAAAGTGATGAACCTTACATTTAAACTCGTGTAGCAGTATTAAAAATTAAATATTTTCTGTTACAACCACTGTTTCATCATAAATGACATTAAAATAGTACATTTTTTGAAATGATACTTCCAAAGTTTTGACCAATTGTAAATAGGTAGATATATTTTTTGTGTTATGATGTTTTATTACTTTGTGAATAGTTGTTACGAGCTGTCTTGTTAGGTTGTCCGTTTTCGTTAATTTGTCATTAGGGCAGTTAGTTAAATATTTATTTCTCTGTTTTATGTTGATTCAGCAAATTATAAATATTTCTTGACAAAACAGTTTTAGTTTTAAGAGTCTTTTAATAAGTTTTATTATTGACGTCACTATAATGTTCACAAAAATTCAAAGTTATAAACTGTTCAAAATAAGTAACCATTGGAAATTTATAAGTTTCATATTTTATTTAGAGTAGAACCACAGTAAAATTTTATGTTTGAAAACGTTCTGAAAATCCGACATCTGTTTTACTGGTAACATTATTATCAGAAAGCAAAAAACACTAAATTAATTTAGTGCAGAATTATCTTCTTAGAACTCGGAGAATAATGCCAATGAGTAAGTTACATACAATATAACAAAAATTAAGTGTGGATGATAGAATACGTTTTGAATTTGACAATCTATTTATATGGAAGTGGCAAACAAAAGTATATACCCCATATTTCACTGTTTTTCAAGAAAAAAAACCTTTTGTCCTGTTAGGTTAGGTTGGGTTATGTTATATTAGGTTAGGATTAGATTAAATATTTTACATACCCATATGAGTAACTAAATCATATGTACATACCTAAGTGGATTACGTATTTAAAAAAAATATATATATTTTACCACTATGATATCTCTTATTTATTCTTTCAGCATCCTCATTTTTTTTGTCGTTATACTACCTTCTTAATAAAATTGTTTTTTATCTGAAAAATTTATTTTCGTTTGATATCTGTAGAAGAGATCAATAATTATTATTCGTTCTTCAGGATCTTAGACCATAGTAGGTATTACTGTAAAGATATTTACCTTTTTTTGCTTCAGCATGTTTAACACTGGTATTAACTAAATGTTTAGAAATATATTTGTGGTTTAGAAGTAGTAACTTCTGGGGACATTTGAAACCTATGACACTCATTTGTGATAGTTGTGCTCACATTTTGATTAATTTTTGTACTTGCTATTCCGACTACCACAACCATATATCTAATAAAGTTACTACGTCAACATACTCTATAAAGCTGGACTAGGGATAAAAAGGAATATAAGTTAATAAAAGTATACGGGTACATTTCTTGTATAGAAAAATTAATTTAATGTAAAGTATCACCTTCAAAATGAATTTCCCGATTAATATATAAAAACTTATACATACCTGCTTATAGAGCACTTATTTATTTTGGGTGATATTCTAGCACTGAGTGGATATTAACAGCGTACATATTTGTACGCTGATATTAATAACAATTTAATAATGGAGTCGGCTTTGCGTCCACATGTCAGTGACAAAATTGCAATAAACAACAAATCGAGCAGTATTTTGTTTTCCACCTTTTACACATATTAGCTGGTTTTTGGTTCCGATTTTTTGAGTTTTTTCGAGGTAAGTGCACCTATATTTTTTAAGAATTACCATAAGTTTTTGAGAATATGTTGAATAATTCGTAATTGCAATTTAAACGGTTATTTTCCGGGCTTTTATTAGATTTATTTCTCTCCAAGACTTTATTGATGTGAGTAAATATTCATCCGGTAGGTGCATTTTATAATTGTATTGATTTGGGATATTTATCCTTATGGACGTTGTCATAAAGTTGATAATCTGTTAATATTTATTTTCCCGGGTTCTGCGGATGTTTGACGTTCCCCCACCTCGTATTCAATAACCCATTGCCCTTGCGCTTAGACGTAAAACGCGCCATTTGCTAAACATTAGTTCGTCATGGCGATGGTAAGTTTTTTAATCCGAAATATAATTACATCTTAGTTGTATTCTCTTTAATTTGGAAAAATATATTTACACATACTTTGATGTGCTTCTAATTTGCTTGTGCATCAAGGAATTACATAAAAGCAGTACTATAGATTTATAATTAAATCCTAAATCTGTACGGTACATTGAAAGAAATGATAAGGTTTTCTTATCGAGAACTGAATTGTAGTAAGTAAATTTGTGAAATTATTTGTAGATAAACTTTTCACGAGATTAAGTTTTCGTGATAAAGAGGCCTATATTACAAGAAACTGTTTATTTGTATTGTGATATCTGCCACAATACTTGCAACGCAACAATGGGTACAAATATTAAAGAAGACTTTTCAGAATCAAAAGATTACGTCGCGAAAACTGAAGAGTTTGATGATCTGACAGAGGACATGTTTGATGGAAATGAAAAATTGTGCAGTTCTGAACCTCTGGAGGATGCTTTATTGGCTAATCCAGACAACTGTGGCATGTGTGGGTGAGTGAATATTGACATTTTTATTACATTGCATTCCCTAATAAAATATTTCAAAATTTCAGTGATCATTTGGTGGTTCCTAGGATGTTACACTGTTTACATGTGTACTGCGAAGAGTGCTTGGATAAAAAACTAGTGGGAGAAGCAGGTGACTCTGGTACCCCTAATGCTACTATATCTTGTCCGACTTGCAATCACGTAACTAAAGTAAGTGTCTGAATTTTAAATTTTCTTATATAAATATTTTTATGTAACATTTAAGTAACTCAATCCCCATGAATTATGGCTATTCATTTCAAAAGTAAGTGTTTTGACTAACTTGGTACTTTGCAACAATGATCTAGTTGTTTCATAGCTCCCTTGATGCTTTTAAATCCAAACAATAAGTAATTGTTGTATCTGCCTTGTTAAATTAAGTAGTGGAATATAAATAAGTGTAAAGACATTATGGAGGTATGGATTTTTTTTAACCTTATACTGATACATTTTTTATTTAATTATGAAAATTTAAATTGAATATATTTGTTTAAGCATGGAGGTTTACATTTCTCAATGATTCAATTGGAATAATTGCATTATTATAGTGCATAGTGACACCAACTTTATATAAGTTCTTAAATAATTTTTTTAATCATTTTTTGTTTACGCCCAATAGATTATTTTTGAAATTATATTTTCAACAAAATATGATATGATTTGTAAGAGCTTTCATAAATTACATTTCGTGGTTTATTATTTACAAATAGGGTAACTACTGTGCCAATTTTAGACCATTAAATTTTTTTACTTTAAGCCTTTTAACAACTTCATAAAAAATTCTTAGTTTTGGGGTCAACTGCTCAGAACAATATTTATTCTAAAATTGTTAAATATGAAAATATGTAGTTTTGTTCTTATGTTCCGAGAGATTTTTTAATAAAAACAGTTAAAAACACATTTTGTTACCTGTTTTCAACTAACTGCTGTTTGACTACAACCATAAATATTCTCAGTTATAATATCACAAGAGCATAGAAAATATTCGATTATTCTTCCGAGTCACGAGACATATTCTGCGAAACACCATGATAGCGTGGCTGGAGTGGTGTTTTAAGGATATACGTCGCGTGAGGCAGTTAGTATAATCGAATATTTTCGTTTGCTCGAGTGGTATTCGATACGATTATATAATTCAGAGCTTGAACCGAAGCGTTCCATTTTTTTTTTGACGTTTATTGACAAATGTTAAAACTATCGTTACCATGACATAGTTCACATTGTTGGAGGAGGCGAAACACCAAAACGGTTATACAACATCGTCAAGAGTATAGTCGCTTATCAATACATAGTAACTACGTAAAATTTGTAATTGCTATTGGCTAAATTTCTAATGAATTATATAATCACTTTTAAACCTCTCCTTATGTTAAAAACCACTCATTCACGCCTGAGTTGAAGATTGAAAATATAATCACAAAAGTTGCAACAAAGTAAAAAAGGGTTTTTTTGGACTGTATCTTCAGAATACAAAAATAAACACCTTTTTTTAATTCTTTTCTGGCTGTTAATTCGATTAGATCAGAAACATTTCAAGAGAATAAGAAAAAAATAAAATCTTAATTGAAAAATGAGACATTTTTTGATCACTCGGTGATTACAAAAACAAATCAAGGAGCATCAATAAACTGGTCGAAAACTGGCTCTCGTATTCAGTGGTGGCCCGTGAAAACTGAAAGGTCTTATTTGTTATCAAGAAGCATGGAACTTATACCGTTTTTTAGAAGGTGATTTCTAGATCCGCTAAAAGAATTTTCGTAATGAAAACATGAAAGAAATTTTGAAATATGAAATTAAAGATTGGGAGCGATCCCTGAGACCTTGAAAAGGTCTGCACATATACATATTTGTAAAATATTTTTTTTGTTGTCAACTGATAAGATACAAATGGGTACCTGTTTTTCCTAAAAGTTGTTATTATGAAATTAGAAAAATAGAATATTTGTATCAAATTAAAGTTGAAAACTATGAAGAAATTAAATTTTGGGAAAAATAAATAAAGCACCGAGTTGTATGTCAGTTGATTCTGAAAAAAAAATATTTTGCACATACAACCCTTTTTGAGATTCCAGAGAGGACCCCTTTATTTTAAATTTCTTATTTCGCAAATTTCATTTGAAATTTCTTCATCACGAAAGTTTTTATAGCAGACCTAGAAATTATCTTCTAAAACATGGTTCTTCTTTATAAAAATATGACTGCTTCAATTTGTGCCAGCCGCCGCTACTCATTGCATTGTTTCCAAATAGTAAGTTAAAATAAAATGGGAGATGTCCGATCATAATTAAATATAAACGAGGGGGTAATTTGAAACACATTTTAAGGAAAAAGGCAAAAATCAATATATAGTTTAAAAATGTGTTTCGTAAAATAGTATTGATAATACTAGTCCACCAAAACTCAAACCTGTTTAAGAATAATTCAATATTTATTTTATATTTTTTGAGGCAAGGTTCACTTCGTCATATTTAGTGGTTATCTGTCAGCAGACTACTTGTCTGCCACTGTAGATGTTTCCATAACTAGATGGCTTTAAGGCCCCGTACTTTGAGTCTTGGTTGAGGCTTGATTAACTAATCAGGCGATTAAACTGTGATTATTCTTTATAAAATAAATCAGTAAATGTAGTCTAATTGCCTGATCAGTTAATCAAGGTTTAACCAAGACTCAAAGTACCGTGCCTAAATCAAACAAAAGTATAAGTAAAACTGTTAGGGGGGAGGGACGGGCTTACCAAAAACAGGGAAAGCAAGAAGAAAAAATAATATTTGCTTTCTTATTTCTGCTCGAGTTTTACAAAACGAGTTGAAAACCAGTTTTAGTCAGATAACCCTGCAGTGATCTCATATAAAAAGGTGTACAATATTTATTGGAAATTAAACATTCGACATTTCCAAAAATTTCATTTGATTTAGAAAGTTTTGATAGGAACAATATTTTACCCATTATCGCTACTATTACGTTTACAGGTTCTGTGCAACAATATCTAATAGCGTATCAAGTATGTAAGCAAAACAGTTGCTCAAACTTTTTAAATTTCAACAATAAATCTTAACTTGCACCTCGCCTTTACATTTACATTAACCCTTAGCTCACACCTCATTTTTACATTTACATTAAACCTTAACTCGTACCTTGGATTATAGGTTGGTACGAAAAAGTTGGCTGCTCTACCCTTGGATGTAACAAAAACTAACATCTCTGACGTATCTAATTCGTCAAGTCTACATTGCACTTCATGCACAGCCAAAGAGGTAGCGAAATCTAGATGCAGCACCTGTCACAATCTGCTATGTAACAACTGTGACTCGGCTCATCATTATATGCGATGCTTCGAGTCCCACAAAGTGGTCGCTTTAGATGATATGCGAAAAGACGGCACTAGAATTACTATACATAAGCCTTTGGAATGCGATTTACACCCCGGTGAAAATATTATTTATAACTGCACTATTTGTAATGTCACTGCTTGCGGAGAATGCATTAAATCTGAACATAAGGGTCACCAATGCGAGGGGATATTAGATTCGGAAACTAGAGTTCGCCAAGAGATTGAAGTCTTACTTGCAAAAAGCAAAGAAAGAATTGAACAGTTGATGAAAACTTCTACCGGCTTAAATAGTAACATGGAGGAATTAGCCCATCAGCGCTCTACGGCTAGAGACCTTATCAATGAATCATATCAAAGCTACAAAGCTGTACTTGAAAAATGTAGGGATGATGCTTTGGAAGAATTAAATAAACTATATCACGAGCGGGAATTGAAGATAATGAAGGAAACAGATGAACTGGGCAAAACCATTGACAACTTCGAGGATGCCTGTAAATATACATCACGTTTATTAGAGAATGGAACAGTACCTGAAATGATGTATTTACGAAAAATCGTTACCTCACGGCTGTTGTCACTAAACAGTAAAACCCCAAAATTGGAGAATATCTTCAATATTGAGTTCAAATCCGATTTCTCTAATTTTGAACAAGTGGTGAAAGAACAATTTGGTAAATTTACCACTGAAAGCAATAATATTTCGAAAACATCTAGCCCTGCTTCAGTTATTCCCGATTTAACTCCGCTAACCATCAACGGAACGTGTTTACCACAAGCAGCACCAGTAGCAGCAGCATCAGCGGTTATCACAAATGGATGCACTGTGCCACCTGTCACCAACGGAAGCCCTATTTCAATGCCTACTTCTATGCAGTCATCTTTCGAAGGCGACCTGGGCAATAACTTACAAAATTTCTCCATAGCTCAGAGCCCTCCTTTACCTCATGTCAATTCTACTGCTCTTCAGGGCTTTTCCAGTATTGCCGAATATAATTTGGCGCAGCTTGCAACATTGGCTGAAACAACTGGTAGTGCTGCCACTTCTCCAACCCCAACACCGTTTAACTTGGCAGATTTACTGACCAACGATACTGCCTATAAAAATCTGGCCTCACTTGCCAAGTTGGGCCTTTCTGCTGCTGGTAAGTTGAAGCATGCCCTGTCACTTAGAAATTGACCCTCTAGTAGTTACACAGAGAAAACTGATTTTAGTTGCTAATTTCACGGTAGAATTAGACTTTTAAGTTTGTTTATTAGATTTTTATGGAACACACAAAAGATCACCTTACATTTAAAAAAAGTCCTGACCTATATAATTTTCCCTGTTTAATTATTTCAAAGTAAAATTGTCAAAATGTAGACTGGTCAATTTCAACATTTTTTGATTTTTGGTTGGCTACTCAAGAACTTGGGTAAAGAAATGGTTGAGACAAATTGAATGGGGAAAATATCTCAATATTTTCACTTGTTTATAACATATGTCTTTTATTTTTGGCTGCTCTTTTGTGTCAAGTAACTTATTGATTTGTGAAATTTTTATATTTTTTTCTCAGATAATTATTTTTATTTATTTTTAGCATAGAAATCAGTGTTGTATATATTTCCTTCAGTTTTTGTTGTAATTCGAAACCTTTTTTTTTATTGAAACCTTTAATGTTCTAAAATCTGTATAAAATTTTTATTCAAATGATGTGTCATGTGGAATTTGAAAAAACAAGCATATCAAAAAAATTTTTAATTTCAATCTCATGATAAAATTCAGTATGGCATTAGAGCTGGTAACCACTTGAGGGTTTATTATTCTTTAAGTCTTTGTATTTTCTCAAATATCATTGAACGAAATATTGAAGCTTATAAATATAGTACAAACAACTGAGTACAAATTTTATCTATATAGATAATAGCTTACCAAATGGAAATAATATGCTAGTGCGTTCGACTTCGTCAGCATCATTGAATTTAACAAACAACCTTATAAATGGCTTTGGCGGTGTATCCACGTCAACTTCTCCCTTATTGTCCACTCCCGATGATATTATTCCCGACCCTATGACCACTATTCTCCCTCCCACAGGAACATCCAACAATCCTACCGTGCCGCGCACTAACAAAGTCAGTCCGATGCAGATTCGTTGCAAATTTGGCCAGTTGGGACCTAGCAAAGGACAGTTCAACTCCCCCCATGGATTCTGCTTGGGCCTCGAGGAAGATATTATTGTTGCCGATACCAACAACCACCGTATTCAGGTGAACTTAAATATATAATCTATAGTTTAGAAATTTTCAAATTTTTATGGATATGTTTTAAAATAATAAGTCCCTGCCACTGGATGTCACGTAGCTGAAAAGTAAATTTTGTGGTACTATTACTATTAATGTTAGTAACATTAGATATAAAGGGTCCATTTAATTATTGACATTGCCCACAGGTTTAGGGGCAGCTGGGCCAGGGGGCTGCAAAATTGATAATTCGTTGATTAAAATGTTATAAACTAATGCAAACAATTAGGGGGTTAAACAAATTTCCGAAATTTTTTTGTGATTTTTAACACTGTATTTAGGTGAAAAATGGTCGTATCAGAATTAAAAAAAAGAAATTTGAAGCTCTAAGATTCTAGTTTTTAGATCTTTCGCTAGAAATTTTTTAGGAGCTACGGTTATCATCCAATTTTAATAGCGCGACAAACAAAAAAATTTTGCAATTTTTTTGTTTTTCAGAGTCCACGGACTTGGAAAAAAAATTTTCAGCTAAGCCATTGTATGGACCAGATAGTTTGTTTATTCAGCTTCAATTTTCTTGTTTTTAAATTTCGTTACGACCATTTTTCACCGAAATATCGGACTTTTAATGGAAACGATCGTTTTGTCTTCAATCATCGATATCTGGGCGACAAATGGTCGTACAGAGAATTGAAGGGTAATTTCAAAAACTAGAATAAATTTTCTATAACATGCCGCCGAATCTTTTCAGAAAAATAATTTGTTTTCATCTTTTACACGAATTTTAAAAAACAGGAAAAAAAGGGTAATTATGGTTTTTTAGAAAATTGACTGCTAAATTAGAAATATTCATGAAATGACTAATGTTAGGCATGAAGCTTTTACAGTTTGATATACTCAGAACAACCCTGTGAAGTTTCATCTGGATCTAGCGAACCGTTTCTTTGTTGCAGTCAATCTTTTAAAAAAAATTAAAGTGTCCCGTTTTTTGAGCTTAAACACTTCATAATCATAATTAAAATGGAAAATAAAATTTTTGAAACCTATCTGATAGCGTACCTTATAAACTCAATGTTACTAATTTGACAGTTTTATGTATACCAGCTGTGCTGTTCGTTTGTTGGCTGACTGACATCATGAATTATATTGTGATATTAATATTTTCATAAATGTTTTAATCCTTACTGGACCATGTTTAATAATCACTGCACAACAGATCTCGGAAACTATTACATAGGTATACAAAAAGGCTTAAATAGACAATGTTTGCAAAATTTAATATTCACCATCGTACCACTAAGAAAACAATTCAATTTCTATTCATTTGGATTTTTTTTCAGAAAAAATTTAATAAAAGCCTTTTTAATACTCAGCATTTCTGGAAAAAATTTTTCAACCTGTTCTTGATAGATTGAATGTTGTGATGTTATACAGATATTGATTTGAATGATTGTGTAGATTGATTTAATTGAATTCTGGTTATAATTCTAAACAATGGTGTCTCTGCCACTTGAAGTCATTTTGGTTGCCGTACGACAATTCAGAAAAATAGTATTCAGAGCACCCTGCATAGTATTTTGAATATTTTTGTAGCAAGTAATTCCATTTTTATCTTAACAATCGGAAAAATTTTTTCGCTGGATTTAATTTTTCTTTTAATTAATTGTCATGATGTTTGAAGTTGAATTGTTTGAAGATATTTGATATTTTCAGAGGGTGTTACAGTCTGTTTGATAAGAGCGTGAACGGCAAAACTCACAATATTATTTGTGATAATGATTTGCATCTGATTTTCATTTTTCCGCGTAAACCACCTTTCGGCAGATGGTAATAAAGCCTTCTGATATATTTTGACCATTTTGGCAGCGTTCAAATTTTCTGTGAAGATGTGCAAATTGCCAAATCCATGCTGTGAGAGACAGCCCCAGACGTGCACCTTTACTGGGTGTTTAAAGATCCGCCGGATTAGGGTGAGTAGACCAGGTATGAGTGATAGAACATACCCAAAAAGAAGCTTTGTCCAAAAACATTACATTGTCCCAAACACGGTCCAAATTTTCTTTCGCCCAATTGAGTTTTTTTTCGACGTGTTTTTCAGACACTAGCGGTTTCTTCACTATGCTTCGAAATTTCACTTCATGGACCAGTAAACGCCTTCTTATAGTGTCACACAACACAGACCCTTTTTATCCAAAATCGCTTGCCCCCTACACAATGATAGACAAGGATTCTGCTCAAACGCCTGTAAAATCATTGTCCTCCGTTTTCGTCATTTTTTGTACAGAGCCACGATCCGGTAGGTCATCGACGTTTTTTATGTGGAATAACATTTCACCCACTTACTTACAAATGTCTGTAAACACAGAAACATGGCTTCCTAACGTGATCCATATGCAGCAGACATGGTGAAACACGTTTTTCTGTGACCAAGGTCAAATGACAACTGAGGCATCTGAGGGGAACCTTCTCAGGTTTAAATTTCCCCTCTAATGGTTTCGAGGACAAAGTTTTGCCATACACGCTCTTATGAAACAGACTGTATGTCTTGTTTTCTTATGGAAATGGTTGGAGATGGGTTTGGCACTGTATTGTAGTGCATAAGATTTATCGGATAAAATGTTAGAAATGTGGATATCATGAATATTTTATATAAAACATCATGAATATATTCCAAATTTTTTCAGCTTAAACAGACCTTTAACTTATACACTGTCAAAAGCTTTTTTTATTTTGAGAGCTAACAACTTTTTACATAGTTCAATTTTGTTGTTTACTAGTTGCGGAATGATGAGCAAGAGGAATTTTGTTTCCAGTTAAGTATCTCATCTTAGTAATTTTTAAAAATAAGTGTGAATAGGTGAATAGTTGATTTACCTTTGAGTTATTCGATTTGTCTTAGGGTTGAGGTGTAGGAACGGCATTTTGAAGACCTTTTGTAAAATCATTTAATTAATTCTAAATTTATCTAAATGTACTTTTTTAAAAATTGCTAATTGTGAAGCAGTAAAAGCCGCACCAAAAAGACTGAAAATAAAATTTGTGTAATTTCTCATGAAAACGTAACTACTGCATTTAATGGGTATGCCCCTGGTTTCAACTGGGACTTTTATGCACAAAATTTCGTTTCAGTATTCATTTGTTCAGAAAATATTTGTGTTGCATTTCTCAAAAATGAGAGCTCCAAGGTCAAATGTTATTTTTAAATTTGTGAAAGAGAAACCTTACACCTTGTATATTTATTACTTGATAACACCATCTATAAAAGCACTTATTTCTAGAGTTAATAAAACTTAAATGTTTTGCATAAGGTCATAAAATTTTATTAACCCAATAAAAATTGATACATATGTTTAATAATAAATAAACATACAGCATTAATTGGCTAAATGCAATCTATATGTTCCCTTATAAAGATGTTCTATACCTTTTTTTTTAATATAAAACTACTTTAATAATTATCAATATGAAATCAGCCTTTTAATTTTTTAACGTGTGGAAAATTAGAGAAGATTTAGAAGCATGAAGCCAAAAACACTCCTCTTTCAGATATTTGAGAAAACCGGAACCTTCAAGTTCCAATTCGGAATACCAGGAAAAGACGAAGGCCAGCTCTGGTATCCCCGTAAAGTGGCCGTTATGAGAACGACTGGAAAGTATGTGGTTTGCGACCGTGGAAATGAACGTTCTCGCATGCAGATCTTTACAAAGAATGGACATTTCCTGAAGAAGATAGCCATACGTTACATAGATATCGTCGCCGGACTGGCAGTCACCAGTCACGGTGAGATCGTGGCAGTGGACAGTGTCAGTCCAACGGTATTCATTATCGGGGAGAGCGGTGATCTTTTGAGATGGTTCGATTGCAGCGATTACATGAGGGAACCCTCTGATATAGCCATTCACGGTACGGTTACAAACAGGTGTTTAATTAATTCAAATTAATCCTGTTTGTATTTTAGGCAAGGAATTTTACGTTTGTGACTTCAAAGGTCATAATGTAGTCGTGTTCAGCGAGGATGGTCATTATTTGCGCAGGATCGGTTGCGAAAATTTGACCAATTTCCCTAACGGCATCGACATTTCCGATGCAGGCGATGTTTTGATTGGTGATTCCCACGGAAACCGCTTCCACGTTGCGGTATTTTCACGTGATGGGTCGCTTATCTCTGAGTTTGAGTGCCCATACGTTAAGGTGAGTTATTATCTTTAGGCGCAAAACAATACTAAGCAATTAGGGAATCGGGAATATCTTCAAATTCATGTTAAATATACATACTGTGTGTAATCCATATGGATTACTGACCGGAGAGGGGAATTTTTTTACATCAGATATTTCTTAAAAAATTTTGCCATGTCATCACAGTCACAGTTTTAAGTTGAGTCTTCATATTAATAATTTTATCGTTGGGCACCTTGAGGCACTGATTTGACCATTATGGATTTTTCTTTATGGATTATGTTGCTTTCAGAAATACTGAATGAAAAATATATATTTTTTTAAAAACATTCAGAAAGCTCAAAATATTCCTCTCTAATGTTACTTTCAACAATATTGATTATGTGTAATCGTTATTGAAAATACTAGTAAAACTGGAAGTTGAACAAATTAACGATTATTATAAAAAAGTTTGTAATAAGTTTGCATATATCATTCTAAACAAAAAATATACCGGGTGTCCCATTTTCATTGATACACGTAAATATCTCTTCAGAGAATCCACCAATCGAAAAATGGTCTAAAGGTAAAAGTTATTCAGTTCACTAGGGGAAACCAGTTGCTTACCTAGGATTTGACATTGACTTCACCTTGAAGGTCAACTTCGGAATTTTAAATGGGACCCCTATTTTTAACCTTGGAAATGGATTCAGCAGAAAATTTTACATCCGGATGTGATCACAACTTTAACCTCGAGGTTAAGGTCAAGGTCACAACGAGTTCAAATGATTCGTGACCCTTGAAGCAGTTTCGAAATAAGATAAACTCCAAAATCGATGGGATTTACATCAAGGTACTCAATCACGACCTTTGATTCGTCCTTGACCTCCATTTTATCAAGGTCAACTATACAAATCGACCTTCACCTCTAAAAATGTTGCTATGGATGTTAGGATCGATAATCTTGGTTTCATCATAAATAGTTTTTGTGATATTTTTATTTTTTATTGCTAAAGTGACAAGAAAACGAGGATTCTATATCTGATTTTGAATATTGCGCCTAGCTCTCTGTTGCCGAAGGTGACCTCGTCGAGCTCTCAATTTGAGTAGACGAATAGTATTAGCATTAGGATGATGACGTCTTGGGAAGCGTTCACGGTATAACACTGCGGATCTTCTGTAATTATGGTAACATTCTGCCAGAACAAGAAGGATGTTAATGATATCGTTTGCTGGATAATCTGCCATTTTACCTCAAACTTAATCCAGATGTTGGTTTAACATTATAATCACAGTCTTCACAAAACAAATAATAAGCTGCTTTCCAAAATGCAATAAAGTCAAAGATGAAGTAATGACATATGAACATCAATATTCATAAATACAGTATCAACGCAAAAAAATGACGGAATCGTGGAGTTCTCCTGTGCTAACAACTTGCTTGAGTAAAAAGTTGAGTTTACATGAACTGCGATCTTACTTCTACTTTGAATTGATGACTTTGACTGAAATTATTATTATTATTATTATTATTATTATTATTATTATTATTTTTATTATTATTATTATTATTATTNATTGTAGGAAAAAATAAAGCTATGAACGAGTGCGAGGAGAATGATAAAAATATCTTGTTACTCAACCAAGGTATAACTTCGTCTGAGAATTGAAAAAAGAGATATATGAGTACGTTACAAAGTAAATTGACTGACTGAAAAATTGAGAAAAAATAAAAATATCATACTATTTGTGAGCCATTGAATTATGTTGTCATTACGTTAGTATTCTGGACTTAAATCTTCACCTGATCTTCAAATGAACTTTTTATTTGATCCCTTACTTTGCAGACTTGGATACTAATTTACCGTTTTTCCAAGATCTGAACTAAGTAATACACGGCCTGGCAGAAAAGAAAACAAAATGAACCTTCAAATTCAATCCTGAACATCTTTCGCAACATTTTTAGAGGTGAAGGTTTATTTTTATAGTCGACCTTCAAATGACCTTGACAAAGTGGAGGTCAAGGACGAATCGAAGGTCGTAATTGAGTACCATCGATTCTGGAGGTCAACATCTTATTCCGAGGCTGCTTCAAGGGTGACGAATCATTTAAACTCATTGTGACCTTGACCTCAAGGTCAAAATTGTGATCACGTCCGGATGTAAAATTTTCTACTGAATCCATTTCCAAGGTTAAAAATAGAGGGTCCTATTTAAGATTCCAAAGTTAACATTCAATTGGCCTTCGAGGTGAGGTCAAGGTCAAATCCTAGGTAAGCAACTGGTTTCCCCCAGTGAACTGAACAACTTTTACTTTAGGCCATTTTTCGATTGGTGGTTTCTCTGATGATGACAAGATATTTACGTGTATCAATTAAAATGGGTCACCCGGTATAGGAAAAATTTGATCGACAGTAAATGTGTTTAAAAATTAAATTGTTAATGTGGTCAAACTTAAAACTTTTCCCATTTTTTAATTATAAACAACTGTTTAAGTATTTCTTGTTCTTTTTTCGTCAAAATTAAAATTTATTTATGATGCGATTTTTTTGAGAAACAAAATTTTTTATGATAAAATAAAAATTAAAAAAAGTGTCTACTTGTGGGTAGTAATGTGTGGATCCACTCTAGGTTGAATTTAAAATATTTGCTGCAGGTATCCAGGTGCTGCGGCTTGAAGATAACATCAGAAGGCTACGTCGTGACTCTCGCAAAGAATAATCATCATGTGCTGGTTTTGAACACTCTGTATATCCTGTAAAGCCCCATGCAAGTAGATTTGATCTCGCACTGTACACAGTACTGAACTGATTTTATTTTATATAAGTAGTTTAATTATTTTTTATTCGTTTTGAATTTTTTATTAAGTGTTTTAAAGTTTCCAAACAGTTTTATTTACGTACGTAGTGGTACTGCATACTTAGAGATATATTTTCTTTATTTTTTAAGAGAAACAAATTATTTTTGTTTTGACTTATCCAAAATTGATTCTTTAGCGGCAGGCAAAATATGGTTCCTAATATTTAGTTCTTATATTAAGGCGTCAATTAGTACTATTTTTTGATTGTTTGGAGTGCTGAACGTGCCAAGATTAACAATTACTTATAGGTCTTACGTGCTATTGTTGATTTTTAGTTTTATATTTTTTTTTTTGTTTTTGTGTGCTTGTCACAATGCGTGTGTGGTTCTGTGAGTGGCTTTCGTATTTTCGTTTCTCGTCAACTTGGGAAAATTTCACAAAAATTCGCTACACACTTTTGTCCTTAATTTCGTTTCTTATACCGTTGATTTACGATGTTGTCGTCTCATTGGAGTTCAGTTTGGTTCGAGTTGGAGGGAGAGTTTAATTTAAAATGATTTTGTGAGTGACATTTTATTTTCATATAGTTTTCTCTGGAAAGTGATTCCGATCCTCTCTTCAACGATTTACGTTACTACTGTATCGAAGCTCAAGTGAAACGAACAACTGTATATAATTTTTTGCGTTACTTTTTAACTTACGAATCGATTGTAAAATTTTCGTTTTGGCCTATTTACGCGTTTGTTTCGGTAAATTCGCCCTTTTTTTGAGAAATTTTCTTAGGCTTACGTGTATACTCAGGTTGGATAGCGTTTCCTCACGGCGTGTCGCCGTGAACAGTGCCATGTAGGTTAGGACCTAAGGTTGCAGCCTAACAGCTAGCTTTTGTGATTCTGTAACAATCTGAAAGTTGCCACTAAATTCCAATTACGAGTGTGTGTGTGTTCTTCTGAAACTCACCGTCGCGCGGGCTGAATAATTTACGTGCCCGCCGCGTCCGGTAAACCATGCCTGTGATAATAGTATCTTCAGGATAAGTTGTGACCTTAGTCTCTTGTTGTTATTTTGTGTGCCGCGCGTCTGCCGCTTGTTTTTCGGCGGTTCCGCGTGCCACAAGTGGTTTTTAAAATTATATGTATATAATTAATTATATAAACAAAAAATACAAAAAAAAACTCGAATTTTAAGGCAGATTGTTTATGTATTTAAAAATAATCGTATCTTATACACTATTTATTGTCCGATGAGGAGAAACTGTCTATCTTTGGGGGAGCCGTACCTATGATTCGTACCGTTTTAGGTATATGTACAAAATTTGCGATTTGTCAAACGCGTCGAGATGTCTCGTACAGGAGGTGCTGTTTTCTCGCGTCTAGCTAATGGTTATTCGTTTTTGTTAGTCCCGTTTCTGTTTTATAGAAAAAGACGGCTTTGTGTTAATTTTTATTTGGGATAACAGCGCGCCCTGTCTGCAATCAAACATTTGGAATCGTAATGTGTAAATACGTTTAATTTAGTAAAATATAGTTCAAATATAGGTGGAGATTTACTTCGTTCTCGCTCCTGCTTGCGTAATCGATTTGTTAAATTTATTTTATTACAGAGATATATGTTTATTTTTTTGTGTATATAGTTGTTTTTTGTTTGCCAATGCAAGGGTTGCGTTTCACAAAAGGGATATATCTTAAGACGAACTAGCGAAGGTGGGCAGTTTCTTTCCGAGGATTTTGTTCTTCAAAATTATATGTGATGTCAATAATCTCACAATTTAACAAATATTCGATAGTCTTATATTTACTAGGTAGTTTTTTATTTATTTACCAAATATTATTTAACTTTTGATAAGTAAGTTGTCACATATTAACTTTATTGAGTAGTATGGCTATAGTGATACTTCGTATATATATATTGCATTTGCTCACATTTTCTTGAAGAGTTAGGTTATCTATTTCCCTCTCGAATTGTAACGACAAATTTATATTTCTCCCGACGGGGAAGTAGGTACACGCCAATTGAGAGAAATTTACAAAATTAATTTTCAATTTAAAATTAATATATTATCAATGTGATAGATTTTTCGATGATTTTTACAATCACAAGTCTTAGTGTATTTACCAAGTGTTTTTTAGATACTCGTATACCAGTAATTTTTGCCATAATATTTATACATGACTAAAAAGCTGACTTTTTCTCAGTTTCCTGTTGAGTATCATAAATATACATATATACATATACATTAAACATATATTATCCCACCAATATTCATTAGCAATAAGTATTTTCAGTCAGTATTGGAGTGAAGAATTTTATCATTCCATTAGCAGCGCTATATTGGATGCTGCCGAACGTTTATTTGTTTTTTTGTATTATTTTTTCCTTAGATGGTAGTGTAGTTTAGACAGTATAGAATACTTGTTCGGTCCCGGCGAGTTCGAAAAATATCAAAGTTTCCTTTTCACAGTAACGTTATGAAATACTTTTTTGTCAGTATTGCATTAGGCAAAAATGAAGTTGGTTCGGGTGATATTTCATTCTCGATAATTATCTCATTGGAACATTAACAGAACAGAAAATGCAAGCAGACTAAAAAAATGTCATGCCAGATTGATATTAAGATAAAAAATGGACAGATTCACCTCAAACTTCTTAGATAAAATGCTTAATTGTTTACATTTTGCATTTCTCTAAATTTGAAAAAAAAAGAAATAAGTTTCAAGTTCATATATTCAATATTTTGGTGACCCAGAGACGCTGAAATGCTTAAACCAGCAACTAACTTGCTTTTATACAAAAATCTCTCCTACTGAGGTATAGCTGTCTCAGTGTGATAAAGTCACGCGACATTTTTTCATATAACTAAAAAAAATTTAATTATAGGCTTCTTATTATTTGAGTCTGGTGCATCACTAGCACATGTAAGAAAATTATATACAAGGTGTTACTTATTTATTTTTGAGATTGCCACGCTCATGGCCAACCTACAATTTTTTTTATGTCCATCTATGGCCATCTAAATTAAATGTAATACAAAATTTCATTCAAAATGCTTTATCTCTTGTAAAATATAGATATCCTGTGTGAACTACTTGTAAAATAATGGTGTTAATTGAAAAAGATGATGTTCCATACTAATATTTGGAGAAACTATTTTATACATAAAAATAACAAACAAAAGTATTTCCTAGAATTTTTCCTATAACAATTCGAAAGATGTATTTAGTTTACTTTTTCATTTTGCTTTTTACTCATTAAAAACTTTAAAAGGAAGTTTTGTACTATAAAATGACAGGTATAAAGAGTTATTGAAGTTGTTAATGAAGTGAGAATCCCAAATACACTGTATACAGGGTATAACAAAAGAACCGAAATAGCAGAATAACTCGGCAGGAGAGCATTTTAGAGAAAAATGTTTAATACAAAAGTTTCAGGATTTCTCCCATTGACATTGACACATTGACCTTACCCTTGAAGATCATTTCAAGGTCAAATGGGACCCTATACTTTTGACCCCAGAAATTAAAAGAAGCGGAAAACTTTACGTTCAGATATGACCTTGAGTGAACCCTCCCTTTTAACCTTGGAGCCCCCACAAGGTCAAACTGACAAAAGTACAGGAACGGCAGAATAACTCGGCGGGAGAGCATTTTAGAGAAAAATGTTGACCTTGAAATGATCATCAAGGTCACCATCGGATAGCCAGGAAGAAATCCTGGAACTTTTGTATTTAACATTTTTCTCTAAAATGCTCTCCCGCCGAGTTATTCTGTCGTTCCTGTACTTTTGTTAGTTTGACCTTGTGGGGGCCTCAAGGTCAATAGGGAGGGGTTACTCGGTCATATCTGAACGTAAAATTTTCCACTCCATTTCTGGGGTCAAAAGTATAGAGTCCCATCTGAAAAATCACATTTGACCTCGAAATGATTTTCAAGGTCAAGGTCACCATCGGATAGTCATGGAGAAATCCTGAAACTTTTGTATTTAACATTTTTCTCTAAAATGCTCTCCTGCCGAGTTATTCTGCTGTTGCGGTACTTTTGCTATACCCTCTATAATTTCTTACACATGCAAGTGTATATTTAAATAAATAAAGATGCATATCAAGAGAGAAGTGTCGAGCTCAAAACGTTTTAAAGTTATATGAAAAAATGTTGTGTCACATTAATATATCGAGAGGGCCATATCTTGGAAGGTGATTTTTGGTCTAAATCATTATATTTGATTCTCATTTTATTCCATAATCTTGTAATGTCAATTTTTTCAACATTTTGCTATTTCAAGACCACACAAAATTTGTTCTATATAACACTCATTTTGTCTATTTTTCTAATCTTGTGCCCATAATACCTGAAACTATATTCACCGATGTTTATGTGCCAAATAATCGTCTCCATATGTTGTTAATTTAAAGGTTTTTAACCAAACACATTGTTTTTTGATATTTTTAAACTCCAAAGGACTGGAACTAAAAGGCAAGTGCACCAGACAAGAAATGTGTCTTGTGCATTTGCTAATAGACAGTTGTTACTTAAAAAATATATCGATGTACTGTTAGAAGGCCCTAAAGGCTTCAACAATCACTATTCTAGACCATATAAGGTTGTGAGATTTTTATTTCTCAACTAACTGTGGTACCTTTTAATGTTTTATTAGTGACCCGTCGTATAGAGCTAAATAAAGAAATGGTAACGCTAACAAGCATATTAAACTATTTACAACCAGTGCTTCAAGCAGCACAATAATTCGTGGAGTACAATATTTTTGTGGGATTAAAATTCTTTATATATTCTGCAACACTAGTTCCAACATTAAAATACGGAATTATACAATTCAAGTATTTGAAGTGTTGACGTTACGATCTAAAATTTGATTCGTTTAAATTTTTATTGTGATATTACATCATACCAGTATCTGACATTTGCTGAGAAATTCTTTCGTTGTAAATATATATACATATTTTAATGTTTATCTTTTCGAAATGTGATTATTTTTTTTTATATTCATACAAGGTAATGTTTATATATTTTAATAGTTGTTTTAGTATATTTTTATTTTTTTTAACACAATATATACATTTTTTTATTTCCAAAAAAAACGTTATTTTATATAAATATGTAAAGCATATATACCTAAACACTTTTTATTGAAGATATATTTAAGCAATAAAAACTAAAAGGTAGAAAGTGTACTTGCCATATATTTTTTATTCCAATTTTATTTTTTTGAGACGTTTTGATGCTGTGCGGGCCGATGTATACACTGCATTGTCCCGTTGTGGCTTGGATTAGATACTTTTTATAGTCATTTAAAGTACAAATGTTTAATGTGTGGATGGATAACATATCATATTTTAATCCCCTCTTATCCGCCGACTAAAAAAAATCACAGGGACACTTATTTTTAACACCAAGTTTGTTCTTGTGTTGAATTGATCATAGGATGAGTGATGACCGATATTACATTGACCTTACTGGAAATAAAGACGTTACTTGAAGCAGTATGTGGGCAGTTTTTTTTGCTACATTTTAAAATTACTTTTCTAAAAATGTATTTGTCGTATTGTTTTATACATCTCGGTGATTTCTTCAGCTTCACCCATTTTGCAAAGTAAAGTTATTGTATTTGCCCTCCATTTGATAAATTTAGAGATGGGCACTTTTAGGAAAAGTGTGTTGCGGACATGTCGATGAAATGTCCGGACATGTCAGGAAAAGTACTTTCGACCTTGAATCTAATAAGGCACCTATGAGTGACGTCATGTCTTCGCAGGTCACTGCTTGAGGGTACACAAACCAAATATTACTTTTATTCTAATGAATATGTGTCCATATATTTTACTTATTACCTACCTTTAGACTTTTTTATAAACTGGTTTGTTATTTTCCCCGGACAGCCAATACACTTATTTAAATGTTTTTCCATCCTACTGGAATTCTTAAAAATTGTTTTTGAGCAGAAGTTGCATCTTTAATAATTTTCACTCAATTCAGATAAATATAGCCAAACTGTTGATTTTGGCGTCGTACTTCATTTACAAATTATTTGTGTATTAAATATTAAATTAATCAACTGATTACTATTTACTAATCGTTAACTTTGCCAAAAATAATAAAATATGGTCATATAAAAGAGGTTATATTTTTAAAATGTCAGTCTCCAGTTTCAGTTAAACAATTACCAACAAAATTACAAGAAAATGACTAAATATCTTTAATTTTACATGTACCAACCTCAAAAATTTTTTACGGGAATTACGAATGCAACAAATTATACCGCGCATGCGCATACAACATGTCCACTTTTCACGACATGTCGATGGACATGTCCAGCTGAAATGTCCGCGGCACATCTCTTGATAAATGAATGGGCTTTCCAGCTGATGCTGCTTGAATTTTATCGAATAATGACGAATCGGGTCTAACTGTTTATTTGGGTGTTGCTAAATGTAATATGTGTCATTCATGAAAGTCATATGATAAACGAATAAATTCACTGTGTCTTAGTCCTGTCATATTAAACGAATTAAGAAATGTATACATTTTTGAAAGTAATATTAATTGTTATCTCTTTCCAAAGATTTTTTTAGTGATAAGGTAATAACAATAATTATATTCGCTAAGCTCTATATTCAGCTAGGCACATAGAGTATCTGATATTATAAATGGTGTGTTTATATAGAATGTGTTCGTTTTTGTCAGAGACGGGGGAATGCCCTAAGAACCCATAAGCTTAATAATAACCTTTGAATTTTTATTGTAGATGTTGAGATCCTCGTGCCGTTTAATCGTTGTTAAAGAACCCGCAGTGTTATCCGCCTCTTTCAATAAGCAGTTGAGCTGTGGCATTGAACGTGTTTTTGATAGAACTATTTTTGATGTACACGTCCATGCAGATTGTATCGGTTGATATGCACAAAATGATTTGATTTTGAGGATTATTTTGAGAGAATCTCATACACTCTGCACGGATCAAATCTTCTGTAACAATCACTCATAATATTAATCATCTGGCCTTACCGCCAGTTTCTGTGTACCTATATATATACATACATATATAAGTAGCACTCTTGTTTCTCTGCTTAACCTTCCGATATCGTAAAATTTAATGTTTCTTTAGTTTCATTTGCTTCCTTTTCCTACCTACTACTATTAGACACTATTATACATATACATAGTTTATCTCGTAATATTATATATGTATTATATTTATAGAAGATTTTTAGTACGTTTAATGTGCTAATATTTGATAAAATCTTTTAAGCTGCAAGCATGCAAAAATATTCATTCATATTATATTGCCTTATGTTTTACATCTATGGTTATTCAGGGTGGCAAGAGCAAACAAGCTCGTGTATTTTTGGAACTGTTTTTTATTTAAATTGTACTGAAGGTTGTTTTTAATTTGTAAGTTATATTATTGGTTTTTGAATAAATATTAATTGTATTTTGTTGTTTATCTTCTCAAAGTTTTTCTGAATTTATTATTTCTGTGCTACTACTACTAGATTATCAAGGAAGGCGGTGATATCACCTTTTCGTTAAGATGCAGGTAGGTAGGTTCTTTTACGAGGGTCAGTCAAATATACACCGGACTTTTGTTTTCGCAGCAAGTGAACTGAGCGGAGTTGGTAACTGAGCAGGGTTATTGCAGCCGGGGAAGTGGGGAGGGGATTGACGCAGTTGCGCGCACTTGTCGCCATTTTGGCTTGTCAGTACAGGCATATCTGAGCAAGAGGTTATACCGGCGATTGCGCAACTTGTTTTGTTAATCGATTTCTTACATGATCGTCAGACTGTAAATGCTGCCTATTACTGCCAGTTTCTGGACAGCGCAAAAACCAGCTCCACAAACAAAAGACGCAACCGGTCAATCAGAGATGTGATTTTGTTGCACAATAAAGCTAGACCTCGCACTGCCGCACTGAGTCGAGATAAACTGAACCTAATGCGATGGCATCCTCCGTACAGCCCAGATATGTGCTCTTGCGACTTTGATTTGTTTGGACAACTGAATGAAGCACTAGGCGGACACCATTTTCAGAGTGATGAGGAAGTAGAGGAGTTTGTGCGCAACTGGGCCTTGACAAGACCTCAATTTTTTTTTTAGGAAGAAGGTATCTGCAAGCTCCCCACGCGTTGGGAAAAATGTGTAAACATTGAAGGGGGCAATGTAGAAAAGCAATAAACTTATTTTGTAATTATATTTTGACTAAATAAATTATTTTTAAAAAAATCCGGTTTATATTTGACTGTCCCTCGTATCATGTTTTTTCTAATGGTGTTTAAAGTGATAGTTGGTGAAAAGTGGTTGTGTATTGATAATGAAGTATGGGACCCAACATGGAGAGAACATTGCGATGAAAAAATTTTGAAAGATTCGTGAAATAAATACATATTTAATTCGGGAGTGGCAAAGCCCGAGATCTCGAAAAGGATTGCATATAATTGTCACGGTTTCTTCAGTTATTTTTTATTTTATGTTTTGTTAATTTAAATTTAGTTTTAATACCTCCTCCATTGTTTTTTTTTGTACATTTGCTCGCTTCCCCTCTACACGTCGAGAGCTCCATGATTCAACAAAAACGGTCTTCGAATCTATTGAGCCACGCGCGTGCACGTTTTTAATTCCGTTTTCCGATATAAAATTTTCACTAATATAATTTATTAGCACTTAATTAGTGCAAAAGGATATTAGACTAGGCGGTATCTGTTTTGGATTAGGTGAATTGTATATCCACGGAGATTCTTGGCTTTTTGGCTTTCAAATATCACTAGAAATGAAAATTTTTCTATGCGCATAAAAAAAATGTGGGCTTAACTTTTGGCGGCACAATATGTTAAAAAAATTCGAAAATGTCATATTTTTCTTCCTATTTAATTATGTATCTTTTCAAAAGTTGATTTTAAGCGAAAATGGAAGAGGAAAAAAGGATTTGTAATTAAATTTTTTACAAAATCTGACCAGCTATAAATCAAATGAATCATGATTATTGTAAAAATCAAAAAAATCGCCAAAAATTGTGTTAAAAAACATTACTTTTTTTTTAGGGAATTTTTTCAGTATATGTAAATTGGGTATAGGACCTTCATACTTGGCTCAAGAAAACTTCATGTTGTGTAGAATCATCACACTAAATTTAATCAAAATCGGTTTGATAGATTTGCATAATAATTTTGCAATCCAGGTTTTTCAAAAAAAAATTGCAAATTTACGCAAATTTTTTTTTAATCGAAACATCGAATTAAAAAGAATCTAAATCGGACCTCTAGAACAGGGGTCGGCAAGTAATTTTAGGTGGGGTCCGGATAGTTTTGAAAATTTTTAATGAGGTCCAGAAAAAAAATTCACATTTCTTATTTTTTATTTTAATTTGGACTCAAATTTAATCTGCTTACTAACCATTAAGAACTCAAAACACACACAATTGTAAAATACTAGAAAAAATGATAAGATTGGCACTTAAACGTAAAAAACATTTTTTAAATAATTTATTTGAGCAATTTGTACTTTAAAAAAATTTTTGGCGGTCCAGTATTTTACCTTCCGCGGTCCGGACCTGGACCGCGGTCCGCCAGTTGCCGACCCTTGCTCTAGAACAGGGGTCGGCAAGTAATTTTAGGTGGGGTCCGGATACTTTTGAAAAATTTTAACGAGGTCCAGAAAAAAAAATTCATATTTCTTACAAATTTTTTGTTTTAATTTGGATTCAAATTTAATCTGCTTATTAACCATTAAGAACTCAAAACACTCAAACGCAAAAAGACATTTTTTAAATAATTTATTTGAGCAATTTACACTTTAAAAAAATTTTTGGCGGTCCAGTATTTTACCTTCCGCGGTCCGGACCTGGACCGCGGTCCGCCAGTTGCCGACCCCTGCTCTAGAAGCTGAGATATTAAAAATTTTTAAGCGCGTCGCGGTTTTGAATTCGCCTCTTCAATCAATTTCGACCAGGCCAAAGCTGCCGCACTCCCTGCTTCCTCCGCCCCGTACGATTTTTTTTAATTTCTCACTTGCATTTTAAAGTAGGTTGCCAATGAAGAAAAGTATTGCAAACTTAGACCTGGTAAGTTCTCGGAATACGAAAGGTATTTTTCGAAAAATTAGCCCAGATGTCCCAGTACTGTAAATGACTGTTAACTTTGATCGGCTATAACTACGTAATTAATTGACCATTCGATCTGTTTTTTTTAAAGAAGCGTCTTTCCAAGAACTTCTAAAACCTGTTTTAAAAAATTTGAGTTGGTTGAATATTCACAAAGTAAATTAATTGTTTATAAGTACAAAAATTCGACCGATATGTTTAAACAAGTGCCAGAGCTCTCCTAATTGGCGGATTCGATTCTTTCAAAAAGCGTTTGAAAGCTTGAGAGCCCTTCTATATGATTAAATTTTCAAGTATCTAAGTGCCTTGGTTTTTGCTGTACAAAATTTTAAAAGTTTGCTAATTTTTTTTCAAAATCTGGATTGCAAAATTATGCAAAATCTATCGATCCAATGAGATTTGGTGTGATGATTCAACATAACATGAAGTTGAGCCAAGTATGAAGGTCCTATACCTAATTTAAAGACCCCAAAAAAATTCCCTAAAAAGTAATGTTTTTTTAACCCCATTTTTGGTGATTTTTTCGATACAAAATGTTCAGAGAATTCTAGAGCAGATTCCAACATCAAAAAATACAAAAGAAAATTCCTGTAAACATATAGGTCCGCAAATGCTTCGTTTTCGAAATAGAGAGGGTGTCAAAAATAAAATAAAATAATGTTTTTTATTAATAATTTCTAAATTTTTCATCGGAAATCGTTTAAATTTGGGTCAATACATTTATGATACGTAGTTTATTAGAATTTGGTAGAATTGATTCCATTTCAGACCCATCAGAGGCGTAGATATGGGGGAGTACCTATTGACTCTTGACCAGATAGTCTACACCACTGATTTTCCTACTGGTTATTACTTTATTTTTAGGAATCTCATTTATTTTAGAGCAAATAGGCCTCCTTGCATGTTTGCCATTTATACCGAGCGGCTTTCGAGCTATTCAAGAGATTTTTAAAATCTATAAATAACAAGCGCTGTTACTATGGAGAAATATATATTTGTAAAACGAAATAATTGAAAATTAGAATTTGTAGTATTTTTAATTTCTAAAATATTTTTTTTGGCATCCTCTATTTGGAAAACGAAGCATTTGCGGACCTACGTTTATCGAATTTTCTTTCGTATTTTTGGATGTAGAATCTGCTCTAAAATTATCTAAACATTTTGCAACAGTGCAACACCCTATATATTTTTTAAGCTTTAATATTTTAATGATTTTATTGCGAAATACATACCATTTTTAGATCTATAATACTCCAATGGATCTACATTAATAATTTACAGATAAAGTAATATTAACAACTGAATCGTATTTTTCTAGATTTTAGTATGTCAATATTGACAATAGCATTTATTATCCCGCATAAACATTATATTGAAAACTTTATTTTATCATCTTATGGTTTTTTATCAGTTCAAGGACGTACTTCACAGGATGTTGACATCAAATCGGGTTCATATACTCCTCTTCGTCGATGACAGATAGACACTTTACTTAACCTATAAAACAAAAAACTGGTTATGACTACTTTTTAGCCTGACAGTATTTATTAAAAGTAAACTTAAAATATGGGCAAATTGACACAATTTGTTAATTGTAAAATTCTTAGAAATCATTCCATTTTTAAAGAAGATTTGTGGGTGAGAGATGGGAAAATTGTAAATCCTGAAAAAGTTTTTTTTGATGAAAAAGTAAAGGCTGATTTTGTGATAGATTGTAAAGGAAGCATAATTGCACCAGGGTTCATAGAGTTACAAATTAATGGTTAGTAGAACGTGAAATATAAGAATATTTTAATTACAATACAATACATTATTTTTATTCAATTTACATTTATTTCGCCCAGATGTTTTCTATTATGTCAGCCGATAGGTCAGTACAAAATGTAAATACTTACCTATAACATTTTTATTTCTGGTTTTAGTGTCTTTAATTATAACGATAACGATTAACGAATAAATATAAGTATTGAATGGATTTGGTAACATTTTTTTTCAAATATTTAAGGTGGTCTGGGCTATGACTTTTCCTTTCTTGAAAATACAGAGAAGGGTGTTTCTGTTGTTTCAAAGTTTTTATTAAGTCATGGTGTAACATCATTTTGCCCAACTGTAGTGACCTCACCAAAAGAAATATATCACTCGGTATTACCAAAAATTACAAGAAGAAAAGGTGGTAAAAATGGAGCTACTATTATAGGGGTACATGTTGAAGGACCTTTCATCAGCAAAGCAAAAAAGGGGGCACATCCTCCAGAACATATAGTGACATTTGAAAAAGTAAGTAGGTATTGTGCAAAAAAGTTTAAATCAATTCATATGGTTTATGTAATTTTTTTAGGGTATATCAGATTTAGAAGATGTCTATGGAAGTTTAGACAATGTGCAAATTATAACATTAGCTCCTGAATTGGACAATTCATCTAAAGTAATACAAGAACTTAGAAAAAGAAATATAATCGTATCTGTCGGTAATAATTATAATCTGAGTCAATGTTATTCTACTATGTAATGCATTTTTTTAGGTCATTCCATTGCCGATTTAGCCAATGGAGAAGTTGCCGTAAATAATGGGGCTTCGTTGATAACGCATTTATTTAACGCAATGTTACCAGTAAGTACAACAATATGAATAAAACTCATTAAACGCAGCTTTACAGATCAGCCAATTTATTATTGTAAAAAACAAATCACTTCCTATCATTTTTAATATTCAAAGGCAAACAATTTTTAGTTCCATCATAGAGATCCAGGTTTAGTTGGGCTTTTGGCATCGGACAAAATTCCTGAAGGAAGGACTATCTTTTTCGGAATTATCTCTGATGGCATTCATACTCAAGCAGCTGCGTTAAGGATTGCTTATAGAGTTCATGCTGAAGGTGTGTACTTAATTACTCTCTCACTTAAAATGCGTTTCCAATGTTCTGCTTTCAGGTTTAATTTTAGTGACTGATGCCATATCGGCGATGGGTTTAAACGAAGGACAACATAAAATTGGTCAGATGGATATAGAAATACGAGATAGAAAAGCATACATAGCAGGGACCAACACTTTATGTGGAAGCATAGCTTCAATGATACAATGCATTAAAATATTTTTGCAAGCTACTGGTAAATTACTTGAATATTCACTTTGTGCTTTCGTATATCTTTTTGTTTCTACATGGGAAAGTGATGCATAATCTAGGTATTTGTTCATAAAATTTCAATAGCATTACCACATTTTGTAGGTTGTACTCCAGAATATGCACTAGAAGCAGCAAGTTTACATCCAGCGAAATTACTCGGTATCGAGAAAGTTAAAGGCACGTTGGACTTTGGCGCAGATGCAGATTTTGTTTTTCTAAACGAGAATTTTGATGTTGTGTCTACATGGATAGCCGGAGAATGTGTTTATAATGTTGAAGCTTAAAGTTATACGTTTACTATATCTGTTATAAGTTATAAACATTTTTATATAAATTTTATAAAAAATATATGATTATTTCCAACAATTTCAACTCTATTTTATCACTAGCTACTAACAATGTGACGAAGTCATGGTTAAGTTACACGCGGTGCCACAAATATGTTGGATCAGTTCATTGTTGAATTTTGTATTCTGCAAGGAAATTGTAATGTGCTGTTCATTTCGCATAGAGTTCCAACAATGCTTACACACTTGAACTACCTTTTTTGTTTATCTTTGGTTTGTGTAATTTGACTCCTCAAAATGGCATCATGGGAAACAAGCTGAAGTGTCTGTGCTATCATAAACATATAGGTGGAATAACACTCCTCGGACGCCTTACACAATCTACATATTGAAGACGAATCACTGTCTACTACTTGGACCTGGAGATTGGTTTTTGTCGAGTCCAATGAATTAAAACAATTCTTATCTTTGGTGTTAATTTGTTTATTAATATAATTCAACATATTATTAGTAGAAAAAACTCAATAATTTATAAATAAATACAACTGAATACTTTATTTTTACACTTATATTACATGATCATTCTGATATTAGTTAAAATATTATTTATAATTTCTATTACTTCGTCTAAATTCCACTGAACCTGAAAATTTCATATTTATAATTATTAACAATGTTTTTAATTTTAGTGTTGCAATATTCCATCAATAAAATTTTTTGTTTCTTATTTCTTTTAAACGTTTCTTAACAGATGGATTAGCAACAATATTTTCATATATCTTTTTATTTTTGATCGAAACATGGAATAATACAACATCTTGTATATCAAAATTATTTAGCTCTACCTGAATATGGCTTACCGTTCTGGTCATATCTTCGATTTGATTGATTTTGGCCATAGTTTTGTTTGTTATTGCTGCTGGATACTGGGAAACAGTCAGTTTTTAGAATTTCCTCTATATTTCCATATCCTTTAAATCTTACGGCATATGTTCTATCTGTTATCGCAGTTATAACGGCATTGTAAAACTGAAAAAATCCAAAATGTTGCTTTCTTTAATATTAATATAAAAATCAGTCCAATAGTGAATGACATGAAGTAACTTATTTTTTTACGAGACAGCCCATTGTTTAGTTTTACAATAAGTAGCTGCAAACACTAAGGGGAACAAGTTTAATAAAATAAAATTATAAAATGAAAATTATTAAAAGAAAGAATACTACAAAAAGAAACAAAAATTATGTAAGAACCAACTTAAAAAAGAAAAAAAATTAAAAAGTATTTTCTTGAAAATGAAAATTTTCTAAAAGGGATAGAAAAATTGCAGTTGTTTCCGAAAATTCGAAAAAAATTTCACCTACAAGAAAGTAGAGATGGATAAATGGTCACGGCAACCCCATTTTTCATTTGTTTCTCGAAGTGCACAAATCTCTATAAACTCTTACCAATTGCAAAGAAATAAATAACATCAATGTCAAAATTTGAAGTTAATATCTTGAAAATCATCGTTTATTGAGAAAAAATGATTTAGAAAATATTATTTTAATGCCTTATATATTTAAAAGTAGATAAGTTTACCAAATCATTTTATTTGACAATAAAAATAGTAGATGGCTCTGATATTATTTGATTTAGTTTTTGATCAAGATCTCTATTTTCTTTGTTTAAAAATATTCGAGAAAAGTAAGAAACAAAAAAATAGAATAACTAAACAAGCTATATGTAATTAATGAATGCAATAAAGTGAGAATGTAATAGTAAACAGATATCGAGCGGGTAAGAGCCTTCACAAATGACTGCAAGTCACGTGACCAATAATTTGGTTTGGTAATAGAACAAAGGTTGCTACTTTGTTTATAGATAAATAAATGAATTATGGAAGGTCCAAAAGTTTCACATGAATTTAGAGGGCAAAATGTGCTGCAATTTCAAAAGAATCTGGTTCAGCATTAAAAAATACATGATATTTACGTTCCAAATTGACACATTAGAGACGTCTGAATAGAGAGTAATACATATAACAGCGGAATAGAGAATTACAGGAATGAATGAAAATAGAATTAAGCAATAGATACGTATACAGGGTATTCCTAAATAGTGTCACAACAGAAAACTGTAAATTCCACTTGATTATTTCTTATGGGGTCACATGAACAGCATTGTCTATGAAACCCCTGTCAATACGGTCGAAAAATTGACCACTAGGGTTGAAACCACAGCGGAATAAATTAGAAATACCCTTCAAATTCCTATTAATAGTGGTAATATGTGTACAAAAGCTCAGTCCTGTAGTTCAAACGGTTCTTAAGATATTGCCAAAAAATTAAAAAAAAATTAAAGTTTTGACACCGTGTATCTCGAAAATGAAAGCCCGAAGAGAAAAATTGAAGAGGAAAATACTATTTCCTTTTTTAAGAGAATTTACAGTTTTCCGTTGCGATACTTATTTAGGAACACCTTGTATATTGGCTACGTTATGTAGAGACTTCATAAATGATTACAAGCCATGTGACCAGTATATTGTGTACTGACAAGTTTATATACAAAAGATACATGTTGTGTCCCTAATATATTTAAGATATAAAAAGAAGACAGGAAGTGAATATGTAAAATTTATTTAAATGTCAATTGATATACTCTTGAATGCTATAAAAACAATTTTCAGTTAAGTATCGCTTAGTAAATGTTTTAAAATGCTTAAAATTTATTATGTTAAGTTTGTGTCAAACGAAACTATTTACTAAAATATTATAATACTATACATACTATCTGGTAAGAATTATTGGTATAGTCTTTTCGAAGTCAGTTGAACATGTATAAAAAAACCGAGCAATCAAATTTAATGAGTTTCATAAGCGTCCTTAAAAAAGTTTTCTGCTAAAGGTAAAAAATTATAATAACTTGTTTATGTGTAGAAAATTTCTATTATATGTTCATTTGACCAACATATTTTAATTATTTATGTCCTTAAACAATTTTAAATGCCATGTTGTAATAATATTAGTAAACAAAATATCCTTATTTCTCCATTTCGCAATTGTAATATCAATGATTTAATAGAAGTTGCCTATCAAAAATTAAAATTACCTAAATCACACCAAATTCCGCATTGCTGCACTGCACTGCTGGGCAATTTGTCGACCATTTATCAAAAGCTGAGATTTTTTGCCTAGTAGCCCAATGCAGTTGTGTTAGATTTTGTTTGCCCGCGCTCGCATTCTTCAACTGGGTATATACATTTCTACCACCTCTACGTATAGTTCGACCAGACCTGTATATGGGTATGGTTAAATAAATATGGGAACTTTTCAAATATTTCAATGCCGAGTTGCTGCGTCAGCGACCGAACCTGGTACATACTGTCAACGTCTTAGTTCTTAAATTGATATCGGAAAGACTACAATGCGTGTAGCCGATTTTTGCAAGCAGACTCTTAAACGACGTTGAATTCCCCCAAAATAAAATCCCGTAAGTCAAGTGACTATTTATTAGAGAGAAATAAACAGATCTTAGAATATCATGAGGCAAACAATTTTTAAGTTGTCATAATACAAATATTTGAGAAGATACGTTTGAGCACAAAATGTCAATATGTGCTTTCCAGTTTAGGTGATCGTCCAGCATTAATCCTAGCAGTTTCACTGGCCTAAAGCTAAGAGTCCGTCTATCGGATGTGTAATTTTGTTTAGAACAGTAATTTTATTTCCTTCATGTTAGCAATTAAATTTCGATAAAATTAAAATAACATCAAGATACATTAAAACACAACATTCTGTTTCACTGGCCAGTGGTATAATTGGTATAATTTTTCATGAGATTTTATTCAAACAATCAGCATTCACATTATCTTGGGCATATACGTAATAGTTTGTGATTGTAAACAAATCATCAATATTGGTGATGCTTAGATTTACGGATTTTTAGTTGACACTACCAGTTAGGTTGCCTAAAGCTCGGCCGTCACGTGGTTTGTAATAATTTATGACGTCTCTGTACAAAATGATCGCTACAAAAAAAAATACATACCTTTCCATCTTCCCAATACTTAGCCATACATTCATCGCCAATGTTGAACGTACTGTTTTGGACAACTTCATTTCTTTTCGAAGGCTCCTCACTTTTCTTAACGGGACCTAAGTTTAAATGTTGCCTTAAGCTCCTACTCGCAAACTGGCTATTCAAAGACATTTTGTTCATATTGTTTGACAGATCATTTTGGTCCTCTTTCTGTGTATTGCAATTACCCTGAGATACTTTACTGCTTTGCTTAGGTTTTTCGTATTGCCTTGGATTACTGTTTATATTATCTTGATTATCGTGATTTGGATATTTTGAATAGTTATTACTTTGCTGTTTATCAAACGGTTTTGGTGAGTTGTCCTGTTTATTATGATATGGGTATTTTGAATAGTTATTACTTTGCTGTTTGTCGAACGGTTTTGATGAATACTGGTTCATGTTTTGCTGTGAATTATTTTTTTCGTATCTATTTTGTGCTGCTGGATGTTTATCATTGTAATTTTGTTGATTGTAGTTTTGGTAGTGATAGTTTTGTTGACTGTACGGTTTGTTTTGGCCTTCGTAGTGTTTATTAGCATTTAATGACAGATTCCTTGGATTATTTTGGCTTTCTGTGGAACTAGTACTTTTGGCAGTGGTTTGGTTTTCACTTAAAGGCAATTTGTCTTCAAGAAAGGCGAACAGGGATACCTTTTCTGATGGTCTCACAGGTTTATCTTCTACATCTTTTTCCTTTGTAAGAGATTTACCCTTGAATTTAACCTTCTCTTGTCGTTCTTTATTTGGCCTATTCTGATTACTAATAATAGGTTGCACATTTTGCTTTACTCTACCTCCAAATACCTTCCTTACTGCTCCCGCACTAGCCTCAGCAATTGCACCTTGTCGTTGTAATTCGAATTCAGAATTGTCTTTTGCTGCCTCCTTGTTTTTAATACCCAAAGATTTGAAATTACCGTCTTGGTCACCCGTTTGAATTTTAGTTCCAAAATTGACCCATGGTGGAGGTCCATCTTCATTAGGAGCTAAACAATATTACATTTTTGACATATTATTTATTATGATTTAGAATAAAAATAAAACATGTAACTTACAATTTCCCCTTTTGTTACGTTGAATGCTTCTTGCAATTTCCCATTTTTCAACCAGATGAGGTACCTTACCGCCTAGCACTGTACAATTATTGGAATTAAGCAAAATATATCCTGAGACAACGCTAGCGTTATTAATTAATATTTTAGTTCCTGGTGGCGTATTATTTCGACTTATAGAGTTAATAGTGGTTATTTCTATAGCTTGGACGTGGTTATCCCCATCTGTTAAAACCAGTTTCAGCATTCGAGGTGCAGCCTGTGAATCTTCATTAGCTTTGGGAGCTGAGATATTTCGAATTTTCTGAATCTGAAGCACAAGTTTAGAGGTTCTCTGTTTTGCTAATTCCTTAGTTAAGACTGGGCTGCCTATCTCTTTTAAGTCTATCTACAAATTAATTACAATTACCTATCTGCAATTCTTAACGGTTATATTTATAACTTACATTTAAAGCTAAAGCCAAAACCTTATTATAATCTTTGATACTGCCATTTTCAGTTATAACATTAATACCATCAGAGGAAATATTCCTGAAAAGAAATTTAAATTTTTGCAACAGTACAATATAACCTCAAATTTACCAATCTGAACCTAGAATTGACGTCATCTTAAGTGAAATTCCAGTGACCTATTTTGCTAAATGCATTAAACATTTTCAAATTTATATAAAATATGTTAACAACCAAATGAATTCATTATGAAATTTTTAACTTTTCTTATAAAAATTACCAGAGATAAAACGAAAATACACGGAACAAAATTCTGAGATACTCAGAAAATTAAAAATAGAATAAACCATTGAAAATGAAAGTAGAATGAAATGTAGCGTTTTCAATTGGATAACTTTGTACACGTGTTCTTTTGAAATTTTAATGGGGGTTTAATTTTTTTTTTATGTAAATTTTGATACGCATATATGGCACGTAGTTTAAAAAGTACAGAATTGCTGATAAATTACTTATGCCATCATATATACAGAATTTTATAGTAGTGATTTAGAGGTACAGTAGGATAACCTAAATATAATTAATTAATAGCTATATAATTTTAAAAAACATTTTATGTAGAACCCAAAGATATTGTCATAACGTCATACCTACTGTAAAGTTTTCAATACTATCAGAAATATAAACAGGCCCAGAATTGCGATATCAGTAACAGAAAAATATTATAAGAGGAGTAAGGTCAAGTGGGGTAAGTGTGTATTTGGGGTAAATGTGTAAGTCGTATCATAACACTTCAACTTTATGTAGAATACTCGCGATATCTATGAAATTATTGTTAAATAAGTTATTTCTACTTGGCTCGAGTAGAAAACTGTAAATAAGACATTTTAGTGCGAACTAGAATTATATCAAAGATACGTATGACGTGATGCGCAATAAATGTATTTTGATACCCACCTGTTAATCTGCATTAATCACATAAGGAAACTGTTATTTTGTTAATTCCAGATGGGTGTTAGGTTAAAGAGATATGTATTTATTTGATTTAATGGATATTTTTCTTACTGCCTAAATATAACCACAAAATTTGATTTGCTAAACACTTGCCCCATCAAAAATACCCATTAGGGAAAGTGTGTAGTAAATACTTAGGCTAACTGTGTGTAGTACTACACACTTGCCCGTGTATTTAAAAAACTTCTTTTGTTTTGTTTTTAGACAATGGTGCGCACTTATAACAGAATATCTAATAGAAAAAGAACATACACTATTATCTACAGTGAAGCAGAGTGATGCACCCGACAAGGTAAGGAAGAGAAAAGTAGCTTCAGGAGCAGAAGTTATCACAGCCGAAGAAGTTTTCCGTCGCATGACTGAAAAATGCAATGTTGTGTCAAAAAAGAAACAAAAAACTGACAAGACCCCTAGCGAAAATCTGAATCTAGATTTTAATGAAGGCGAAGGAGATGAGGAGGAGACCACTGGAGAACATTACATTTATGGACAGTGATAATGATATAGAAGAAGAAAGGAGGAACGTGGAAGCATTGGACAAATGTATGACAGAAATCAATAAGCCTGCAAAAGAGTTAGTCAAAGAAGATTGGGTATTGGTTGGCCTTTCGACGAAGCAAACAAAGAAATGGATATCATGTTGGTCAGGTCATATCTGTCAATAATGACGAGGAAGAATTGGAAATAAAATTTACCAAAAGGGTACCCTCCTTTGACCCTTTATCTGCTTCAATTTTTTCTTGGACTGAAGAGTATAATATTGTTGCCATAGACGATGTCGTGCTTTACCTTCCGACACCCACTGTAACTTGTCGAAGGGGTTTGCTGAAGTTTGATGTGAATTTTTCAGGATATGATGTTCAGTAAATGGTTTAAATTGTTTGTTTAAATTGTTTTATTTATTTCGATGCAAATAAAGTTCCTATACATCCAAAGAAGTTTTGTTAAGTTTTACGTTTTTATAAGAATTTTGTATTCTTTTTTTACGACATTAAACCGTCTGATACTTAAATTTTTGTTTTAATAAAAAAGAACTATTTATGTCATAAAATATACTATAGAATGAAGCTTCACACACTAGCCCCTTATTCATATTATCCTAAAAAGATAGAAACTACAGACCGAATACACACTTACCCCAAAATCTAGGGAAAGTGTGTCGTACAGACCTTGTTTTAAAAAAAAATTCACAGAAAGAAACATGGTCACATTTCAAGGTCGTCATTATTACTGAATATTAAGTGAAGTCTATAGAAGACACAGTAATGTAAACAGGTCGCCTTCGATACGAGTTTTAATATTGACAAAATTTGAAGTTGAATTAAAGGTTTTTTGCTAAACACTTACCCCACTTCACCTTAATTATATTATTAGGATAACCTATAGCAATAGACCAATTTCCCTCAAGTCCCTATAAATACACTCTGATACTTATTACATGTTGTTTGTTAATGATGATACCTCCTTCACATATTTCCAATAAATTTATGGATTTTTTTATGGTTTTAATAAATATGTCTATGATGCTATTCTTAATTCAATTCGGCGATTGTGAAGTGTAGTGTGAGTAGACTCTAAATCTCAGTATGCTGGCCATGAACGCTTAAAAATCGGTTCTTGTGCTCAGACTTTTATGATCAACCGATTTAATAATAATTCCTACAGTCTACATTAATCAGAACTATATACATCCTTCTTTAGCTAATCCAATTGAAAAGAATGAAACTTCTTAAATCCTATTCTGTGTTTCAGGCTTTTTCTGCTTATTTTAAGACTACGACTGTTCAAATTTCAACTTCCTTTTACAAAATAACTTGTAAAACATGAATGTGATACATGTTTTTTGTGTTGCTAGTAATAAATAAAATTGTTTGGCAAATGGCATTTGGAAAAAATAGTACTTAAAATTGCACCCATTTAGCAGAATTTACCCCATCTGCGGTAAATGTAAGATCTAAGACAGTGTGCTACAAAGACAATTTGATGCGTACTTAGCTATGATTTTAACTTTTTTATATTTTTATAACTTTTAGCATAAATATGTATTTGTAAACAATCAGGTTTAGCTATTGTTTAGCATTTTCAAATCAGTCAACGTACATTTTTAATTTGAAATGTATTCCAAAACGACGCAAGCTATCGAAATGATTTGAATAAAAATTTCACAGATATTTTTGGCTCAAGCTTTTGAGGTTGTTATAACAATAATTCTTTAATTTTAATACTTTCAATTTATTACATCCTTGGATAATTCGTCAGTAAATCCGATACACCCTTTTTAATCCGAATTTTTATGCTTGGTACATCCCAGTACAGAGTCTTTATAAATGATTATACAAGCCACGTGACCAGGAACTTTGTTTGGAACAGTAATTTTATTTCCATCATGTTGGTTATTAAATTTTGGTAAAACTAAAACTATAAGGTTAAGATTACATTAAAACATAACATTCTATTTTACCGGCTGTGATTGGTAATAATTTTTCACGAGATTCTATTCAACCAATCGGCGATCGCATTATCTCGAGTGTAGACGTAACAGTTTGTAATTAGTCATTGTAAACGAATCATTTAGGGAATTTTCGTCACCAGTACCAATCGTACATGTTGGGTTGCCTAAGCTCGGCGGTCACGTGACTTGTAAACATTTATGAAGGCTCTGTATATCCTCATAGGGGTATAACTAAATAATACGGCAGTAATATAAAAAATTATATATTATGTATTTATTTTACATATACGTAAGTACCTATTATACTCAATTTATACATTTTCTACAAATTTTATTGCCTAATAGAACTATATTTTTCGTCGTTGTACGATTCTGCCCGTGACCAAAAAAAGTGCGACGTACCCCACCCTCTTTTAGCATATTCGTACTCCACCAGTATATTTACCATTGTTATGAGACTGATGGAAAAACAAAGTAAGGCGCAGAAGCAACATATTTCATGAATGGTACCATCCGCTGTCCAGTTGTTATACTTTTCTTGAACGTCTCTTTCTATTTTCTTAAACCTGTACTTAATCTTCTCCCTGGAATAATATAAAAAATATTGCATTTCGGTTTAATAAAACAAAAATAGTCTAATAGTAATAACTGACAACAAATTAAAATAGTACCTTATTGATAAATTTACGAAATCTAAAGGTAATTCTGGTTCATCGGGACTGGAGTGGTGTGAGCTGTTAATTTCTGTCGCTTGATTTTCATCGTCAGATTCGTTATCTTCTAGATGATCAATGTTTTCGTCATGCATAGCAGCTGTTTCGTCGACGAATCCCTCTTTGATTTTAACTAAATCACCCATCAACCTATAACAGCGTAAGTTAATTTCAAGAAAATCTGTTATGCTACAAGTAGATTATTTAGTATTATTCGCAATTTCGTATAGCTAACTATTCCATTGCCGAATCTTGTAGTTAATTATAAGATATTTGCATCAACTAAAGGTGTATGTCATTATAGTGGTTCAGTTTTGATACATGATCGACTGTTAGCGACCTGCCGTAATGAAAAGTATTCTGTTCAGCCAATAAGTGTCAATATCTGAGGGAAAAAGCAAGCGGAATTGCTAGATATCTTGGATTTCCTATTCCAAAGGATTTTGCAAGTCAAAAATTTAGACTGCAATGATTTACAGACGCAAGATGAAATATATTACAGTTTAAGAGGTATGGTGGTTGGAAGTCATCGACGTGACAGAATTTTACGTAGAAGAGTCAGTTAGAAACAAATTATATCAAATCAAATAATATTATTGTTGCTATCGGGATGTTATGAATTTTTATTGAGAATTGTGTTAATTGCAGAGTAAATGTTCAGATGACGCAGAACTGATGATTGTCTGCCATTGAAGGAAAACGAAAACAAGCAAGCGGGCATCTTTTTAACAGAAATCATACAATAAAAAGTTTTATTGCACAGGCTCCTATAAAAGCAAATTTTTTACAATGGAAATTATGTAAATGTCACATTTAAAGTTTATTAAAAATTGAAAAAGACACAACCTTATTAGGAAGATGGGTTTATTTGGTAGTATGTACAAACATTTTAAAGGAGAAGAAGAATATAGGAAAAATTGAAAACAGACTTGTGGTTTTTCTTTCGGATGCCTGCTTCGAGCATATTCTACTGGAGGTAGCCTCCCAACACCGGTGCTCGTTATAAGGCGAAGAGAGATATAGCTGCTATGGAGGTTATGCTACGTCTTTCTCGCTGAGTGTGATTGGCTGTTCCTGTCACGTGGGATCAGCCGTGAGCCAATCACATTCTGCGAAAGAGAGAGAGTGAGATAGATAGCAGCTATCTCTTTCTTCACCTTGTAACGTGCCGGTCATTGGGAAGCTATCTCCAGTAGTATACGTTCTAAGAATATCTATATATACTTACTCTAATCTATTTGGCCTAATGTTTCTATTAATAGATGTGGCTCGCAAAGAAAGCTCTGACGGTCTTCTCATAATTTTCTTATCCATCAATGGCTTGTCTATCTGTGGTTGTGAGAATGTAGCTATGCTGGCTCGTCTTCGGCACGTCACCTTCCTGCTGGTCCCGTTGGGTGATAATAAAGTTTTCGAAGGGGTCGTTGGGCTACCCGCCGGTAATTCCACGGGATTCTGCAAAACCCTTCTGAAAAAAAGACATTCTTTCTGCGTTCAAATAATTCATATAGGTACAAAGGGGATTATTTAAAATATTTTGACAGTTAGAAACAGTACCATTTTTAGAGCAGTGTACTTTCTGTGAAAATCTGTAGATGAATGTAATTAATTATTTTTCATTAAGAGAAAAATTATACTAGAGTTCCAAAATAGTAGGCACTAAGTCTCATAAATAAATTAAACCACAATTTTCAAAAGCTCTTAATGTGAAAAATTAATTTTATGTATGCATGCATAGAAATTGTAGTATGTCGATTATTTCATATAGGTATCTAGTGTTACAAGCACCTATTTTTATCTTTGCTCTTCGTATACAAAAAGAAAGACGGCCAGCGCTGCGCAGTTTCATTTCTCAATGTGTTAGTTTGCAGATCAGGCGTTTTCTTTCATGTCATATGCGTGCAATTCAAGGAACCTGTTGTTAAAAAATGGTAGAAGTGTAAAAAAACGGAACGTGAAAAAAAAATTTAAATTGACAGTGACGTCATGTGCAAACCTGAAGATTCACGGAATTTATTTTAAAAATGAAATTCCAAAATTCCAACACTAAAAATTAACATTTGTTACTTAAAACGAAATCTAAGTAGTATGTTAATAGAAACGACATTGTAGCATGGCCAAGAGAGTATTTAGAAAAAATAATAGTCTCGTATAGTTTTTCCGAAGTCAATTGAAGAACCAATAATTTCAAGGTATGTACCAGGCTCGGTCGCTAAGCAGCAACTCGGCATTGAAATATTTGAAAAACTTGTTCCCATATTTAATTAGCCATACCCATAAACAGGTCTGGTCGAACTAAACGTGGAGATGGTAGAAATGTATACGCTCAGTTGAAGAATGAGAGCGCGGCCAAAGGAAAACGAGCACAGTTGTATTGGGCTTCTGAGCAATACATTACAGCAGATGACAAGTGGTTCATGAATTGCCCAGTAGTGCAGTGCAGCAGTGCGGAATTTGGTATGAATCAGGCAATTTTAATTTATTTAGGCACTTTCTATCAATTCATTCATATTACAATTGCGAAAGGGAGAAATAAGAGGAATATTTTGTTTACTAATATTATCACAACATGGCATTTTGAAGACCTTTTGAAACGGAACAAAACGTAATTTACCACCAATATAATAAAATTGTTTGAGGACATAAATAATTAAAATATGTTGTTGGCCAAATGAACATATAATAGTAATTTTCTACACATTATATAAAATTATTATAATTTTTTATTTAGCAGAAAATTTTTATAGGGACGCCTATGAAACTCATTAAATTTTATTACCAGACGTTTTTTTGCATGTTGAACTGACTTTGGAATGACTATACATCGAACACGAACATTTATTATCTCGACGAGATGGTCTCCAAAGTTTGGCAAGATTTAAATATATGACAATAAACAAGAAGCATTTTTAAAAAGATTTTTCATGGGATTAAAGGCACTCTATTGGAAAGGACGGCGATCGATAGTATTTGCAAAATGGTAGACTATTTTACCTCAAACCTGGCACAGTGATTGTCATAGATAATGTGCCTTATCGTTGTTGAAGAATAGAGAAATTGCCAACATCTACATGGAGAAAAGGGGAAATCATGAAATAGTTGAATTGATAACATATTAAATACAAAGGTACGATATTAAAACTACAATATTAGCAAATGCACAAACAGAAAAAGTCAAATACATGAAATATGTGGTGGATAATTAAAGCTCGTGAAGGTACACTTCACAAATATCACTAAATGATTAATATAGGTGGATATAAAAACTTACGTGGTATAAAATAACACAACTTTTAAATTAGATTTAAGTATTTATGCAGGAGGTAACTATAGAAAGTATATTATGCACTACAAAAAGAAGAAATGTGGGACCTCGATACAATAGTGGAAGTTATGTTGTTCTATATTTAATAATTTCCCTAAAATGAGACGCCCATGTGATTGCATTCCTCTCACACCTTACTCATAACACTGATCTACATGTTGATAATGAGTCCCTGTCATGCCTATGATTTTGAGTTAACTACTAATACTGAACAACTATTTATATTCGTATAACAAACAAGGCGGAAATAGTTCACATGAAACTGATTTAAAATTAGTTTTCTTTAATTATTAAAATTGTAACTGCACACTGCACTATGCACTCTGTACAAACAGCACATATGAAGGAAACGTTATACGAGTAGCACTTCTGATGTATACTACTGTCCTTCCTTATGATTATTGTGAAAAACCTTTTTAATGCCGTTTTTAATTAGGTAACTTTGCATCACCTCATTTGCCGCTATATTTATTTATTTATTTTTCAAACAGGTGTAAACTTAATTATCTACATGAAAATTCTATACGTGTCTAAATCTGTAAGTGTTCCTTGAAATATCTATCCATCAACGATATTAGATACATCTTAAATGTAAATATATGGACATAGAATGGTCAATAACACTATTTTTGAGCGAGTTTCCTGGCATTTCAGTCATATTCGATTATACAAACTGCAAAATTGATAAATTTGAATTGTTTTATTGTTAAGAGTGTTCTATATCAAGAATTTATGTTTCTTTGGAAACGGTTACTATTGTCGACTTAGAACAATAGAACTTTTTGTAATATTTTTAATGCCTTTAACATTTACGTACCTATTTAATTTTTGAAAAACAATGTACAAAAAACTGCATTGTTCTGTCTCCATAGATGGTTTATTATTAATAATAAGTGTACCAAATTTGAAAATAAATTATATTTATCACTTCGGTAATGGTATTTGATATTATGCTTTTACTCCAATTATTTCTGTTAATGCATGAAATGATTGGCTAGAGCATGCAATATTTTTCACGAAAATCGAAAAGGTTTCTACAATCATTCATGATATTTTTTTGCTTAGATATAATTAAAAATATTGCTCATATTTAGGCGTGCTAAATACAAGTGAAGTCTGCTACTGAGGTACTTACAGTATTATTTATAAGTATATGCAGACATTAACTGAATATTTATAAAAAAAAACAGGATTTTACTTTTAACTATAAAGCAAATATTTCAAAATATTAATCATTCAAAAGTAAGTATGTGGTAAAAGCGCATTTGCTACCTTTTATTAATTAGACCACAGTTAATCTGACCTGACCAATCAGTATTCATAATAGATTAGATAGAACAGTAGATTAGTTGCGGGCTCAGTTAAATAAAACAGCTATTTTCTCGAAGGCTCGTATCTTATTTGTGATAGTGCCAAAATTACTTAATTCTTAAGTTCTATCAACATTTCTACTTTTTCAGTGTGTTAAAAAGTAGTTCTCTAAACATTTGTATGTTATTTGTATGTTCACCTTAGACTACAATATTCAGTTGTAGATAATAGGTATGTTTGTTGTTTACATAGTTTTAATGTATTCGTAAATTTTTTGAGTAGTAGTAGACTATTTATAAACTTACTTCGTATACTGTAATTGTCTTCTTGCCGAGTCCCTTTGCTGTTTCAGCATCTGAACGTGGCTAACCATTAATTGTACGGATTCCGTAAGCCTCTCTTCGTGTTGAACAGATCCAAACCTTTCCACGGAAATGGAGACCAGCGAAGAGGCACTCACGACCTTGTCTACCTAAGAATAATTTTTATGTACAAACTTACTACACTTAAATACATATATTTTGGTACAATTGGCGTATACAGAATTTTGTTGAGACCGCGAACCGTTCATTGATCTCGGCCAAACTGAATAATGGGGGTGTTAAAGGAGACATTTTTGAGGAAGAAAACTATTTATATTACCTGTTACAAATCAGTGAAAAGATTTTATTTGGTTCGAATTAAATTCCCGGGGACCAATTCCGAGCGAAGTAGAGAAAATGTTTGAGGAGACCCAAACTATCCTCCAAGAGACGGTAGGACGGCAAATAATTTNTGGTGGTCGCCAATACGCCATTACCATAGTAATAGGTTATATTTTTCTTTTCACTCACCAACAAAACAAATAAAATAACATTACCACAGAATAATAAACAAGTATTATGCTGTGATATTACTAGCCATGCGCGTAGTCGAATCGCTCATTGGTTAATCTTAATAAAATTAGGACCACACATTGTTTTTATAAACGTGTACCTATTCTTAGGACTAATACTAAGATTAGTGTAAAGGTTAATACTAAGACTAAGACTAAGTTAGGACTAATACTTTTTTATAAACCAACCAATAATTTTTCGGAGAAGAAACAATATATGCGAATAATTTAAAATAAATGGACGGGGAAGGATAGTACTTTCAGATGTCGCAACGAGTTTGTTGGAGAAAATTACTTCGTATTGTAACAACCTAAAATATAGTGAAAAAAATGTTATCCGCACATTTTAGGTTAGGATTTCTCGAAAACCAGACCTGATGGAGCAATTCCGAGGAAAAATATTCAGCAATTCAATAATAAAAAAAAGCTTCTGAAAAGTATCAATTGGTTAAATATAATTTTTCATTTATTTATAAGATTTGTAAATATTTTTGCCCTTAAAAACTCGCTAGTTTGAGATCCACCAGCTCTTCGGTTTGACCAAGGCATTTGTGTGAACTAAAAAACAAACAAAAGAAGCATAGCAAAAAAAGTATTGATAATATGGGTTAGCATTATTGCAAACTATTGAAGGTATTGGTAACTGGTACTATAAAAAGGTCGCACAGTATTTTGTTGAAACTTTTTCTGAAATCAGATCAAATATTTCAGTTAATTCCTGTTATCTAACGAAAAATCTGGTATATGCGTTTCTTTGTTTTGCCTTATAAGTTATTTGTGTTTGTACTGTTTTTTGATATGATATTTTTTTTGTTCTTAAGGGCGTTGTATTGGTTAGATAAAAAATATAATTCCAATAATATGGTAGAGGAAGGAAAAAGTAACAACAAAACAAATGTGACTTAATGAGTATTTACCGAATATGATTTAAAATGAAAATAACATTTAAATGTAATCCTGTCCAATAAAATTACATAAAAGCATGAAATATCGTTGGATTAAGTTTCTTTCGCATTTAATCATTATCTAAGTCTTTATAAAAAAAGTTGTTTCCGTATATCAGAAACAGTTAAAATTAGTCGGGTAATTTATCTTAAAATTAGAAATTGAATTTCAATATTTATAAACAAATGAGTTTCACGATAAAATAAAACAAGGCATTTTTCAGCTTATACTTTATTTCATTATATTTCAAGAATTTGTTAAAATCCTTTTTTAAATCTGTATCTCTAATAGTTTACGATATCTCTCTAGTTATTAAATAATTATAACTTACATATTATCTATTTTTCTACAGCTAAATTTATTTTGTAATAAAAGTTTCATTTTCTTCATGATTATTTTTATTGTTAAACTTGACATAATATTCCTACCTGCGACAGTAAAGTGGAAAGCAGTTCTACCGTTTCATAATCAGTACACAGGGGCTGTAGAAGGGCAAGTTTTTCTTTAAGTCTTTCAATTTCAGTCGCTAGATTCGTTTCCGTTTGATCTCGCGATCGTCGTAGTCGTTCACATCGATCCTTTATCGTAGCTGCGTCTATTGCGAAGGCTAGGGCCAAACTGGTGAATTTTTGTTCTACTTCCTCTTCACTTAGACGTTCCCTGAAACGACAGAGCGTTTTTCAGATTTGCTCATACTTGCATATGAAGATATTTTACACTTCATCAAAAAGCAACACATGGAAACGAAATATCAACTTTTGAAGACTGAATCAATTCCATAAAATCTCGTTGAACAACAAATTATTTTGGAAAATGTTAATTTTTTTAACCAAACACAGTTATGAATTAACAGTTACTTAAATCAGAATAAAATTTATTTTACCAGTTTTTATTAAAATTTGTTTTATGACCAAGTATTTCGGGTTATGTTGAAAGTTTTCCAGTTTTCGGGATAACTAATCCCAAATTAGAAGAGCTCAAGCATAAATTAATAAAATTTGAATATAATATTTTATTTAAAACAAAAATAAGAAACATACTTTAATTTTTCATGAGTTTCATAAGTTCTCTATATCTAAAAAAGAACCAATAAGTGTTTTTTTACCAAATAATAGAAAAGCAAATTTAAAAACCGATCTCTGAAAAACATTACTTTTTGAATTTCAATGAAAGGAAGATCTGTTGATTATAGGACAACATACCTTTGGTCCCTCTCAACATACCTCTAAAAGTGGAATGGATCTAATGACTCGTTTATTAAAAAATTTTTTTAAATATGTACACATATGTTTTCTGACACCCAATATCGGTAATTTTGGACTTCTGCAATGAACCACTGTTACTTGATTTCAACTTGGGTTGATTTCAAATCAGGTCAAGTAGCTTGAAAATCAAGTCAAGCCACGAATCTCTGTACCTCCTTTCAAAAGGTCTATCAACATTTCTGTTAGTTTCTGTATATTTTTTATTATTTATTAGTTTTTATTGTGTTTCAATACTTCAATTTTTCAAAACATTGTAATTTTTTACACATATGGTAAATAACAAAGGTTACTCAGAAAACTAGAAATGTTACATGGACAACTATATATTGTAATAATTTATAAAAGGACAAGAAAATCATGTAAATACAAATTGCTATTTAGAACTAATTAATCGAATAAATGAGACTAATTGATTTATTACATGCTTACATATAAAGTTGAGTTATAATAACAAACATATAAAATTGACATAAAGTGGACAATAATACCAATTACGGTATAGTGAACAACGATTACAGCTCGGTTGTTATTTAAACAACATGCAGGTTAATTGTATGTATACAGGGTGTCTCAATTCAAGTGAGCATTCATTTCCAATTATATGAATAAAATTAGAGTAGGGAGGTAGTGCAAATAATGTTTTGTCGAGAAATGTTTCGTTTCCAAGAATTTGCAAAATTGAGACAAGTAGGTATATTTTTTATTTAAGTAGTTAAAAATAATTGTAAATATTTTAATATTTCTGCTTTATGTATTGTTGTAACATTTATAAAGCATTTATAAAAAAAGTTTAATATTTTTAAAATTCAACACCATGCAGGTATCTCGGAAAGCAGCAGTGTTTTTTCATTTTATCTCAACTATTTAACTTTCATTGTAGAAATTAAAAATGACGTTTGGCCCATTAGAAACTGAACACGCTGTATAGGAACATTAAAAGCAGAAAAATGCTTAGATATTTCTGTTTTGGAAATTTCTTCTTTACTAGATATTAAATAAATGTACTGAAATTACTGTTTTGTGTACAACATTCACTGATATTCATAAATAACAAAAGAGAAAATTTGTTTTACTGACAATTTGAAAGACAGGAACTTAAAAAACTGCCAGTTAATATATTGTTCCCCAAAATACTGTTAATAATTTGCGTTTAAGTATATAAGTTTGCTTTTCTCAATATATTATGAATATTTATCTGATGACGTATATTTATTTTATTTAACACTAGTATATAATAAACAGAAAGATATTTATAAATATCTCTTTTCAATTTCTCGACGTTGCCATATTGACCCAAGACAAGGCGCTTCATTGAAATTAATGCTAATTTCTTTTGTGTGGGCTATTGTTATTGTTGAACTATTGTAGACGGTTTATATTTTTATGCAAAACACGAGAAGCGCCGGAGACATATATGAGCATTGTTCAATCTGCATACACTTTAGGCGCTGCAGTTTTTTCAAAGACTTCTATTTTCGGGCAATTTGAAATTTCTGTTAAGGTTAGGTCATCCTTTACAATTCCTTAGTTAACGTACACAAAGAAAATCTTTATTTAAAGTATACTTTCGCATAGATTCAGTTCATCCTTATCATCTTTATGTCTGTTTTGAATGGTAAAGAATAAATTAATAATTTTTATTTTTAATATTCATGGAAGTTTTGGTAATATGTACATATTAATCTAATCTTAAGTATAGGTAGGCAACTTACTTTAAATTTTGTACTAACAAAAAACAAATTAAAAGTTGAATCGAATTTAATATGATTGTGTGATAGTACGTTTCAAAATGTTAGAAAGTCAACTATCACATTTTTGTAAATAAATAGAAAAATGAAAATGTGTTCCAAAATTATTTTCAGGTAGACCACAAACAGATACCTACTGATGAGACAATTTGTATATATCATAATAGTAGCTAATTTAAGGAAATTGGTCAAAGTCTAAGAGATGGAAAAAAGAATTTTTTTAAATTGTTAAGTTTAAATTCAAATTGCCATTGTTCAATCAAGAAATATGAACAATACACTTATTTTTGGTAATAGTTACGACTTCTTTGTTTATTACACAAAGGCTTGCCATTATTGAGTTGCAGGTTTCCAAAGGCAATAAAGAAATAAATTAATGTTTTTTTTTTTGCAAAATGGGACTAAACAAAATCATGTTTCTTGAAATTCAATCTTATTTAACTTTTACTCTGGCATATTTTTTGGATCTTACTCTATCCAACTTAATTTGCATCTATAACTAAATGGAAAATTTATAAGTTAACTAAAAATGTAGGTACATACATTAAAGCATAGTAGGTACTTCCCAGTATAAAAAGTTAAATTAGCATTATACCAACATTAAAGACCACAATAAATTTTACTGATATAGTTAACCATATATATGCTTAATTTTAAGGTCGTTTCTTCAAATGGTAAGTGATAGTGCAGTTAGATTTTTATTTACGATCTATGCTGATATTATCTCTCGACTCTATGCGAGGTCAGTAGCATCGAATAAGGATAAACAATTGATTGGTGATGTCTATTACCTAATTTGTATTTTTTAATTTAATAAAATTATAAAACTAACAACTAAAGGGTTGAAGACTTAACGGAAAATTTCTTGATTTTTCATTACTTATTTATTTTATGCGTTTCAATACTATCATGTTGATGTTATTTCAGCTATTAAAGTATAAAATTTAAAGTATTTATTGATAATTGTAACTGATATGAATTGCGATAATTAATTGCTTACTCGTAGGTATTATTATGAAAATTATGTCATATTTACCTTTGCAGAGATAATCCTCGCAGTCCCATTCGTTCCAAAACGGAATTCGGCAAACTGGGAAAAGCATCGAAATTGCAGTCATCGTTTCTTAATTTACCGGTACCACCATCAGACAAAGACCTGCATCTTCGATATTCCGCTCTCTATAACCCAAAACGGCTATTTTATTATTTTTTTATAACATAATCCTAATTTCAGAAACAGTAATTTTAAATTCATTTTGATATTAGCAGATTTAATTGAAGAAGACATTATTACGGTTTCTTTACAAGGAAGTCTTTAATTCAATTTTAGAAAACTACAGGTAAAAATTTGGAGGTTTTGGGAATACGAGCATTTCAAGAAGGCATAGTGATGGCTTCTCAAAATTTTATGTGGTATGTTAATAGCAGTTTTAAGCTTTGTGCCCTTATTGTAAGTACTTTCATCTCATAAGATATTTAATGTGGACATTGTACAGGTTTTTAATTAAAAATTGTAAATTTTTTATTGATTTTATAGTTGTGTATGCAATAGCATATCGGACAAATGACCCCCACGGCTTTGCTGGCATGCGGCTGATACAGCGATCAATTTCCTCATTCGAGGCGTGGATGATCCTGGGTTTGTTGTCAAAAACCTTAGACTTCAAAAAACCTAAAGGAAAAAGTCCAACGTTAAATTGCATGATTTAGGCAAACAATTCTGATCACCAAAACGGGAAATTACACTACCAGGAAATGATTCATGCGGCAATTGTTTTTCGGGCTGTATGACATGTGGCAGCGTCTTGTTGAAACCGTTCATGTCGTCTACATCCATATCTTGCAATTTAGGCATAAAAAACTGGATTATCATGTCGCGATAGCGAGCATCATTAGCTGCTATTGCCTGATCAGTCGCATTTTCGGAGAAGAATGGTCCGATGTTACTGCCAGCTCAAAATACGCGCCAGACAGTGATACGCTGTGGACGCATTTGTTTCTCAACAGTCACTTGTGGATTTTCTGAACCCAAAACGCGACAATTTAGTCGATTAATGAAGCCATCAAGATGAAAATGAGCCTCATCGCTGAAGATGACTTTGTTTGAAAAATCAACATCCACTTGTTGTTCCATAATCCATTCAACGAACTCCCTTTGCTTCTGCTCTTGAGTCAATTGAACTCTGTAAGCATGAAGATGCAAATCTTTTCTGAGAATACGCTGCAGAGAGCTTCTCGAACTGTCCAATTCTCAGTAACATTCTCACGAACTGCTTCAATGTTTTGTGTTGAACGACTTGTTGAAGGACGGCCAGACTGTTTAATATCACTAATTGATCCAGTCTCCCTGATTTTTTCAGTTCATTTATTCAAAGTCGATGAAGCTGAATCATCATTCCGATCATATTTTGTACGAAAATTGAGAACTTCTTTTTAGAATATTGCTCAACAACGAAAACGCATTGTTCGTTCATGTACCGCTCCATTTTTAATAATTCTGAACTGTTAGGTAATTGTTTTGCATGAATTTTGGGACACCCGATATATATTTTTTGTTTAATTTATTATTATTTCTTAGAATTCAATAAAAAAAGTCAAGAAAATAGTATTGTTTTAACAAAATATATGAAGATATTTTAAAAACATCTTAGGCGTAAAAGATACGTATTGACAAAAGGCTTACCCTCTCCCATATGTCTACGGCAATAGTACCTAATTGAGAAGCAGAATGACTAACACAATTATGTAAGTATTAAACGTAGGTATTACTGTACCCAATTTTTGTGACGCTATAAGTATTCTAAAGTATTTAAAAAAAGTGGAAAGCCTATACATATGTCTCGGAAACTATACATTACCGGTATATAATGTTTTGGTTATTTTTACCCGGATGGAATATTTTAGAGTTCGTGTATTTGATTTTCAAACACTACATTTCATAAACCATCAATTGATTTAATTCAGTAGTTAATTAGTGTATGAATAGTAATGAAGTTAATTAATTTTAATGTCTGTTGTTATAATTCAATTTTTTAATATTTTTTTCTGCAATAGTATAAATACTCAAAAATGACAACTGAAATAGCATTTACATTTCCTGTATAAAACTATTGACATACAGTTCACTGGAAAACATGATTATTTAATTTGAAATCCTGAAATAATATTAACTAAACCGATTGACACACGCACAATGACTTGAAACTTGCAATACATCTGGAAAAAGTGTTGAAAATTGATGTTCTAAGAAAGTTGTTTTCCGTTTATTCAAATATGTATTGAAGTTAAATTATTGAGAAAATATTCGTATTAATACAAGTAGATCTGGAACTTATCGAAATGATACATCCTAAAATAAAAGTTATTCATGTTACACAACTTAATTTGTAAGAAAACGTGAAGAATCCGTTTTGCGAAAATAAATAAACAAATCAGGAGCATTTCTAGTTTAGTTAAATAAATAAATATTGGATTCATTAGACAATTCATTCCTAGTATGCTTTTGTTCTTTATTCAAGGAACCACTAGATCAATAAACTGATTCATATATAACTTCTCTCTTGCCTTTTCTTGAAAAAAAAAAGAATGAAAATAGATTTCCTAGGGAAATATGGTGTTTATTAGTCTTTGGCTTTGAAGTATGTATACCTATTCAGAAAAACTTTGCGTTTGATTGTGATATGAAAGCATGTTACATACACAGTGTTAATGAAATATTCTGCCAAACCTTAATGTTGAAGTATACGTCACAATCAATAAAAATGTTCCTATAACTGGTGGGAACTGAAATTAAAAAAAATACTTAAGATGCTTGCTAAATTTGGGCTAATGGTTTAAATAATTATGGGAAATAATTTCCTGAGTAGTATACAAATGTGTTAATCAGTTAATCAGTGGCGGAGGTACTGGGAAACACCGCCAATAAGAATCCTCGAATTTCGACCCCACTGAATATCTTGGAAATTGTATAAGTGCATTTATAGCCTATTGATTATATAAAAAAAACAGGGTATAAATAAAACTTTTGAAATAATTTTTTATTAAGTAAAGAACCAATATGTTGTAAAAATAATAAGACTTATAATAATATGTTAAAAACGACGAAAACCAAAAAAATATTTAAGGTTATAACTCAATATTCATCAGTCAATAGTCAATATTAATCCAAAAAATTTAAAAAACGCATAATTTTGAAGAGAATCTCATCTAGTTTTTTTGTAAAGCAATTTTCTTTGTTTCCTTCTACTAAAAAAAATTAAGAGTCAAAAAAAGTAAAAATAAAATCAAAAAATCTTATTTTTTGTTTTTTCTTAAATTGTTTATTAAGGAATTTTTGCATAAAATTTATTTTTCTTTTGAATTTTTTAAATAAGCCATTTAGATGGGAAATTCAATTCTCTAAATAATTTTTCCTATGAACTATAGGGAAATTTTTCTTCGTTTTCGAGGTACAATTAAAAAACTGAAAGGAGTGCATTTTTACCCCTATCTCCAATTTCCACCCTCTAATTTAATAGCACTCGAGTTTTTTTCATCTAAAATCACCATTTGAACGATTCATGTAATAAAATATTTTGAACGCCATAGTTCCTTTTAAAATCATATAATCAATAGCCTATTAATTTCGGCTGGTAATTGTAAGATAATTGTAAAGATATCTTTTATTTGGTTGAAAAATCCTTTTCTAGGTTATTATTGTTTTTAATTTAAAATAAACCTATGACATACCTACCTACTTCAATGGATCGAAAATATGTCCAATACTATTAACTACTACAATTGGAATTTTTTTATTGGCAATGCAATTATAAACACAATGTAATTATGAAAAGTCAAAAAAAAATGTTGGTGTAGGAATTTTTAATTTGCTGTAGCAGTAACCCCAAAAAAGATTTAAAATTGTTGCACCACATATATTTTTGACTTCTGACGGTTACCTATATTGTATTTAAAATTATATTTCTATTTAAAAAATCATATATTTCTGTGAGATGAATGATTTTGATTATTTCCGATTTATTCAACTATGCATATATTAATTTGAGCACCCTGTATCTCGAAAACGAAACGTTTCCAGTTACATGTTTATAGGAACTTTTTTTATTGATATGTAACATATCAACCATTAAAATTTGGCAGAGATTTCATCAACGTAATGAAACCGCAACAATCACATTTCTAAACTATTTATCAGAAAGCGTTTAATTTTAGAGTTTCGTTACGAGGAATATTTTCTGGTTCCAAATATTTCAAAATTAAAACAAAAGTCAACGCTTTAAACTTGATGTTCTTCGTAGGCGATAAAGAATCAAGTCTGGTGAATGGGGAGGTCACTTTGATTATCGGTTTGGATATGTATATTTTTTAGTTTTGTTACTAGTTAGTTCACATATTTCCTTTATGACATATACAATTTTAACGTTCATGAGATATAAAAAATCGTAATTATATCCAGACAATTAAGTGGTGTTACATAGATTAACAATTATTTTAATTGTGGCAGAAATAGAAGCCGTTGCATATGTCTAGTTTATATTTAGATCAATTAATGCTGTTAGAGTTAGTCAAATAATAACGAGCAATCATTTCAGATTAAAATTATGGAGTGGATTTAGCATGCAAATTCCTCGGTTGCATATTCATAATTTTCGGTTTTCATTGTTAATCATGGAATTTATTTAACTGTTGTGAATTAAACGTTCATATAATGGAATTATTGTGTACATAATTCAGATACCAGGACACCTTTGAAATAGCTTTAAATGCTAGCGACAGTATAATTATTAATTAATATTTTTTAAAGTCGTCGAATAGATCACTACTAAACAATAAGATACCTTTCTGTTTTTCCGTAAATGACTTTCCAAAGACACATTTCAGACCTATATTTTTTTTATTGTTGAATTAAAAAATTGTTCCAATGCATGAATTGGTTTTTTGCAAAATATGTTTTGGTTAAGCAAAACGTCTATTTTTTTACTCTATTAAGCCAATTTCAATAAATTCAAAAAATTTCCATATCCTGCTAATGATTCTATTTCGTCAAATACAAATGCAGCTTTTCAGTTTTCTGGAAACCATGATTTCACAGTCTTCAACGTGAAAAACAGTTACGGATGTTGAATTTTTTAAGTGCAAATAAAAATACTGGCGAATATTTTTATGATATTTTCATTCAG